AATAACTTCAGTGTGGTAAACTCTTGAAAAAGATGGTTTTTCAAAGGTTTTTTAGTAAAGAGATTAAATAGAACCATGAATACTCAAAGAACCATTTGCACGATTAAATGTTCTTTGCATGGTGAAATGGTTTTTCAGGTTGATGGAGAATGTGTTGCATTTGGATTAATATAGAACCTTTTTGAAAATGACTTTATATAACACCAAAAGGGTTCTGCTATAGTTACATTGTAAAGCTCGTGACAATAGAAGAACCCTTTTTGGTGCTGTATAGAACCATTTTCAAAAAGTTTCAGTGCATTTAAAGACAAAATTATTGTTCAATAAGAAGATAATATAATATAATATAATATAAAAGAAAACCTTCTCTAAAATAGTAACTTTACAGGAGAAGGAAAAAAACTACTTTACTTTTAATGTAATTCAATGGAACCAGATTTTTTTCTAAGTCATTTTGGGTCAGTTCCTTTAGTCCATTCATTATGAAATTTACACACAATGTAAAGGACAACAGGCATTTTCAAATAATGTCAAAAACTGAAAAATGTCAAAAATGGAGATACGAGGTTTTCTTCCGACAACAGCGATATAATATTATATAATATAATGTGATAAAATATGAGGCTGCTTTTGTTTATGCTACTACATAAAAACCTTCTCATATTGAAGCAAATTATATTAAAGGGGAATTCCACTGATTTTTCAGAATTTTTGCACAATTAAACTATCAAGATGTAAACAGCCATTCAGAGTGGTTTGATGTGAAATGCTCAATTCTAGAGACGCTTACCGAGTCAGAATTGTTCACAGTGGTAATGATAGGAACCAGACATTAGAAGCATTTATATCACAGAAAGTTAGTGCATGAATTGGTTACAAATACGCTGCCTGATGTACTGATGTTTGAGACATTGTTTTATGATAGACTTCTTACACACTTATGACTTTTTTAATTAATTCATGGCAGTGTACATGCAGTGCATTGTACGACAAAATAGTACCTAAAGAAAATGCATTTTTTTAGATTTACCACTGTTTTACTATTACTATAAATACTACATATAAAGCTCAGAAGATGTAGGTTCACTGGCGGTTCTGGATATATTATGTTTTGTTGTAGGTATCGTGAGGCCTGGTTCCTATCACCACTAGTGTAAAGAAAGTTTCCACAATGAACTATTTCACATCAAAGTGCTCTGAATGACATTGTTTACATCAGAACGATTGAATTGTGCAGAACTTTAAATAAATTGTGGAATTCACTGTAAATAACAGTTAAAATATCCTGTACCTGGTCCATGAGCATAATTTGGGATGTAGACAGGTTGTTGGAAAGTATAAGTTGGCCCTGTGTAGGCTGGCTGCCCTGTGGAAACTCCAGCGGGGTACTGTGAGAGAGGATGAGCTGTGTAGACTTGCGTGTTCTGCTGGGGATCAGTGCTTGGACTTTGGGTGTTTGGCACTTGAGCAGAATTCCCTGACCCAAAACTAGGAGCGTCTTGTTGAATGAGGGGGAGGAAGACAGCCTGGAGATTCCTGGGCGATTTTGGAAGTGGGAGGTACCCCAAGACTGGAGTGCAAACATCTGTTTGTTCTGCAACTGAGCGTGTCTTCTTTGATTCACCAGCTGGTGGCGCTGTATGGGTGCCTGCTAGTTTATCAGCTGTCTTTACAGTGGTCTTCAGTATCCCACAAGGAGGTTTTTGCAAGGTTGGGGCTCTCAAATTTTCTAGAGGTTCAGAAGTTGGAGAAACCATGACTTTCTGAAGCTCTGGATGAGGTGGACTTTTTAAAGGACCGTCAGCTGTTGTCACAGATTCTGTGGAGAAGACTGTTTCTAAGCCCATGGCTTTCAGAAGAGTATCTCTAGTGGGTGCAGTGTCCTCCTGGTGCTCCTCTGGGGGCAAACTAGGTGAAAGGGACTCATTTTGGGTTGGCAGAAGAGTCGTGGGCTTCTCAGATTGGTCAATGCTCACTTCAGTAGACGCAGATTTGGATCCAACATCTTGTTGTGTTTCAGCCGCAGGGGTTTCAACAGTATGTTTTATGACCTGAAGGGTCTCTAGCAGAACAGGTGGACTCTCTGGAACATCAGGCATGGACTTTACAGCAGAATTAGGAGATACATTCTCTGCTTCAGTGCCTTTAGCTATTGTTGGAGCAGCTTGGAACACAATCATCTCTGGGATCTCCTCAGTCTGCACCATGATCATCGACTCACAGGGCAGGCTGGAGGTTTGGATGAAAATAGTGTCCACTCCTGAGGCGATCTCATGCAGCGAAACACGCTCAAAAAGTGCCGAATAGACCTGGTGACACTCCACACTTTTGCTGTCTAGAGGTCCAACAGTCTCCTGGTCAGTTTTCCTCCGGAACACTGCCATGTTCTGAGCCGATTCAGGACTAATGCAACCCGAAGACGTGGTGAAGCCAGTGGCAGACTGAACTTCTGAAAGCCCACATTCCCTCATGGTTGCTGGTTGCTGTATGCTTGGAGTGACTGTGATGGAGTCAGAAGTTAGGGGTCCCACTTCACAACTCTGATAGCATGAGGTGTTGCTTTTTGTGTAGACTGTGAAATATGAACGAATATATATGTATAATAATAAAAAAGTAGACTGATTTTGTAGGAAGAAATTTCAATTTGTTAATTGATCAAAACTTGTGACTGATGAATTGTTAAAGCTTCACTTTTGTTATAAAATTGAAAGAAGTAGCATTACTGAGTCACATGAAGGAAACAGGCCGCTGTGAGTTGCCCTGTAAAGCCTTAAATAATAATTTCAAAGTCAGAGGTGTCAAATCTGATATTATGAGAGTTTACATATTAACGTCACTTGCACAGAGTCACAAAGAATGTCCAGCTCGATGTTCAGTTCTCAAATGCAAAATCAACATTATGCTGATGAAGATACAAAGACAATGGTAGATCATTCACTCACAACTTTTACACATTTCACATTCTAAGTGTTATTTTCCCCAGTATGTTAAATTCAGCAAATAAACAGTGATGGTGCATTAAGTGATGGTGTTCTCTGTAGAGGATGTGTTCACTTATTTTCACTTATAAAATCATGTAATTCAACCAGGGGTGCCCAAACTTTTGCATACGACTGTGTCAAGCCCTGTTAGTCCTCACAGTGTTGTCTTATTTACTTACATTTAACACCTTTGGTTCTTCTGAATTCTTGAATCAAGGTGTCCAGATCCAAACCAGGATTTTCTGTAGATATCATTGAACGAAGCATAATTGCTGTCATTGTCTCTTAAAAGGCCATATCATGAAAAAAAAATCTCTGCTTGGTTGAAATAAAGGAGTTTGATGTAGAATTATGAATATTGTTAAAGGGTCAAAAAGTACCATTTGCTTAGTTTTCATGTATTAAGTGTAAATATATTTAATACATTCAAACTAAACTGAAAAAAAACAGACTATTTGAACACATTTACATGCATACAACTGTTCATCCTACATCAATTTAGCTCCATCAATTCACAATGAAGATATAAGAGTGTTTCAGCCCACACTGCTTTTTGAATGACTACAATAGAGGGCCGATCAGAACAGAGGTCCTTTACACATATCCGTCTTAAAGGTACAGTATCAAAAACAGCCTGTTGTATTCTGAGGGATAAAGGCAGGTTAGCAGATTATATAGTTTGATACACAAAACCACACAAGTAGACTTTAGGGGGGAAAAAAAATCTAATATACTCTCAGAAAAAAAAAGGTAGTGAACTGTCACTGCCCCTCTTGTCACTGGGGTGGTCCCCTCAAGGGTACATCTCAGTACCTTTGTTCAGGGAACATAACTGTACCATAATCCAATGAAATGATATTTTCTAAGTCATATTGACTCCACACACCCCGTCTCGTCTCCAGACTTTTATTTTATTGTTCTGTTTCAAGGCCTTACATTATGAAAAAGTACAAATATGTACTTTTCACCTGGAAAAACTTATTTAAGGTTTACAATTGGACCTTAAAACCACTGTTGTGCCTTTGAGGGCACATATACATTGTTTGTACTTTGAAGAAAGAAAAATGTACCTGCACAGAACCTTTATTTCTAAAAGTGTACAAAAAATGTAGGATATGGCCACTTAAATGGCTGAAAAATATATTGTTATTGCTACAACAATTGTAATATTTTAAAAAGAAGAAGAAAAAAAGAAGGAGGAGGAGGAGGAGGACAAGGAAAAGTCTGATGATGAATAAACAAAGTAATAAGCAGTGGTGGACAGCAACAAAGTACATGTAAGTACTTTTTTGACATATCTGTTCAAATATTCCCATTTTCTAAAAATGTGTACCTTCAGTCCACTACGGGAATATGAGTAAAATATTATCTTTTTTAACTCCACTACTTTCTGAATCATATATTATTACTCCAAAACTGAAGAAAACTCAACTGTCTTAAATATCTGAAAGTAAATGATCCAAACCAATTATATAAGTTTAGGCCCATCCATTCACACTCAAGTTATAAGGAGTGTTTCAGTCTGGGCTGCTTTTTTAATGATTCACTATACAGGACAGCCAATCAGAACAGTGATCCTGTACATATATCAGTTTTAAAAGCACAGTAACAAAAACAGCCTGTTTAAGGAATAAAGAGCGGTTGTAAAATGGTCATGTAGCATTTAATTCTTTTTGTTTTTGCTGCAGTGAATACATAAACATAAAGGTTAACACAAATAGGCCTCAAAATACAATACAAGAAAAATGTAGGATATGGAACTATTAAAAAAAGGAAAGGTTTGCCAGTTAGTTTTCCCTTGTTCATGTCCACGTCCATGCATGGCTCTTTTACTATAATAGCTCTTACGTACGTTTTCTTACTTGCATTAAAAAGCAATTACTTTTGCACTTGGATTTGTCTACTTTGGAGTAAGACTTTAAAACTGAACGGTAAATAAATAAACAACAAATGAAACAAACTAAATAACTCCTGTTAAAACCTGTTAGATCATAACTGTACTTCATACCTGCCCTGAACTGTAGGAGCTCACTGGAGTATTCTGAGGCAAAGTGGGAGATGTTCTGCGGCTGGTTCTTCAGCATGGCCCAGCTTAAAGCCTCCAGCAGCAGCTTGAGTTCTGGGGGGACGGCAGCATTTTGCAGCTCAGACTCCGTCTCCATCCCTGATTTTGATTCAGCTCATTTCAGAACAGGGATCCTTTCTGACAACAGCCAAACATAAAAGAGCCCTTACATCACAGAAGCAGTGATGACTGGGCTTCTGTCATAGTTACATCATTGATACATAGAACTGATAACAATGGTGTTTACTTCATAGTGTTGTTGGGTGAACTGATTTTTCTGGATAGCTGAGATGTAAACAAAGTCATTTAGAGTGTTTTAATGTGAAAAGGTTCATTATAGAGAAACTTACCAACTCATACAGCAGTGGTGGTGATGGGAACCAGGAGTCACAATGTCTGCAACACAAGCGTAGCCATCTAATCTTCTTATCTTTATCGTTATTTACTGTCCAAAACAAACTACACGTCTTCTGAGCTTTTATACGTAATATTAATAATGGTAAGATTGTGAAAAAAGTTGTTTTCTCTGGGTACTATTTTGTCTCACTGCACCCTGCAAGTTTTATTTTTTTTTATGTGTTTTAGGCCAAAACATTATCATAAAACTATCATATAACAATGTCACAGATATCAGGTAATGTATTCATAACTATTTTCAATAAGTTTCTGTGAGGCATGTAATAATTTCCTGAGACATTAGAGGGCCCAAATCTTTTTTTCATGTGTTTTTGTTTTTCCCCCTTGAGATTATAACATGTGTGTTGTTTTATGAACCAAAAACATCAATAATTAATTTTTACATGATCATATTCCAACCTCTCTTTATCCCTTACAGTTAAACAGGATATATTTGTTACTCTGCCTTCAAGACTGATGTATATAAATGACTCCTGTTCTGATTGGCGGGCCTCATTTGGAAAGTAGTCCGAGCTGAAACACGCTTTTAAAGTTTGCATGGCTGGGCGGAGCTAAACTGCTGTGAACTCAGTAGGCCTCACAGAACATCACAGAAACAATGAATTCTGAACAGCTATTTTCCATATATGGACTGTATGGACTTAGAATTGAGTGGTACACTTTGACACTTGAACAGTGTTTACACTTTTTATCAGACTAAGCAATTAAGAAAACGGAAAATTCAATTTTCCATTATATGGGCCCTTTAAAGGCTTCAGACATTTGGTTCACATCACCACGACTGTAAAGTTAGAAAGAAGGAAAGCTAGAACATTTCGCATCAAACCACTCTGAATGACTTTGTTTAATCCTTAATTTTAAAAAATCTGTGTAATTCCTCTTTAACTAATTCACCAAAACTCCAGATGCTTATTTGTCTCAGGCATCTCAGCATGTACAGCAAAAGCATGCCTGAAACTGTGGGTGAGTCAGCAGGGGGCGCTACTCTACACAAGACCATGTCTCTGGGAAGCTGAGGACAAACCTCACAGCAGCTGGACGAAGGGCACAGCAGAAGAGCTTCTGTTTTAATAAATAAACGTGAAAGCTACTGAGAGGATGGATCAGCCTTAAGCAAGCATTTAGAATTACTGCTGCACTTGATAATTACAAAGAAAAAAGGCAGTGAAAAAATATTTAACAGAATTTTTTCATAATAATACTGTATTTGTCATTTTGTTGTGAAAACAATTCATCTTAAGATATTTTTTGTTTTTCATAAAGCAGACGTTTTACTTTATTTAAATTTTCTAAAAAATGATCTATCTATCTATCTATCTATCTATCTATCTATCTATCTATCTATATACATATAGATAGTACAGTAAATTATTGCCTACTGCATTACTCATACAGTCTTGTAAAAATACAGATAACTATAATACAGTAATACAGCAGAAATAGAGCTGCATAATCATTACTGCTGAATGCAGCTACATCACGCTAATCTTGAGGTCCGGGCGACGTCACAAAACCAACATATTTACATATTTTAGCCTATTCAGCCTACAGCACTTTAGCCCCGCCCATTCACACTCAGAAGTCAGAACAGAGCTTATTTACATATATCAGGCTCAAAGGACATTAACAAAAACACGATTCTAGGGGATGAAAAGTGGATGAAAATAGTCAAGTAAAAGAAATATGTTATTTATAATAATTATTATTACTGCTTTTGGTATATAAACCCCACAAACGTCATTGGTGGGCCTCAAAAAAAGTAGGATATGGGTCTTTAAAACAAACGTTAGCAAGATCGATATTCTTGGCCATAGATATTTCTATTCTTACAAATAGATTTGAGGTCTTTTGAAAGCACATCTAATCATTAAAGAAAAAGCAAAAGCCGAGTTATAACAACAAAGAACTTACACAGCAGAGAATGTAACTTGATGGGAGGATAGGAGCGGAGAAAAGCAAAACAAAAAAAAGGGCAGAAAAAAGACAGCTGTTTTTAGGGTAACCTAACTAACCAATCAGAGCGCGGGGGGGGCGGAGCCTGTCGGAATACGGGTGTGGAAAAAAAGAAGAACGCAACGGTCCTCGTCGCTTCATCCGGTTACGCCCACAAAAACGGTCACAACAACCAGCCGCCTTCAGACCGAGAGCTGGACACAAGGCTGCTGACCGTGAAAAGAGGGATATGGGAGCGTGAGCGGGTCCAGCGACCACTCGGGGGTCTGTGTTGAGCGCTTTGCCCCCGGCTGGCCCTTATGTGGAGTCTTTTCTTTCGTTTTCTGTGACACTAATAGCTAGTTAGCCTGCAGCTGCTGTGCTCCTGACTCTGTTTCCTGCTGATGGTGTGAGTTGCCGGGCTGTTTTCGGGCTCTGTTCGGTGTGGAGTTGGTCTGTTTTTCTCTCTGCCCTATCCTGCTGTCTGAGCCATGGCTGAGGCCGAGCAGGTCGACGACGCCGAACTGTCTCTCCAAGGAATAAACATGCTGCTCAACAACGGCTTCAAGGAGAGCGCCGAGCTTTTCCACAGATACAGGTGAGCAGGTGATGTCCAGAGCGGTGGGGTTGGCCTTTGGGTCTGAATGAGAGAACGCTCAGCTCAGTTCTGTAGTACAGGCCTGATTTCATTAGTGTTGTCTGGCCCGGGTATCTTTTCCTAGTTATTCAGCAGAGGCGGGTAGTTTTAAGTATAAGTCATGTGATCTAAATGGGGAAAAAAGACTCAAGTAGACCTAAAAGTAGCTCCCAAACCATCTTGAGTTGGAGAAAGCTCCTCCTAGAACTGCGGTGGAACTTTTTAATACATCCACTGTCCATCCTACTGTAGTAATTAGTAGATACTCAAGGGGTTCCTCTGCTTGCCCCATTGGCAGAACCCTTTAGGGAGCCTCCAGGAACCCTTTTTGAAAAGGGTGGTTCTTTGAGGAGCTCAGCTAACCTGTAGCTGGATGGATACTCAAGGGGTCCTCTGCTGACCCATAGGCAGAACCTTTTAGAGAAACTCCAGGAACCCTTTTTGAAAAGAGAGGTTCTCTGATAAGCTCAGCTAAGCTATAGCTGAATAGATATTCAAGGGGTTCCTCTGATTGCCCCATTGGCAGAACCCTTTAGGGAGCCTCCAGGAACCTTTTTGAAAAGGGCAGTTCTCTGGGAGCTTAGCCAACCTATAACTGAATTGGATACTCAGTGGGTTCCTCTGCTTGCCACATTGGCGGAACCCTTTTGAAAAGAGCGGTTCTCTGAGGAACTTGGCTGTCCTTCAGTTGAAGCATGGTGCTTGGTGGAACCCAGTGAGGTAGTTAAAGGTTCCTGCAAGGATATGTAGGCTTTCAAGGGTTCCTGCAGCAACCCTGTGGGAATGGGAAGGTTTTTTGTAGACACCCAAAAAGATGATGTTATTTGAGAACTCTGTTGGATATTCAGCGCAAGTTTATATAGTGGAGATTTGTTAAGCTCCTCTTTTGGGATCTTTTTGTCTAAAATAAAAGGACAAAGCTTAAAAGAGAGAAGTGAGTGCAGTCCAACTGCTGATCCATCAGAACAGAATGAAACTAAAAAAAAAGGAATTAGGGACTAAATGGGAATGGAACTGAGAAAAAAGTGGGTTTCTCATAAATAAACTCAAGGAGAAGTAAATGCAGGCCCATTAGCTTCTGAAAATGCTCATAAAAGTACAAATCCATCAAGATGTTGACTGCAACTGAGTAAATGTAGCTGATTACTACCAATCTTATGGTCAGTCATTAGAGCGTTGGACAGTTCTGTTAAAGAAATAACAGGTTGGTAGGCCACTGGTGCAAACTCTAATATATGCCTGTACAAGTTGCTCTTGAATTCAGTCAGAGCGGCAGGCTCATAGTCATCTCTAGAAAGTTAGAGTTCAGTCATTGTGAAATAAAAACAAGTCTGTCTTGCTTTCAGACACAGATGATTGCACATACAGCTTTACAGTCAGAGATGGGACCACAACAGTTGGTGATCGTGTAACCTCAGACATCCTGCATGTGGGAGTTTTCATAAATCTCAGTCCCCAAAATGCTTAAACTGCACAAATTAGAGAAATATTTGAAAAGGAAAATAGAGGTGTTGTTCGCTTTGGTCTGTCTGAGAGCAGATAGTTGCTTGATCATGGTGCAGCTATATTTAGTGGTGTTAAGTGTCAGTTCCCTCTGCTAGCAGCCCGTACTCCCAGCATGAAGTGTTCTGCTTAGCACAGTTAATGAGCTAAGTGACATTTAGATGCACAGTGCATGCTGGGACTCTCCAGCAGCTCTATAGATCTGAGGAGCATCATCTTCAAATGAGCTTTTCTAGGTGTAAACAGCAAAAGCATAGGATAAATCATGTTTGAGTGGGACTTTTGTACAAATGTCCACTTTTTTCCCCTTTGATTCACATCTGTGTAATAGTGGATGATATGGTAAAATTATAACGTCACAATAGAGCTGGGCAGTATGGCTGTATATAAAGTTATCGTGATAAAATCACAATACAACACAGTGTGCTTTTCTGAATGTACTGTGGATATTATAAAACCTGTAGAACATTGACCAACTGCATGTTTTGATATGAAGTGAGCAAATTTAGTCCAGTTTAACTGGATTTAGTGCAACACAGTTTGCCAAATATGGAATAAAAAGCATCAGTTTTTGACAGTATTTTTTAAAATGTAGCACTACTAGTTCTTTTTTTCTCTGTTCCAACTGATCAGACGAAAAAAAATAAATATCATGACACATTGTGTATCGTGAAAATTTGTTGAAGTATTGCGATATTAGATTTTTGCTATATGGCCCACCTCTACATCACAATATGCAGTTTTGTGAACAAATCAGAACAGACAAAATATACCTGTAATACCTGGATGTAAATAGGTTTTGAAAAGGATAACAGCTGATGTAAAAATGGAAAATAGGTTTTTACTTCTCTAATAAAGGTGGTATTAATCATAATATAGCATTGATGTGTAAAGCCCACTCCCTACAGCATATATCTGAAAAAACAAATATTCTTGAAAATGGTCTATAATGCATTTTGGAACAAAACCCTTCAGTTGTTGTTGTTTGCAGGTTCTCTATAATTGGTTGAAACTGATCTTTTCCATGATACTTTCTGTTGTTCAGTGTTCCAGAAGCCCAGATGGTACCCAGATATAGCCAGGATAGCGTATTGTGTTACAGTTTATCATGATAACAATAATATAGTCATATTGCCCAGCCTTACTTTGACTTACTGCTGCTGGTAAACACTGTGAATTACCAAGTTATGTAATGAAAGAGTGCATATCGCTGCTGTCGGAACAAAACCTTGTAGTGCTGACTTTACAGGAGAAGGAAAAAACCTACTTCACTTTTAATGTAAGTCAGTGAAACCAGACTTTTGTCCAAGTTATTTTGGGCCATTTCTTCTGGTCCAATCATCATGAAATTTACACACAATGTAAAGGGCAACAGGCTTTTTCAAATAATGTCAAAAACTGAAAAACGACAAAAATGGAGATACAAGGTTTTGTCCCGACAGCAGCGATATGAAAACTCCTGTAGTTGGATTTTAGATCAATAAGCTTTTTACAACTCACGTCGGTCAGTGTCTGTCTCCAATTCCTTAAGCTGAATGAACAGTGTACTCTGAAGAGCTTGAGTTTCTAGTGTTCTGACTGTTACTCACATTGCTCAGATTGTAATATTCCCACTGGGGCACGGCATGAGCACTGAAACTGAGCTGGGGTCAGTGACGGAGACGATACCCAAGATGCTGTGTTTACAAACATTGGAACAATTTGACCGCACTGTTGCGTCTATTTACACTTCTGCTCAAATGTTTGGAGTCACTTGTCTTTTTGGTTGTTGTATTAAATAACAGTGTCTGAAGTGTATATTGAAATATTATAATCTAGAAACGAAAGTATCTGAAGTATTTGAGACGGGTTATACAATAGTTCAAGTTTTTGGGTATCCATGAACAGATCTATATAATGGGTTATAAAATATTAGACATTCTGTACACTTAAAAAAGATGGTACTTCAAAGGTTGTTAAAGAAAGTGTTTCTATATAGAACCATGGACCTTTAAAGAACCGTTTGCACGATTAAAAGGTTCTTTGCATCATAAAAGGTTCTTCAGACTGATGGAGAATGTGCTGTAGATGGTTCCACATAGTTTAATAAAAAAAGGTTCAACTTTGAGAAAGAAATAAAAACATAATCACCCTTTAGATGGTCTAGATAACATGTATGTGAATGATACCTTCCACAGTAACACCTTTTCACCATCTCATAATAATTCTGACTAATTTACTTACATCCATCATTCACTGCAGGTTTGTCATGAGGAGTTTTTCCTTCACTTGACCCAGACAGTAGTGCTTAGAGATGGTTCTGATTGGCTTTATTACACAAACAATCAGTTCCTTCAATATAGTTAAAAGGGAATTCCAGCGACAAGTTCTGTATGATTTAGTGTTTGCGGTGTAAACAAAGTCATGGGTTGGTGTGACATTGCAGAGAAACTCATAAACTGAGAGTTCAATGCCAGTGATAGGAACCAGGGGTCGTGACATCTACAACACAAGTACAGCCATTTTGTTTACTATCAAACATGACCAGTGAACCTACACATGTCCTCTGAGTTATATATGCAATGTTGATGATGGTAAAATAGTGGTAAATCTAAAAAATGTGTTTTCTTTAGGGACTATTTTGCCTTACAACACCCTGCATGTACTTCTCCACCCTACATATGTTTAAAAAAATCAGTTTAGGCTCAAAGCTTTTCGTAAAACATCGTGAAACTATGTCTCAGGCAATAAGCAGTGAATTTGTCATCATTTTGCTTAGTAACTTTATGTGAGGTTGCTTTTTGAGAAGTCATTTGAGATGTCTGGTTCCTATCACAATGATAGTGAGCAATTCTGACTTGGTGAATTTCTCTAGAAATATGCTTTTCATATCAAACTGTTCTGAATTACTTTACTTTATTTTCGTCTTAACCATTTAATTATGCTGAAATTTTGAAAACCTGGTAGAGTTTCCCTTTACGGCTCTTAAAGTACATTTCAGGAAGGACTCACTTGCTCATTGCATTGTTTGAATGAGGTTCAGAGAAGCTCTAGTTCAGCCAGTTTATTTTAAGGAACAGGAATCACAGAGAAATAGAACTGTTTAGTGTTGAGGCAGTCATTTTTAAACTGTTTGTGTCATGAGTTAAAACCATATTTGAGTTCATTTGAAGTGGATACACTTCTGAAAGAGGCTCTAGAGCGGTGCGAGTTGCTTATGAGAACGGTTTCTCATCACACTTGTGGGCCTCCCACAGCAGTACTTCCTCAAAATGTGCTCTCGGCGAGACACTTTTAATTTGTTTTTGTCTGCTTACACAGCTGAAGTAAAATAAATATTAACATTTCAACGACATACAGTTTATTGAATTTACTTCTCATGAAGTGCATGGAGTGATCCACAGTCATAATACATGGTTCATCACATCAGAACACTGCTTAAGCAGCTTTGAGTTCACTTGCAGTTACCATTTTTAAGAGGAAGTGAAAGTATCAGTCTTTTATGTGGTTTTAGCCTTGGGGAAAAGATGGATTGTTAAAGTATATTGTTGTTGTTGATGTTAAGCTGGTTTGATCCATGTTAATGTACAGCAGATATTTAGACTGAATCATCATTTATTTATAGCATCCCCCTCGTTTATGAAACTAGAAGGTGGTTGCTGACTAATATTGGTGTGTATCAGTAACCTTTCTGCCTGGTGTTTGTTTTTTGTCTTCCAGGAATTACAGCCCTCTGATGAGTTTTGGTGCTAGCTTTGTCAGTTTTCTGGTAAGTAGTTTCTTATTGAGAAAACGAATGAGTATAATTAGTATAAAGGAACTGTTTAAGAAAGATCAGGAGGAAAAATCTAACAGTCAAGAACTGCTCTATAAGTCCTGATGAGACCTACAAAATACAGAAAAGTGTGTGGCAGTGCAGTTTGACATGTTAATGATAGCATATTGTCATATTGCCCACCCTTGCTTTGGAAAAGAGTTGTGCTTTTGTATGCATTCAACTGCTGAACAGTGCACTCGACCTACTACAGAATGCCCCGTCAGTTGTGAATGTGCTGAAAACTAGGATTGAAGACAGATAGTAAACCCTGTATAGTTTCCCTAATACTTTAGAGCTTTGGTAACCAAACCTCCTCATTTATAGTTCCCAACTGCATCTAACATGCATTACAACCCTTACATAACACTAATGCATCTGATTCGACCATTCAAAGACTTCTGAAGAAGCTTGTTAGTCCAGATAATGGTTGGACCTAGACTCTACATGAAGGTAGATCTCCAGGATGAGGGTTGTTGATCACCATCTTAACCATTTGCAGTTGTACTGTAACATTGACGCACCTGACCTTGTTGACATAATAAAAAAACTTGTAAATGACTATTCATTATGCACCGTTCCAGTATCCTGGATCAGTATCGCCAAGTGTGCTGCCCTGATTAAACAGTTCTGATGTTGGCCATAATAAGACCAATCAGTATTTACTACTGTTTCTTATAAAATTGTAACAGTAGCCAGTTGCCTATATTGTCATGTGCTTTTTTTGTCTTATTTGTTCTTTAGAGGTACTGTGTTAGTTGCATTACATACAGTACTGTGCAAAAGTTCAAGACCACCTTCATTTATTAGTTTTTAGATTAGATACAAGATAATCCACATCCATAAGGAAAAGGAAAGTTAAAGTATGTAAACAGAATTTCTCAAAGCTGGAGTTTAAAAACGATTTAAAGATACAGGGAAAATGGGACTCCTAACAACCAATCAAGACCTGGTAGACACCAAACCTGTCCCGTCACCACAGGTGTTTCTGTCCATTCTTCCACTGTGAGAAGACAACTCAATGCTATGAGTCTGAAAGGATGTGTCTCTGTCAAGAAGCTCTTACTGAGAAAAGGAAACAGACAAAAAAGAAGAAGATTTGCAAATCAAGCAAAGCTGCTGGTGCTCTTAGATCAATAGACTGACCACCCCAGAGTCCAGACCTCAACATGACTGAATTTGTTTGGAATTACTCGGATTGTGGAAAGCAGAAAGTACAACCAACTTCAAAGACTGAACTTTGGAGGTGTGGAAAAATATCCCTGCAGATTTCTTTAAAAACTGAAAGCAAGTTTCCTGAAAAGAATGGATGCTATTATAAAGGTCTAAAAAGAGTGGACACACTAAATGCTAAAACATGTTTTTTATACTTAGTTGCTGAGGCTTTTTTATGTAATTTTCTGTTATATTTTCTGTCTTTTTTCCTGACATTGTAAACCTAATACCCAGTGGATGTTTTGACTGGAAATTAAATGAGGGGTGGTGTCTTATTTTTGCACAGTACTGTGTAAGAATAATTCCAAGCAGTTCCACACAGTGAGCTATACAGATTTTATTTTGAAGAAGAAAAAGTAGTGCTGGTATCACATCTGTACTCGGTGCCATGAGCTGGAATCTGTATCGGGAGAGAAAAAGTGGAATTGGTGCATCACAGAAGAATAATGCATATAAAGAATAGTGCAGTAATGTGCTGAACAGCCTTGTTGAAGAATTTGAACCGAACCATTTTATGTACAGGATATTACCGAAAGGAACCAGACACCCTCTTTTTTTGGTAGCGCTACCCTTCTTCCTAATTGCTGCTTTTAAAAAAAACTTGCTTAAATGAGTTGGACGGATATTACATCATCCAAACTCTTGAAGCAGTGTTGAAATGTTTTCACAAAAATACCACGACTGCTTCTTGTGCAGTGAGAGATTTTCCCCTGCACATGATGCATTTGTCAGCATCATCTTTTTTTTTTCCACTCTGCATTTTTTTTGTTCTGTTCCAGGCAGCACAGCTGAGTCAGATAATCAGTGCTCACAGAACTTAATGTGGATCAAATGTGCTGGAGAGCTTGAATAGTAATGTAATGTAATTCATAACGGGCTTGGAGTTGGAGGCTTTGTCTCTGAGAAATATTCCAATCCAAATGTGGCAAAATGTGAGCTGAATATAGGAGCGGGCATTATGACAGTATATTGTGAATACTGTGGTCATTTATTCTTAGCAAAGTGTATTGTTACACATCACGGCTGTCCACAGTATTTAATAACTGAGCAACTGCCTGTATCACAGAACAAACAGATCTAGACAAGCTAAAGAGTAGCAGATCATTATAACATGATCGTATTTTTAGCAGTCATTTAATTTATTTTTTATTTAAAATAGTTCATTTGCAAAAACAGTTGTATGCGTAGTCTGGTCAAATGACATGTTTTGTAGAATTTTAGTGAATGTAAGTGAATGTAAGTGAACACGCGTCCTCTACAGAGAACACGCTTCGGCACATAAAGCATAAAATGTGGCCTGTGCAAAAGTTATGGCCAATTTTGTGTTGTATGTTTTATCTATTTCCAGTATGTTACTATACACACTGTATGAATTATTTTCAAGTTATAGGAGGGTGTAATAGAAGTTTGGACCTGCTGCTGGCCTCTGGCCTTTTAGCCAGGGTCATTTAACATCTGTTAACTTTGAAAAAAGGTATTAAGTCTTGCACTGGATTCAGGAGTTCAGGACCAGGTTTAGACCTTTTTGAGGAAACCGACTTTAATAAATAAATTCTATTTAAATAAATAGAAACAATAATTTTGTCCATTTGTCATGAAATGTTTATAAAATGTGCAGCTGATCTAAGATGAATACTTCTCTAAGGTCATTAAAGAAGAATGACTCGGTGATTCTGTTATCGATACATTTCTTTATATAGTGATATGAGACTATAATAACGTGAGGTGGTGATCATGTTAATTTGGTGTTGAGTGCTGTTTGTTTTAGATTTATAGGTGCTGTAGAGGAGAAAACTGTATTTACATTGGCAGCGTTGAATAAACAGAGTTCGGTACATAGAACTGACATACCGAGAACCTCAAACACTGTGGTTTCCTCCTTTAAATGCAAATCCTGCTTTTGTAAAAGAGGACGGTAGAATAATAATAATTCTATCCAAAAATCTAAACAAATTCCATAAACTCTTATATAATAGTCTTGACTCATTCATATTTGTGCCCCAAAATTTACATACACTAGCCTGGCAGGTATTGTGAAGAATGAAACTAGGACAACAGAGCAACAGCAATGAAATGGCAGACTGTGCATAGAAATGTACCAATCCAGGCTGTGAAGGCAATGTCGGCACTTTTCATACTCTTCCCAAGAAACCGACCTGTCAGTAGGAATGGCTGATGTTCATCTTTGAACAAGGCTGAATTTGGCTTACTATTCGCTGACTGCTTAATCGATTGTTCCTTTCCTCCTTAAATGCTACAGCTTGTACAAGCACCAGAATGTTCACTCCATGTTTCTCAAACCCTGGACAATATCGAGCAGCTTCGCTCAGCGTTTGACCCTGAAGGGAGGGGCAGTTCTAACTTTATTAGTATCACAACCCCAACAGCAACCTGTAGGTAGCCATGCTGTGTGATTTGTGCACTATTTGACGGTTGAAGCCAGATCATCTTAATTTGAAAGTTTCATATTGAGCTAACAACTTTGATTTACTTTGTGTTGTCATCAAGATCAAAAGCACGTAGCTAGTATAGCTTAACGTTAGCTATTAGCAAGCTTCAAATAACTAGCATAGCTAACTAAGTAGTATGACAACCTCATTTATTTACACAGAGGTTCGTTTTTTTCCTGCGTATGTCTATTTTGACATGTTGCTTCTGTGTGAGCCATCGCAGCACCTTGCTGTAAACCAGCCAATCAGAGCAGAGCTCATCAAATTATTCATGAGTCAACAAAAAAAGGAAGCAGTTGTTTCATTCTAGGGCTGCAAATGGGCTTGTTAAACCGCGTCTAGGCATTTTTCGCCCTGACCAAAATCACGTACCTTCTATGTATCAGAAATTAATTTAAAATACTAAATAAATGCCCTTTAACCTTTTCACCTCCTTGAGACCACTGGCGGTTCCAAAACGCACTTTGTCATATTCTTCATAACTTTCATATTTCATAAGCTACATTCAGAAGGTGGGTGTCATATGAGAGCTGTAACTGTCTTCTTTCCAGTCAAATAGATGGGTAATGTCATTTTAAACCCTTATAATAAAAGAAGCTGAACTCACAGTTTTTTTTTTCTACTGAAAGTCGACCCATTTTTCCACAAATCTGGGCTATAAACTATGAACAGATGGTGTCTCTTCAGTGATCTGCTCTGTAAAAATTATTTTTATTTTTTGGGTTTCAGCAGTAAATTGTAAGCATATAGCAATATGTGTATGATCATAAAACACATTTTCTGTTAATTTGAAGGGGAGCTTTTACTAAAAAATAAAAATAAATAAACTAAAAATTTACATTTTATTTTATGCAGTTACTGAAAAATTTGCCTTACTATTTGGGCATGTAAATTCAGATGGAAAAAACAAAATATACCCTGGGGAATAAGTGACACTTTGTGTGTATGTGTTTTTTTACCCAACACGCAGAATGCCATGATGACGTTTGAAGAGGAGAAGATGCAGGTGGCATATGAGGACCTCCAGGCCACTGTGAGGCTGTGCGAGTGTGACAGCACTGGTGTCATCGAGACCATCAAAAACAAGATCAGGAAGAGTGTGAGCCTTCCAGGACTTTTTATTTTTATTCCTGTTTACTGTATGTTTCAGTCCAGCTGTCCAGATAAGCTCAGAGTTACACAGTACAAGTCTTCCATGATTAATCGCTTTCCGAATAGAAGCAAGTCATGATTAATTTGGCAGATCAGGAACCCGAAAATATTGAGTTATCCAGCTTATTTGTTCGCTTGGCTGTAGTGAACAGCCAAATAAGGATATTTTGTGTGTTTAATATTTTGTGCTCTAAAAATTGTAACAGATAATTCACTTTTTTGGGTAAGCAAATAAAACCTGAATATTTGCAGTAACCCTTTCTTAGCTTCCAGCTGAGAGCATACATGGAGCAGAGCCAACATAAAGTTCATGCATTTGTAAAGTGATGTAATTCATGTTTATTCAGTAGTTATTTATACCAGAGTATCCAACTGAAACAACTAAAATCCACATTAAATAAAAGAAACAACCCATTTACAAAAACATTCATAAGCACCGCCAAAAATGGAGTTTTCTTTTGCACAGCAGCAATAAAAAGTTTGTTTACAGTTACAGTTTCTCATCCACTCTGGACTGTGCAGTATTAAAGCATATATTAACCTTGTTTAATGGCACTAAGTTTTAGAGTTTAGACTTCACAAGTCTTGGTGTAGGTTTGTAATGGCTGAATAATCCCCCTGTAGTCTAGAGGGGATTTATAAAATGGAGTGCTTTGCTTTGTTACTAAGTGCTTGAGTTAATTAAAAGAAAATGCCATGCTGGAATAAACTGATATTTTACACATCTGTAATACACAAACAGTGTTTATTATCAGTAGAGTTTTATGGAATTGCTGATTGTACCTGACAGAGAACAGTGTCCACCTTCAACTGTTAATCCCGCTGTGCTAAAGTTCCTCTTGCTACTGCTGCTACTGCAGAAATGCTTAACACATGGCTGCAACAGATGTACTGTTAAACTTCATTCCTGGTTTCATTCAGGAGCACGTTCACTCACTCCTCAAAGTCGGAGGCTATTCCAAATGCAGGTAGTCATATCCAAAAGTTTCAATGCCCCTGGTCAGATGATATGTTTTGTTGATTTTCTAAGTAAAAATAAGTTACACATCTCTACAGAGAACACTCTTCTGCAAACTTTAATGAAAAATTACTGTTTTTGCTGAAATTTTAATATTTTAAAATTTTAAAATTTTAATAATAACTTATTTTCACTTAGAAAATGAGCAAAAAATGTAATTTGATGATGGCTGCCAAATTTTTGAAACAATTGTAACATTTTACGAGAGAGGGGGAGTAGACATTTTCATTCAAACAAAAAAAAATCATTAATTACCCTACAAACCTGAGCTTGAATCAAGCCTGACATTGTACATGAGAAATTGACCCGAAACCCAGTATTTTGCTGACCCCATCATACTTTGATACCAGACCTTTGATCTGGTTCTAAAATGTGATTGGCTCTAAAATGTGAAGTCACTGGAGGTCTTGTGTTACAGTGATCTTACCACAGTTAAGGGGGTTTGACTGCTTTAAAATGCCTGGATGTCTCATTTAGCTAGAGAACTTAAGCCATGAGTCAAGACTGTCCAGTGAAATCCCCCTTACCTCATCTCCTGTTTGCTGGAGTTGTGGTTTAGGTGTTTTTTGTGAAACCTCCTACAGCCCTCACAGTTCTGTGTGTTTATATCTAGCAGGTAGATGGTCACAGATCAGAGGTGGCCATGATGGAGCGGCTGCAGAGGCTGATCATAGTGGCAGACTGCCAAGTCTACCTGGCTGTGCTTTCCTTCGTCAGACAGGAGCTCTCAGGTTGGTTGTTGTTCATGACAGGAATTGCAGCAGGAAGCGGCTGAATCTGACAAGCAACGTCTCGCACGCAGTGACCCTTAAGCACACATTCCAGTTTATGTTTTCAGTCCAGTTTTTCAACATACCGTCTCAACCCATATGTCTGGTTCAATAGTCTTATGCTGTATTAGACCATTTCCTACACTAAAATCATTACTGAAAGTGTGTTTTTTAAATGCCACATTTTTTAATGTGAATCAACAATGGATTTCATCTACTGCAGTTGCCAATCGAGTTGGATGATATAAATGTCAGAATAGTCACTTTACTGCCAACGGGTTTTAAGACATACAAAAGTAATCACATTTGTCTCATAACCTTTGGTTTCTTTTACCATGTTTTCTTTTTCTAAATATGTATCTATGTCCATATCAGTCTAAATCTGCTGTCTGACTTTCTGTAAGAACATTCTGTAACAGGCAAGGCGGCATTTTTTTTTTTCTAAACCTTGGTCATGCTTGTTAAACAGATAAAACCTTGTGGCAGTCTTTCACTAAACGTGAAGAAGCCTAGATGGGAAAAAAGACATCTAGGTTAATATTAGTCTATAATAATAATATTAACAATGATAATAATAATAATAATAGGCTACAGTGACAGCAGGCTAGACTTCAGCCTATCGACGATAGTATCATCAGTCACCATTAGTTTCCATCTGTTGGGATTGTCAATCAAGTTGGACGATTTAAATGTCCAAAAACATTTACCAAGATGCAAAAAAGTAATTAGATCGTTTTGTAGCACTACAAAGTAGATGATTTCTACCCATTATCATGCTGGTTAAACTGATAAAGCTGTGCAGCAGCCTTACACACACACAATGCCTACCATCACGAAAAAGGAACGGATCCCTTATATCGCCGGTGTCGGAAGAAAACCTCATATCTCCAAAATAGTAACTTTACAGGAGAAGGAAAGAACCTACTTTACTTTTAATGTACGTCAATGGAACCAGACTTTTCATCATGAAATTTACACATAATGTAAGGAACAACAGGCATTTTCAAATTATATCAAACACTGAAAAACGACAAAAAAGGAGATACAAGGTTTTCTTTCAACAAAAGCGATATATATTTTTACTTTGTAATCACACCAGTTATTAAAACAAGAAAGACAACACAGCTACAGTTACAGCTACAGTAGGCTGCTACACATGGTTAAGCTTTAGCTGTTTTATTATGGAAATATGAACATCAAACACTTGTTAGTTGAACTTGTCAGACCTGTTCATATACAACACAACATAAAATAGTGACTAACATGATCTCCCCGCACCCAGGCAGGAACGCCACCCTTGTTCTGATAACGCTATCACCATGTCATCTGCATACGCGACACGTTTTGGGTCTGAAGTTTGCTTCGTTAGTCTTGAACTGGAGTTATGAGGCTAATGTAGCTAACAAGTAATGGGAGCTTATAACTCACAAATTAACATTGTGAACTATGCATAATTCGTCACACTCTTGCCTCAAACTGTGTTTTCTGTAATCTCAAGTAGATTGCTTATGTGGCTTCTGACACTGTATGAGACTGTTATCCATAAAAAAGGACTGAAGTACTTTATGTAACAAAAAATGGTGGGGGCAGCCATCTTGAAGCCTGAATTTTGTTAGTACTTTTGTCCATTTTTATATACAGCAGCATGCAGAACAGTGCTTGACACAAGTATATGGTGGTTTAGACATACAGTTTACACCAGTCTTTAACTATTAGACGTATTCATTTGTATTTGAGGAGACCGGTTTGAAAAGAGTCTTTAATTCAGAATAGTTCACTAACCAACAATATCCACTCTCCAGTGGTCCTGTGCTAAGAAAGTGACCACTGTTTGAATAAAACAGACATAAAAACATGGCGAATTTGAGAATTTGTATTATTTTTCTGTGTTAAAAAGGTATTGAAATGCATTGAATTTGGTTGTAAAAAAACTGTGCAGCAGGTTTATTATGCAATACTAATTGATGGCTACAAGCTTTCGATTACTTGTTAGCTGCATTAGCCTTGTAGCTCCAGTGCAAAACTAAAGAAGCAGACTAAAGACAAACATGACATTACTAACTAAGTACATTTGTGTTAAGGGGGTAGAACTATGTAAATTATATTTCTGGCTGAACAGTCAGATTAAGATTGTCATCTAGCTTTCAAATTCATATGGCAGAAAAACAAACAAAATGATTCTTTATAGTATCTAGTTGTTATTTTTTCATATCCCTTTACACTAGTTAAATACCATTTGTCATTCTGTTTGTGCAGCATATATTAAGGCTGGTTGGATTCTCCGCAAAGCCTGGAAGACATACAATAAATGCTACAATGACATCAGTCAGCTACAGGAAGCCTGCCAGAGGAGGTCTTCTGCACCTCAAGGGGCGCTGTCCTCTGATCGGGCCAAACCCAGTCAGAGTCCTCAGTCATTACTGCCTGAAGCCCAGGAAGAACGCTGTAGTGATCAGCCCAAAGACAACCAGAAATCTGCTCTACCTCCTGTACCAAAGGCTGCACAATCTAATGAACATCCTGACCACCAGGAGGCGAACACCTCCAGGAAACCCAAACCCAGCCAGAAGGCTCCCCTGCGGTACGAGGCCGGCTTGACGGCAGAGTCTCTGAGCCGACTGAAGGGTTCAGTCAGCTTTCGGATACGGCCTCTTCCACCTCTGCATCTCCATGGTGCCTCCTCACCTGCTCAAGATCATTAACCTGCTGGGCTTCCCTGGCGACCGGCAGCAGGGGCTAACGTCCCTCACGTATGCGAGCGAAAGTAAGGACATGAAGGCCCCTCTTGCTACGTGAGTAGGTGTAAAGATGAAGCTTCCCAAAGAACCACTTGCAAGTGGTTTTTGTAAAGGCTTTTAATGCAGGATGATTTAGGTGGGCAGAATTGGCTCAGTAAATAAGCTTAAATCACACATGTATGATGTAGACCTATAATATGTATGTACCAAAGGAGTTGAAAGAAATTCATTGGTTAAAAATGGGGAATTTTTAAAAGCGATTTTTCTACCTTTTTGCAGCACTCAGTCATCAAGGTGTAAAAGTACAGTGAAACACCCACATACATGCACACTAGTGAACACACACACTAGGGGGCAGTGAGCACACTTGCCCGGAGCAACGGGCAGCCCTATCCACAGCGGCCGGGGAGCAACTGGGGGTTAGGTCCCCAAGGACACTTCAGTCACGTACTGTCGGTCGAGGGGATCGAACCGGCGACCTTCCGGCTGCAAGGCTGGTTCCCTAACCTCCAGCCCATTCTCAGTGACTGAATTTTGCAGAAATGTTGGAAAATCTTGGCAATTCCCCTTTAAACAAATTCTGTTTTGTGACTTGATTGCTCTTAGCTTCTATTCATTTTATCTACATTAGCATGTTTGATGGAGATTTAGTTTTAAGATCTCTGTTAACAGTAGAACAAGCATTATACCCACATGTAGCCAAAATGTGGACATAAACTGGACGCACTGAATGCAAAATATCCGTTATCTAGCTGCATTTTTTTGGTTGTTTTCAAGTTTAGAGGCAGACAGAAACATTTTTTGAATTTAGGATAAAATCCAAACATATAACTTGGTAGAAGAACATGGAAAATTTGACACTTCATCATTGTATGTGACTTGAGTTTGTTCTGTTTAGTCTTGTCATGTGTTGAAAGAGGAGGAGTTTCGAGTTGCTTTGCATCTGTGTTTCAGACTTGCCCTCTTGTGGTACCACACGGTAGTTCAGCCCTTCTTTGCTCTGGATGGCTCAGAGACGGAGGCGGGGCTTCTGGCTGCCAAAGCCATTCTTCAGAAGAAAGAAGCGGAATACCCAGACTCCTCCCTCTTCATGTTCTTCAAAGGCAGAGTGCTGCGGCTGGAGGTGAGGACAATTTCACTTCTAGTGGGCTGATAAAGGCAAGTTGCTCTAGATTCATGCATTTATGCGCACTGTTCTGTGTCACACTGATTGCAGACCTTTGTGGCTCAGATGAACATCTATAAAGACCACTGAAAATCTGATTCCAGGTCATTTTGTGAATACAGCCTGTTGTGTGTCCACTTCTGTAAAAGTTTTGAATGTTGGCCAACTTGGCGAGCAGTTGGACGTAACTAGCATTGTTGCGTATAATCAGTTATTTGAATGATTTGTGCCTGAAGTCAGACTTAGAACCCGCTATTATCGGAGCATTTGCGTAAAGCATCAAGGAGATTCAGATACTTACTGCTTCCTTGTAAAGCGATGCCAACTTGTTATCTAATCAAAAACAGTTCCTCAAAGAGGAACAACAAAAAGGCTAAAATGAAGACTGGGGGAAAAAAGAGCAGACTGAAGCAGACTTGGGAAACAGAGCAATCATGCAAGCTTTGTTAGAGAGGAGGATGGTGATTTAATGTGGAAAAAAGCTTAAAAAGCTAAGTACAACATTTATTAGGTTAGAGCAGTGTGGGAGAATACAAGAGAGAGAGAGAATCTAATTCTGGTGCTTAGCCATACTTAGTCAAGCATAAGTGAACCTTTATAAACATCTAAAAATACATCCATAGTTTTTCCCTTTTATCCTCTGGGAAGGAGCTTTAAAGTATGTGAGGGGAAAGTTTGATTATGTGATTAATTGGAAAGGAAATGTTTCATTTTCACAGTGGGAAAAAAGTTTCTTTGCAAGAACACGTTTGACTGTTAGTGGACATCGCAGGAACCACTAGGACTGTGTGGCCAAATTACAAAAAAGTAGCTTTTTAAAGCTTTTTCACCAAATTAGACCTACAGATTGTTCTTTTTTTTTCTTTTTTTTTACAGTCGGCATGAATTGGAAATTGTAGCTCATGTTCCTTCAGTGACATATTTTTGACTAAAACACAGTATCAGGGAGGATCTTTGAGCTAGCTGAGCGTTTTCTCTCATTGATAGATGGGGATGGAACTTAAAATTAATGTTTAATATTACAAAGTCACCACACTTCATGCAAAGACTACAGAAAAACTAGACTATTGTGTTTCAAATGATTTGACATGCTTAATTGTGTGTAATATGACCAGAGATTTGAAGTAACAAGGTTAAAGGAACAATTTGGGTTACACATTGATCTATATGAAATATCTTTTTTTGAATGTGAACAATAATTTCCTAATGGTATAAAAATGCTTTGAAAAAATTAATAAGACCTTCTTAAGTCCTTCAGTCAGGATGCAGAGTGACCTGATAACTCTCTATACTGATGTGGCATACCTGTTTTCTTTTTGTTAGTCTTCTGCTCTGTGCCTTGGTGCCCATGTCATCATGTTAGCCTTGTGGTCACTGCTGAGTCTTTGTTATCTGATCAGTTTTCTCTGTATTTTCTTGTCATGTGTACCTGTCTGATGACTTCAGTGCCAAATCAGCAGTGCCTTAACGTCCTTCAACAGTGCTTTGGAACTGGCTACGGGCCAGAGGGAGATCCAGCATATTTGTCTCTATGAGATTGGTAGGTTGCCCTTTACCATTGCTGTTTGTAGACCCTGTGATTTTACAGCTGTGAAGTGGATTGGAAAAAAGGTTACTTCTCTCAGATTCACTGGACAGTAATCTAAACACAGGGACTGATAGTAATTCATGTAGCAGTTCTAGTGAGCGTTTGTGTGTTTGAATGTAATGGATATATACACGTAGGATATGTAATACCCTAATTACACTAATATTTACTTGTTTATATATATATATATATATATATATATATATATATATATATATATATATATATATTGATTGTGTATTTTAAGAGATTGATTAGTTTATTGGATGAACCTATGAAGGTTTGTTTGTGAAATGTAAGAAAGAGCCTCTTTTTGGTGGAGATTTTGATGGTGCTGATGTTCGGAAGGTTGGTGCAGTATGATCGAGTTGAGCTTCACGGATGCATTCAGAGCGTTTGATCGTCTGAGGACGGAGTCCCGTTGGTCCCAGTGCTACTACGCCTACCTCACTGGAGGTAAAAAGAAGACTTTGTCTAAAATTGATCACTATTTATTTATTCTTCAGTGTTAGTATTACTATGTAGAAGTGGAACTGTTTACTGAATAGTGGTAAAAACTAGAGTTTCACAATATCACTTTTTCTTTCACTGCAAAAAATGGTATCTTGTCAAGTGAAATTATCTTAAATATAGTCAATAAATCTAATATTTCTCTTGTTGAGATTGTTGTAAGCTCAATTTAAGATTGTTCACCTTATTTCTAGACATTTTTATGTTCTAAGTAATTTTATTAAGTTAAATTATCTCACTGTGTTGACAGATAATTTTGCTTGTTTTAAGAAATGTGCTTAAACCAGCAAAATTATCTGCCAGTATAATTTTGCTTAATAAAATGACTTAAAAAGGGGGAAAGTTTCTAGAAATAAGCTCGATAATCTCGAGTGCACAACCATCTCAAAAGGGGAAATATTAAATGTATTGACTAGATTTAAGATCATTTCACTTGACAAAATGCCATTTTTTGTAGTGTTTACAATACAGATCTTACAGCCTGGTGTTCACAGGCATTGAAACCTTGGGTGTCTCCTGATACCAATACAGTTAACTTTAAATTGAAGCGCTTAAGCTGAGCATCTAAAAGTGAGCTATCACACTCAAACTACTCAAACATTGTACTGCTCCACAGGACCTCCCTATTTCTTTTAAATGTTATACAGTTTTTGTTTTTGGGCTTCATTCTCAGCTTTACTTTCTTATTACAATGAAGTCTGCTGACTTGTAAATCTTTTTACCTCAGCTACACACAGCGCACTACTAGGATTGGCACTAATTTCCTGAACTAACTGACCATATTTCCCTATGTTTGTGGTTCAGTGTGTCAGGGAGCAGCAGGGTGATCTGGATGGAGCCTGCTCTGTGCTTAAAGATGCTGCTCGCTTATTCAGGAGGAAACACAACCAGATTGAACAGTTTTCCATGAGGAAGGTAAGACCTGATAACAACTGAGAAACATTCGCAACAACACAGTGTGTACATGAATTAAGGGGATACTTCACAAAGGACAGTTTAAGTAACCAGTTATCACATCTATCTGTAAATTTGAAAATCCATCTTGAGTCAGCTGAGACAAATTTAAAATGGCATGTGCAGCACTGTTAAACTGTGCTTTTAAACCTCCAAACTGGAATACATGTAATGCTTGTAACTGAGAATCCAAAACAGGTGAACTGTACTCTGGAACATTTACAGAAGAAAAAAGACAATCAGATTTACATTCTTGCAAATGTGATTTTTTTTTTTTTTGATGGGAAAATGCAACTTTGTTTGTCTCCTGTTTAGTTTTTGCAAACTTTCACAGCTAAAATAAACCCACTCCACCAATCACTGTTGTCTCTGTGGTTGGCATAGTAATAGTCAAGCTGACCAGATGGTTGTGTCTCAGCAACTTGGAATAAACATTAACAGGTTTAGCTTGTCACGCATGGTGTACATTCTCAAAACAAAATGCTCAAGACTACTACTTGCTGCTTTCACTTTACCAAACGGACAGTAGCCTACCCAGTGCTATTTGTGAGAAGCAAAGAATTTTTCACTTGAAAATATTCTTCCATTTGTTTTTTTTTGTTGTTTTTTTTTTCTTCACAGCACAAACACAATGGCAAAATTGCATTTTGTGTGGTGCACATAGTTTCAGCAGACATGACTACAATATATAATTTTATTATCTGATAACAGCATGTTTTTCCTGTTTGCCTTGTTTAAAGATATCTTTCAACTTTGTTTTAATTTGTCTTTACTTGGTTATAAGACAAGTAATCCAAAAGGCATCAGGTTATGTTACTTTAATATAGTAATCCTTTGGATTAGGTTACAGATTACATATTTCAGCAAGTAATCAATAATCTGTACTGGAATACATTTTTAAATTATCCCTATTAACCCTGTGAATGTGTTGACAGGCAGAGGATTTAAGAAAACTCCCGCCTACAAGAGAGCGGTGCACTATGGCAGCCATTGAGGTGCTCTACCTTTGGAAAGCTCTGCCCAACAGCTCTACCTCCAAACTGCAGCTCATGATTCAAGGTAAAATATCATAATCATGATTTTTTTTTTTAAATCTTGGGTCCTAAACATGCTGCTAGAAATCTGGCCTGCATTATTTAGTTCCAGCCCTAATTTAACACGTGGCTGTAATATCCAGATGCTTCTGAAGATCTTGATTAGCTGGTTTTTAGGAGGGGATCCATGATTTGAATGGGCTTAGGGATAGTTAAAATGCTCAGAATGCACACACAATTGAATTGTGAATAATCTGACGTGATTTAAACAGCCGTAAACCACTTTTTACACTCCAGCTGCTGAGAATATTAACCAGGTTGGTAATTGTTGTGGTGCTCTTGTGCTGCATTGGAGTTATAGCCTCCGCTGAGAACAGTAGATAGAAGAGGAAACTCTGTGGTTCTTTAAATGCTGCTTTGTTGATGGCTTAACTGAAGTTGAAAATGTATGCAGGAACTGTGTGAAGAAATGGTTAAATGGGTTTTGTGAGAAACAGACAAACTCTATTTCATCAATGTTTTTCTGTGTGTCAGTTTTACAGCAGATGGAGGACTCTTCGTGTTCTGGTCTAAAACACCTCCTGCTGGGAGCCGTGCACAAGTGCCTGGGCAACAGCGCAAACGCAGTGCAGGTAAACAGCATTGAACTGCAGTACAACATTCATGCACAGTTATGTGGAATAATAAACATGACATTACTACAAACCCAATTCCAAAAAAGTTGAGATGGGAAATGCAAATTAAAACAGAAAGCAATGATTTGCAAATCCTTGTTGACATGTATTCACTTGACAACAGTAAAAAAATACAAAAAGTAATGTTTCAACTAATTATGCTTTATTGATTATATATCGCTGCTGTCGGAAGAAAACCTTGTATGTCCATTTTTTCTCGTTGTCCAGTTTTAGACATAATTTGAAAATGCCTGTTGTCCTTTACATTGTGTGTGAATTTCATGATGAATGGACCAAAACTTTGTTTACTGACAGGGGTACTCCCTAGCCCATGTGGTTATATTCATTACAGAAGCATGTCTGTTTTTAATGCAGTGCCTTCTGAGGGATCAAAGGTTGGCCTCACCCTTTACACACAGAGATTTCTCTGGATTCTCTAAAACCTTTAATAAAGTTAGGGACTGTAGGTGGTAAAATCCCTAAATTCCCTGCAATCGCACGTTGATGAATGTTATTGGGGCGGTTTCACACTTGTCCCGAGTACTTGAGTCCGTACCCAGGACCGATTCTGAGCTTGTTTGGGGGAGGGGCTCATTATTGCTGGGTTGCTTTCACACACGAGAATTCCATCCGAGCTGTAGATCGATTACGCAGTTCCATATGTCACTTTTCTGCATGCAGCTTTGCGCAACAGTAGGCACTAGCTTCATTTGTTGGCTGCTTTTTATTATTTTCTTTGGATAAGAGCAGAGCTTTTTTCCTCCGCTGTCCACAAAGATCTTTTCCATGCCCTCATGAAGCTTAAAAAGGGAAGTATTGCACTAAGTTGAAGCAGTCACATTACAAAATGAACCAACCATGTAACCCCACTTACAGCGCCGGGAGTGGATAGCTTCCACGCGCACAGAGAACCCCACCGATTTCAGAAGGACCGAAAAATCGGCTCTCTGGACCTCTCGGGCTCGAAAAACTGTGTTCACACTTGACCAAACGTATCAAACACGCAGAGGAAGCAGACCTGGGTCCGGGAAGACAAAGCTCTAGTGTGAAAATGCCCGTTAAACTATTGGACTATTCCCTTAAGCAGTTTTCTTTGCAAAAAAGTGGTGACCTAGCCTTTCATGAATGCTTCTTTTATTCCCAAACGTGGTAGCATCACATGTTTACCTGTGGAAAGTTCCAAAAAGTTGTTTTTGTTCATTATACAAGCTTTCCAGTCTTAGATTACTCCATCCCAACTTTTTTGGAATGTGTTGCAGGCATCAAATCTGGAGTTATATATAGAAAAATCAATAAAATTGATAAGATAAAATATTAAATATCTCTATTTTTGTGCAGTTTTCAAATAAACACCTATAAAAGATATAATAAGTATCCAAAACACTGCTTTCTGTCTTTATTTGCTGGAGCGAATATGTGAGGGGGAGAAAAACAATGAATGTGATCAAATCTTGAAACAAATCTATCCTGAAATAACACTTCATATTTGCATTATGTGATGATGTGATGTTAGCTGTGTATTTCTTTTCATGGATTAGTAGAGTGTTTCAGTAGTTTTAGTATGATGGTCTGCTTCTAGACGGATAAGTGAAGTGCCTCAGTTTAAAATAGAGTGTTAGATTTTACACTTTTCCAAATTGCAGTTAAAAGCGCTTATTGAACTGTCTGTCTATATCAGTGCAGCTATCTAATGGTAAAGTGGCCTTCCGCCAAGTTGTATTAGATGAGCATGCATACATACAGTGACTAATATATTTGCGTTTGAACTCTGCAGTGCTTTCAGGTGGCTTTGAGAGATGAGCAGGGACATCTGTGTAACTCCTACGTGCAGCCCTACTCTCTATATGAGCTGGGATGCATATTTCTGGAAAGCCCAGAGGTAAGTTTGTGTGCGTGCGACTGTGTTTGTTTTGACGGGGTACAAATAAGCTAATGCATTGTTTTAGTTTTAGTTTTATTAATGCTGTTGCTATCATAAGGCTATTATTAACAATTATTGGCTTTGTCTTTTTTGTTTTTATTAACTATTCTTTAACCACATCTTCAAAATCATTTATCCTTTGGTGAAAGTTTCGCAAGGGAAGGCGTTCCATGTGTGGAGGGCTGCAGCATGTTCATAAAGCACAGTTAAAATATAAAAACAGACAGAAATGGACTACACGTTAAAAGAAAATGCTCTCAAAGATTGTGATTGTGATTCCTTTAGTGCATTTTAAACCTGCAGACAGTGTGTTTTCTAACGTTTAAATCATCCAAGGTGATTGGCAGTCACGACTGATGGACTTTATCAGCGATTCGTGCTACTATAATTAATTGGCTCAAGCCCAACTACATCAAATTCTGAACCTGTCCTTGCCACTGAGCATGCAGCTGTGATGGCAAAACAACTAAACAAAAACTGTATTTGGTCAGAAACAAACAGAATACAATTCAGCAAAAAAGAGGCTGTGAAATGCTTCATATACCAACTGGAACAAAAACACATTCAGGTTAAACTGACACATTGAAAAAGCTGAGCTGAACTTGATATTGCATCAGTTTATGGCTCCATCTGTTTTAGCAGAAGGAATAATTCATATTAAAACATCCTTTGATACAATGCTGGGCTTCTTTGCTTTATGTTTTTCTTTATTTTACAGTGCTGTTGTATGAAAGCAATAGACAACTTAAGGGCTTGTGTTAATGCAGATAACATCACACCTTTGATGATCTACTGTACTCACCCTCAGCTTTCCCTCGTGTTTCATTGCGTACAGATTCTTTAGCCACTTAGTAGTAATTTAGCCACTGAGCAGTCCTGTTTTTTTCTTCTTATTTTTAGTCTACAGCCAAAGGAAAGAGCTCTTCTACTTCAAGCCAAGGTACAGTGTCAGGTTGTTTGTTGTGTCTCCTTTGTTTAATATGAGTGAATTTTCCCTTATACACCCATATACAAACTTCTGAAATCTTGGGGTCACTTCGCCTGCTTCTGACAATACTGACTATTGTTTGATTTTCAGCATTATTAAAGTAATGCTAAAAATCTGCTGTGTGCTAATCCTGTGTATGTATTCAGCTTTAGCAATCTAGGCTAAGCTAGTTCATCAATGTGTTTTTCTCAGAATGAGGAGCAGGTTTGTCTAAACAATGATTTGACAGTTTTCTTGTCCAATTGTTAAAAGCACATACTGAAACTCTTTTGACTCAAAGATGGTTTAATCATCTAAAAGGTTTGAGTGATGATGAGTGCTAACATTGCTATAAGAGGATAAAATTGGGAAGGGGGGCATTAGTATTATTTCTAAGTTATCAGATTTTTTTTTCTTCAACTCTGTTTGCAAACAAAAACAGCTTTATATTTAAAGTAATGTTCATTGATCTTATTTTTCTGTGATATTTTCTCATATAAAGTGGGAAGTATATTGTCAATATTGGAAAAAAGTCTTAACTTTAATATACTTTAATAACTTTAATTTTGGACCATTTCTATTGGCGCATTTGACATGTTTGCCCCCTGACTGTTGGTGTTTTCCAATATTATTAAGATTTCAGTATGACAGTGATGGGGAGGTCAGGTGTGACTCTGTGTTTAAACACACAGATGTCGTTTGTGTTGTGTTACTTTACAAAGTGAGACAACATCTGTGTGCTGTCTTGTTCTGCAGGAGGACTTTTCTGCGTATGACTTCGAGAACAGGCTACACGTGCGAATCCACACAGCGTTGGCTTCGCTGAAAGAGGCAGCAACCCGATAGCTAGACTTTTCAAGACTTCACTCCCCTTCCAGAAGCAAGAGCAATATGATCTTGTGTAATAAATGATTGACAGTTTGAGCGACTCTCGCCTTGAACAAGGGGAAAAAAAACGAACGTCAAACATCCGTAAATGACTGAAGACCCGTGGGACAGCGCTGGTTGCACCCGAGCGCACTCCACTGGAAGAATTAATGTTGAACATCACGACACAACAGTGTCCGAAAAATGACACAAACGTCCCCTTTAAACAGCGACGGAGGCGATGGATGGAATGGCCACAATAGAATGAAAAGAGGAGCCAGTAAAAAGCCTAATGTAATGAGATTCATCCAGTCAAGACAGTTCATCACCAAATGCCCTTTAACCCTTAGAAGTTGCAGTTATCGCTGGCGATAACAAGAGCGTGTTAAAATTTGATATGAATTATTTCATAGCTCTTTGAGACAAGAGAAGACATTTGTCAAAAGTGCAGATTCTAAATTTTCAATCCAGAGTACTTTTGTGTTTATAAGATTTCATTGTAGTATTTTGTAATCTTGTCAAATTCGTATTTTGCCTTTTGGTGTTGTGATTTTTCTGACATTGAAACAACCAGGAAAAAGTCAGAAGTGCAAACTGGAATCTGTCAATATGGAATGTAAATTGAATGTAAATGTAATTTATTATATTGCTAACTACATAATTAACTATGTAAATACACTTCAGTAGTAAAGGAAAACAACTTTAACTTGACTTCTAAGGGTTAAAGCTGTCTGACTTTTCTGGACCCACGCACAACCCTTCAGTCCCTCCTCTTGGAAGATACAATAAGACCCTGTTAGTTCTAATCTATGGAACTTATTAAGTTCTCTCTTCCATTGTGAACTTTCTGTCTAATTGAGTCATAATTCACTTGTTATAGAGGTATTTTTTCACTCCAGACATCTGTCTTGAATGTGGTCAGGTTTAATAGCAGCTCTGACTTTTTTTCTAGTCTTTGCATAAATACCAGAGAGTAAGTATCTCTCCCCTAATGGAGTCTCTGTTACACTGGCGACTGTTTTGCACAGAAAACGGAAAGTACGGAATTATTCTGCAAGAATGAATATGGTTTACAGTTGTTTGGACTGCATTGTGTTAAAGTCTTAAAGCACAGTTAGACACTTACAGCGTAGTCCGTGATCAAGTTGAAAGCAATTCAGTAATAATGTTGCACAAATTAACTATTTTACTTAGATTGATACAATAACAGCATTTTTAAACAATTACATTTACTTATATTTCTGCAGAATATGAGAAGCACACTGAAGGTGCATCCAAGCTGTTCTCAATTCTCCTAGTTGGAGAATTGAACTGCCTGCTGCTGTTTCTGGTTACGACTATCTAACTGGCTTAGATGTCTGAAAAATGTCATGCGATTGTTGACATTACTGTCCAACAGAAATATGTTACTCACTTACTGCACTGGTGTCCTCTAAGGACAGCAGGCTGAAAGCATTCCGCATGTTCACCCTCAGCACCACGTCTTTTAAGTTGAAGGACAGAGTCCTTTTTTTCTCATTGATAGCTAAAGACATACACTGAAAAAACGAAACATTTTGAAAAAACTCAATGTTCATTTGTTTAATCTGCTTATTTGTTCATCCAATGTTAGGCTGGCAATAAAATAGGAATTGCAAAGCAGAGCCTATATTATAGCATTTGCTAGACATTGCCTTTCAGTCTAATCATCTTAGAGAGGTAAGCTAACATAGCATTAGGAGTCTAACTCACAGATGCTTATTGGAACAGCATGGTGTGCTTAACTGGGAAAGGAGTGAAACCCCAGTCTGCTGGGTGGAGAGCAGAGGTATTACCTGCTGTGTTATACAAACTGCAATCAATATTTGGAATAGTGTAGTGGATAACACTGCTGTCCTCCACCCAGCAGACTGAGGTTTGATTCTTTGCCTGGGACAGAACCAAGAGTCCCTGAATAAGACTCCTAATGCACGTCGGCTACCTCAGTAAAGTGGTTAGACTGTAAGTCTGATGACGGATGATGGTGTCGTCCGACAGATGTAAATATAATGTAGGTTGTTTCCCCTTTTTAAAAATGTTCTGTTTTATTGGCAGCGTAATGCTGGATGAACAAATTTAAGTTAGTTAAACAAAATAACCTTAGTAAGAGGCACCACACACTCGGCTGCTGAGAAAATCTTCACTCTAGGCCGTGGTTGAAATGTCTTGAAATCCATTGCCAAAATATTGAATTACAGTGTTAGAACTTCAAAGAGCACAGTGTATTACAGATAATCAGATAAGATCATTAACATGGAGGGTGTGGCTTTAAGACACTAGCTACAGCACTGTTAGTGGACGTAGTTTGCTTAAAGATGTTTTTGATTTCTAATGAACCAGGCTCAACAGTAGGTGTGTTGAATGTAATTTATATTGTAGATGCAACTCTTGACCTCAACTTTTGAGAAATAAACAGTTGAAACAGTGTGTGGCCTCTATTCTTGACCCATCAGTAAAGATCTTTTAGAATTGAGAACTCATTATGAACCTGTCAACTATTTTGTTATTGAAAGTACAAGGAATGAGTTGAGTACTGATTTTGCACTAAATATGATGCCATAAATTATGCTGTAAATAAATGAATAGATATATTGTGGGTAGATAACGCTGGTAGTGCTGCGTTGTTACGAAAGAATATTTTACTAATCCTTTTACTTGAGAGTTATTTGAGAGTAGTGCTGCAATTAATATTTTATAGGTAAATAGTCAACAAATGTAAAGCCACTCAAATGAATCCGTACACTTCTGTGGGGGGGAGAAATGATTATGCTAGCTTGTCACCAGCATCAGTGTCCAGCTCTGCATACCAGACTTTTTAAAAATGAAAAATCTGATTTAAGGTGACAATCGGTTTTAAGTGCAGAAGCTTTCCAAATAACTTTCCTATTGCTCTGGATTGCTAGCTAACAAGCATGAAGGCTTGCAATGCAAAACATTATGGACCACTTTCAAGAGTTTCCTGTTATTTCATGATAGTGTATCATGTATCAATGGGAGGGTGTCAGTGCTAGACATGTAAAAAGGATGGTTCTTCATGGAGTCTTTAAAGTAATGGTTGTATTTAGAACCATTAGTCCCATACAGGATCATTTTATGCTTAAATGTTTTTTTGCATGGTGAAATAGTTCTTCAGATTGATGGAGAATGTATGTGTAATATATAGTGTTGTATGTGGTTCTATATGGAACAATAAAGGTTATAAGTGTCTATAACGGTTCTGCTATTGCTACGATGTCAAGCTTGAGACAACAGAAGAACCCTTTTTGGTGCTATGTAGAACCATATACAACAGATTCTTCATCAATCTGAAGAATTTCACCATGCAAAGAACCATTTAAGCATAAAAAAAAGATTCTATATGGGACTTAAATGTTCTAAAGAGAACCATTGCCTTTACTAAAGAACACTTGAAGAACCATTTTTTAATCATTATGCTTAATGCCACCTTTATTAAAGAACTGTATATTCAGCTGTTTGTCTTTTAAAAAATTAAAATATCTAAGAATGTTAGCATTTTGGAATGAATCTCATTTTATTTTTGAGAATAAATTGAAGTTTGCAGGTTGATGAGCTGTCCAGAGCAGAAAAATTCAGACTAGGAAAACTTCAGGAAACTTCAAGAAACTTCAAGCCTGTGCTGTAATATGTGGCCTTGCTGTAGCTGCCCGCTAAACTAACATTAGGTTAGCTGGCAGACTACAGACCCAAACACAACAGAACAACCTTAATTCAGCCTTTCGGACCCTCTAACTCGACGGCACTCCCACAGAGTTGTGTCATTATCGTCTAAACTTAGGGTGCTTTAGTTGGCCACAATCAAACCTGTCCTGTGGTGAAGAGAGCTGTTATCATGCTAGCTAAGCTAATGCTATCCAGCTAATCTCGCCTAGCTAGCAGCATTGTTTAGCATTTACCAGTTGTTAGACAGATGGCTTGACATTTATTGAATGATGGACATAAAAGGTTTAATGTTGCTTCTGTCACTTTTACGCATGCTTTTGTAATACAAGGCTAATATTTGAGGATAGTGGCCAACTTTAATTCACATCTCTATGATGCTCAGTCACACTTTTGCATTGTGATCTCATGATGTCACGATGCATTTTTACACCCCTTGTCAGAAATTAACTTTCATAATTTTTGGAGACACTAAATGTTGAAAAAAAGGGTTATTTTAATCATATACATAAATACATTTTACAACATTATAAAAATGGTCCATGATCTTACCTTACAAGTCTTTACACAAAATATAATACAGCTTACAGAGAAGTACTTCAAGTGGTAAACATTATAATGGTCAAAGGCGCTACTTTGATATACAGTACATCAGGACACAGATTTATAATCATTCGTCTGTGTTAACATGAAGAGCCCTACTTTAAATATTTGCAAACAGGCTAATGAATTAATATATTACAATCCAGTTCACCTGCATTAGAACATAAACATCTATCTTCCTCATAAGAGAAAAGCAATGATTTTGCTTGGACCCCTTTGAACTGCACAGTTCATTCAGTTACAGGAATATTCCAACATTTAAAAAACAAGCTCTATCTGCCGCTTCTGTTGCATATGTGATGGTATATGATGGACAGGTGCTGGAGCATCGAACTTCTGGCATCTGCTAAAAGCATGTCGACAAGTTATCTGTTCTTTTCTAAGTGCGGGGGAATTACTGTCGTATGCTGCAGATGAAGCAGGTAGAAAAACATTAGAATATTCCTTTAAGCAGCTGCACAGACGTCTCTTCAGGGCTGGAACTGGTAAACATTGACCCCTAACAACCATCAGTGGTAGATTTTGGCATAGATTCTACACTCTTATGGCCTTCTTGCTGCAGACTTCACTCTGGGGCTGTGCTGAGGCGGCCTCAAGTTAACTGGACATTCTCTGAGGTTTACAGTACCAAATACCCCAGAGAGCTTCTCAAGGACAACCACATTCCTGTTGATCACAATGTTTTGGAGACAGCCAACATAGGATTCAGCAACAGGGAGGGAGGACTTGAGATGATCTGAAAAACAGGAAAAAAGATGACTTTCACATGATACTTCAGCTAAAAATCCAGTTTACAGACTTTTCCCCTTTTACTCAAAATGCAGTTGATCAGCCAACACGTTTGTCTGAAGTTTGCTTCTTTAATAGAGCTAACATGTAATAGCTTTTGGCCAAACATGGACAAAAGATCATTGCATAGCTAAAAATAGTTGTAACAGCCATCTTGAAGCCTGCATTTTGTGTTTTTGTCCATTTTTATAGATCAGCATGTCATACAGTGTAAAAACCATATAAGCAAGTCTGTTTGTGATTACTTAACGTCTTAATGTGCTTTAATGTTTTTAATGTGCTATTTGGTATTGGCGGAACACTTTAGCTATTATTTTAAGAATATAATAACAGAAATGTTCTTTTAGCCTAAAATTATGTTGCAAAGAAAGATATAAAATGTAGCTAAAAATATGTATGAGCCTGAGGTCATCCATGCCCAATGCAAAGCGTCAGCTAGAGGGGTATAAAGTCCCCCAGCATTGGGCTGTGGAGCAGTGGAAGTGTTGTCCCTGAAGTGATGAAGCTCCATCCAATACCTCACTAATGTACAGAACCCTGCTTGTGACATCCTGTATAAATTAAAACAATGTGTGGCCACAACTTAGTAAGGCATGAGAACAAGATAATTAAGTTGTGGCTATGACTTAGTAAGGCGTAGAAACAGGAGCCACGATTTGGTAAGGGATGAGAATGAGATGATTAAGCCTTGACCACAGCTTAAAAGGGTATGATCTCATTCCCATGCCTTACTAAGTTGTGGCCTCATCTTAATTATCTCGTTCCCACACCTTACTAAGTCATGGTCACGCATTAGGATCTCATTCTCATGCGTGAATACGGCATGGTCATGCATTATTTTTATTTACATAGGATGTCACCAGCAGGGCTCTTGTGATTGAATGCAATCAAATCCTCACAGCAATGTCCCAGCATCTAATGTAAAGCCATACCAGAAGAGTAAAGACTGTTACTCCAGCACAGGGGCTCAAACTCCCTAATAATACCCTTGATTTTAGAAGATGCTTTGGATAAGCAAGTGTCTACAAACTTTTGGACATGTATGATCTAGAGATACTTAAAAAGAGCCTAATCTGTGATAAACTTCAATGTTCTGTGTATCATACTGTACCTGGAACTCCGCCTACATAAACAGGATGAGTGTCCTGGGTGGGGGAAGAAGAGCTCGGGCCTATGGTGTAATTGCCCTCTGTGTCTACATGCATCTCCACCACGTTGTTGCGCTGGATAACTGATGCAGAGGAAGAACAATCAAACCCAACATCTACACACTGAGTAAAACATGGTAAAGGAAAGTCTCAAAGATGCTATGTAAGAACGTTGCTTTGCATCAGCTGCATTGTGTGGTTTTGTTACTTCAAGAAAAGATCCATCTGCAGATAAGGCAACACATACCTGCTATCCTGTGGAACACCCCGTCACACAGAGGCTGTTTCAGCTGCACAACTACACTGAATTTACCCCCTCCGTTGTTCACCTGTGCCACCACCTGGAAATGCAACAGACTAAAGGTTAGCTCTATGTACTCAGCTTCAGACTTCTCTCTCCTTTATCACTTAACATTATCACTTAATTTCATCTTTTCGTAATATGAGACTACTGATGTTTATCAAAACAACCAAAATTCTATATTTGATTGTAAATAAAAGCATGGACGCTGTTAAATGTTCCTTTGCTGTAAACTATTTCATCACTTTAGACCAATCAGAACAAATACTAAATGTAGTTGTTGGACATGAAATGGTCAACTTCCCTTTCTATCCTATCATCCCATAAAGAAGCAGAAGTATATATGGTAAACATTGTAACGGTCAAAGACACTTAAAGTGACACAGAGTGATACAAATCCATCAGTTTCACATGTGTTAATATAAAGTGAATGAACTCTTACAAATGTATCTGATGATGTGGCACGTCATTAAAAATAAATGGCATTTCTGTAATTATCAGAGCTGTTTTGATGTTCACATACACTGGTAGAAATAAAAGTGCTGTGCAGGTACATTTTTCATTCATAAAGGAACAAACAGTGTAAATGTGCCCTCAAAGGTAAACAGTCCAACTGTGCCCCCTAAATCAGTTTCCCAGGTGAAAAGTACAGATTTGTACCTTTTCATTACCGAATGTTTTAAAACAGAACAATAAAATAAAAAGCCTGGAGACGAGACGGGGTGTGTGGAGTCAATACAACTTAGAAAATATAATTTTAATGGATTATGGCACAATTATGTTCCCTGATTAAAGGGACTGAGATGTACCCTTGAAGGTAGCACCCCAGGGACAGTTTAGGACCTTTATTTGCATGTCATTAAAAGTAAATGGCATTTCTGTAATCATCAGAGCTGTTTTGGTGAGACCATTTTGTCATTGGAATTAGGTCAGCCAAACCCACTACCAGCTTCACCGAGGACTGAATACCCTCACCTCTCCTCTCCTCATGAACACAGTGAGATGGTTTTGTTTTCCCACATGCAGCAGGAGGGCGCTCTGCTTACTGGGCCGCAACTCGAACACCAGCTCGAAGCTCTGACCCACGACAAATGACTCATCTGGACAAAGAGATTCAGAAGACCAGCGTTAAAAGAATCTAAGACTATGAGTCACGACCAACTCATTGTTGATTTTTCAGGGCGTATTAAAATAGATCTTTGTATGCTTACACACTAACACTTAATAATTGCTTAATTACTAACACAAATCCAATAACCTACTATTTCTTGTATAAGCCTAAGTTGCTTAGATAAATCTACCAAAGATCAGTTAATCAAGCTATGTCCTTTAGATTGAAGAGTGTTTTGTCCAAAAAGCTTAAAGCATTCTTAGTGGTTTATTAACTCATATTTTTCTAATTTATGAATATAATGCTCTTTGCCAAATGTTAAGTTAACTGTTAGGTTTGAATGCATTTTGCATGTTTTTGTTATTCTCACCATGATGGTGTTTTGTGTTCAGGTTTACCAGCTCAGCCTGGAGCCATAAATGCTAACAGAATGGCAAACATGTTATAACATTGTTATTAGAGTTTTCAGAAATAATTGATTCCAGTCTTATCTAAGCCTTTTCTTTGTTACTGTACAAAACAGTCCCTTTAATACAGTGGAGTTGTTTTAACTGATGCCAATACGTTACATAAGATTAACCTGATTCAAGTTCACTTAACTAGTTCAAGAGTAAGCAGAACTTGAAAAAGTAGCGTTCTGCCAGCTGAGTGGACACCAGTTATGATTACTGAGCTGTTTGAGTTAACCTTACTTGCTGCAGATGTGGCTCACTGAATATCAGCTAACAGGTATCAGTAACTATAACTCATATATAGTTATTTAAGATTGAAATCGTAAAGTAACTTTACTTCATTGTTTTCAAAGCAATAGGTTTGCAGGAATTTCAACTCATTTAAGTTTACAAATTTTTTTTATCAGATTTTTTGAATTAATAGCAAAACAAAGGATACATTTCTGTGCTCCTTCAAGTAACTATTGTGTAGATTCTTGACTCTTGTAAGATTGTTGAACAGATTTTTTCTGTGCTTATCACATCTGATAGAAGTTGAAGGAGAGGGGTTTGAACAATTCTCTTATTTTGAGTGGTTATCTTATATGTGCACTGCTGAAGGCTTGATGCCAAGTTACACATAGTTTATGATGCCAAATTTTATCTGTTATAAAATTGTTATAATACTATTATAAATAGAATGTTACCTACTATAAATAGTACTGCTACAATACTGTTATAAATAGAATTTTACCTATTATAAACAGTGCTGTTATAACAGTATTAAAAACATATGTTTCACCTATTATGAATAATACTGTTGTACCAGTATAATAAACCAAAAAATGACCTATTATAAATAGTACTGCTGTAACAATATTTTGAATAGACTAATTTTGCCTATGAAAAACAGTACCATTATAACAGCATTATAAACAGAAGAATTTCACCTATTAGTTAGCATGTTTATAACAGTGTTAAAGAGAATAATGTCACTTCTAATAAATAATGCTGTAATAATAGTATTAAATGTATTAAAGAATACTTTCACCTATATAAATAGTACTGTTATAAGAACAGTGCATTATAATAGTTTTAGTATAATAGTTGAACTATATTATAGATAGAATAATTTCATCTATTATAAATAGTTCGTCCAGGACTCACCAACAATAACATAAGCTCCATGTCCTGAGAAGTAGGCCCCACTCTCTGTTGGCCCCTCAAAACACGGACCCACACCACGATTCACCGTTGCTGCCACCATCGGTGAGCCATTCATTTTGAAATTGCGAATACAGCCAATCACTCCATGCTCAGGCAGTCTCTTCTCCTGGAAATCAGTCCAAGTCATTAACCTGAACTGTTTGCATCTCCTTCAACTGAATATCACACACTGCTGATCAAATATCTGTTAAATTATAGATTTAAATAAACGCAATATTATTTTCATTATAACTTCATTCTCAGTGCTGTATAGCTTTCTTATATTAGTACCATCAGCATCACTACTGATCAGTTTTGGACACATTTAAAATTTCTGACACTGTTTCACAGCTTCCTACCTGGTATTTGAAAGCTAAAGGTTACACAGTACTGACATCATATCATTTTATACACAGATCTGAAACAAACTTTATGCAGTTTTATATGAGCACCTGAATTCCACACTCTGGTAGGTTTTCTCCACTGCAGTCAGCTTTTCTTATCAGTTTCTTGAATCACTAACACAGAAATGTCAGTCAGTGTAGAATTACCTTCAGAACCTTGTGTGTGGACGGTGGAGGAGTGCCCAGGTAAATGGCTGAGCTCAGCTGGATTGAAGAACCCTCTCTAGGATTCAGTTCGCCATCCTTTGCCCTCAGACCATCAATCACCAGACGGAACTTGCGCTTCTCCAGGCTCAGAGTTACCTACAGAGCAAAGCAGACCATGAGGAACCATTGACTTCAGTATGATTTTATTTAGACATGCACAGCCTAATCTGACTGATATAAATATATCCTTGCCTCAGATTGTCTTGGTCATAGACAGAGCAGAGGTGCAATGCCCAGGTCATTTGACCTCTCAATTCCAAGGTAGATAGACATATACAGTGGTCCCAAAATGTGTTTTGTGCCATACTTAAAAATATATTAGGTTCACTGTACAAGGATACAAAATGTTAAATCAAGAAGCCATTATTTTAAATAGACCATTCAAAGACTGCTAATTTTTATTGCATTCTTTTAATACGTCACTGTCTTTGCAATCTAGTTGGAATTCTTCTCCAGGCTTTCTCCACACAAAGAGTACCAATATTTCATGATGTGACCTTAAGAATTTCATTATAGCATACCAGTGGTTAAAGTGTCCAAATATTTTAGGGCCATTGTACAAAGAAAGAAAAATAGAAAAAAACTGCAAAGTTATAGCAACAAAAAAGGACAGTTCAAATCAAGAATATACATTTTTATGAGATTTTAAAATGTACATGACTATTAAAAGACACTGAACAACATCTAATATAAAACTTTAGAAAATTTTAAATAAACCAACAAAGATATGAAAAAATAACTCACAAACCAGTCTACACTAACCGTGTGCCACTTTCCATCGTTGTACTTATCCCTGTTTAAGATCTCTCTCTGGCTTCCAATAGAAAAGCGGATTCTTCCCTTGGAAACGTAAAGAGCCACGTGGTAGTTGTCCTGCTCAGCTGGAATGTAGAACAGCAGCCCCTCTGCTGACCTCGTCTTAATGTCTAAAGAGAAATAGGGCCTGCGGAGCAAACCATTACAGCAGTCCATTAGAGTCCCTGAGCAGACTTATATTCCAAACAAGGCAAATCATGACTTATAAACAAAATAAAAATGATCTAAAGTAGGGAAAGGTAGATATTAACATCAGAAAAGTGCATTTTCTGAAGAAAATATAGAGGGGTTGCACAGTTTGAGCAGTTCTCTGGTGCTACTGCTGTGTTGCTAGATGACACTTTAGGATGTTGCTAAGCAGTTCATATGTTACTCCAGATGGTTGCTATGTGGTTGCTGTAGGACTGAAAGTGGGTGCTAGGTTGTTGCTAGCGTATTGCTAGGCCAAACAGTTGCTATGTTATTCTGGGTGGTTGCTAAGTTGTTGCTAGGTGGTTCATATGTTACTCCAGGTGGGTGATAGGGGGTTGTTAGGTGGTTGCTATGACATCCCAAGCAGTTGCTACAGTGTTGCTAGTTTTCTTGTGTCATGTTCACATTTTTGTGCATTTTGCAATTCATTCCAATGGGAAAAAAATCCAACTTTGAACAGTTGCTAAGCCTTATGTCCAGTCAAAAAGCTTTACACAAGCACACCTCTCACAATGAACTGAACATTTTGGAGTTGGTTTGATATCATGAAAACTGCAAGACAAGTTAGTCGGCAAAAAATCAAGCAGAATAAAAGAAAGAGGAAGAACATAAATCGATTGACAATAGTGTTGGGAACCGAGCAATCACTAATAACAGGGTCTTGACCAGTTACTGATGTTTATGCAGACATTTGCAGATCAACGACATACAAGCTAAGAAACAAGGCATTAGACATTATCTGTATCAGTTATGCCTGTTTAAGTGAAAATGGACAGTGGACTCACATGTTGGTGAGAGTTGTGGAGGGGACGATGTAGCTCAGACTGCTGGAGGCACCTGCCAGGTGAAAGGAATGTGTGATAGGAGTGGGAGTGAAACAGTCGGAGCCTTCGTCCACTTTCACATCTTCTCTGCCATTCTACACAAGAAACATACACAAGTGAACTGCAGGGTCATTCCGATGCTACATGCAGCGTTCTCTCTGAAGGGCACCACGGCCTCCTTTGATTCTGTTGCGAAAGATTCAGTTTATCTGTATAGCACTTTTTACAGACACACAGCAGCTTTACAGAAATCCAGGTCCAACAGACAGTTACACTGTTTACTGAGACTTATGTTACTGGAAACCCATCCATCATTTAGTGCATAAAACTGTCTTGCTTTCTGAGTGGTGGAACTGTCAGAGAACCAGAGGAGCACTGTGTGTTTCCGAAGCTCTGCTTGAAGGGAAATTTCACAATTTTTCCAAATTTCTACACAATTAAACCATTGACATGTAAACAAAGCCGCACTTTGATGCGGTTTGATGAAAAATGGTTTGTTAAGAAACCCAGGCTTCTTTACAGTGGTGGTGATAGGAACCAGGGGTCACAACATAAATATAGCCATTTTATTTGTTATTAAAAACCACCAGTAGCCCTAAACGTGGCTTCTGAGTTTTTCTATGTAAATAGTGGTAAATATAATGAAAAAACAGCTCAGATTATATATATGAAGTTCTCTCAAAAAATATATGAAGTCACCTCAAAATTATCATTTTGGAGATACAAGGTTTTGTTGATGTATAAATTTAAATTCTGCCAAACATTCTCATAAAAATTGCCAAAAAAGTTTGTGATGGTTCCAGAAAGAACTCTTAAAATGGTACAGAACGTTTTCATTATGTGAAACCTTTAAAGGGTTTCTCACACATTTATTTGGTTCACTAACTACCAAAAGTGGTTCTTCTATGGCTCTACTCAAAGAACATTGGTACTATATAGAGCCAGGAATGCTTAAACAACCATTTGCATGCTGAAATGGTTCTTTGCGTGGTGAAATGTTCTTCAGATTGATGGAGAATGTGTTGTATATGGCTATATAGCACCAATAAAGGGTTCTGCTATTGTTACAAGCTTGACATAACAATAGAAGAACCGTTTTTGGTGCTATATAGAACCATTTTCAAATAGGTTCTATAAAGAACCATGTACAACACATTCTCCATCATCTGAAGAACCATTTCACCATGGAAACAAGCATTTCTGCTTGAAAAAATGGTTCTTCGAGTGTTCATGGTGCTATACAGCACCACTGTCTTTACTAAAGAACCCTTAAAGAACAATGATAACTGACGTAAACTTACATGAACAATAACAAACCCTTATTCCACAAATTCACTGTCACTGGTAGAGTTAAGTGTTAAGACAACTGACTCTTGTTTGGAATAAGCCTAATGCAACAATCGCTTTCCCTAAAGTTTTCTGGTATCCATGGTGATCAGGGGACAGTCGTGAGCACTCCACCCAGACCACTGCACTTCTAACATTTTGCCAGAAATTCATCCCTCTGAAACACTAGTCTCAGCTTTCAAATAATGAATTATACAGATTTACTGCTTAATTTATAAACAACCTAAACCAAAAATTAATCAAAGCATAAATTGCATAAATGTTCACCTGCTGGAAATCCCAAATCACGAATGCATTCTGAGCAAAAAGCTTTTCTCTTCTAAGTAAAAGAAAACGTGAAAAATAATGTTTGTGGTTATCGACTGTATATTAGAAAATTCCTTTAATGTTTTCCACTTTACTCAGCACGGCTCTCCTTCCTCTACCTTATAGTACATACAGTCATCTGCAAAAGTTTGGGTTACCCCTGGTCAAATTAGCCTACATGTTGTGTTGATTTCCTAAGTGAAAATAAGTGAACACATCCTCTACTGAGAACAGCAAAACGTCATTTGACTAAGGGGTGTTCAAACTTTTGCATATGAGTTTTGCATTTGCATATACTTTGTGACATTGGCTCTGAGAAAGGCACGGTATGTAATAAACCTTTACTACTGTTCAAACCTTTGGAATCCCCATTTTAAATAAAATAAAACCATTTTTATTATTATTATTATTATTTTTTTTTGCAGATATATGTAGAAAACTGTTCTAATACTTTACAACCTAATTGGCTTCAAATAATTAGAAAGTAGTTATGAACCAAGCTTTGGCTGACTCTGTATTAACTGAAAAAGCTGTATACCATTGAAAATGTTATACATATAAATATAAATATAAATATCCTAGTATCAAAGCCATACAACTGGACCTTAATAAAGTAATAATAAAATGAATATTCACAATATGGTAAAATTGAAGGTATCTACCTTGACAGTAAGTTGTAAATACATACATGTAATAAAACCTTTGCATGTAATTCATGGTCTCTATATAATATCCAATTATTATGGAAAATTTGACTAATATGCTAAGTTATTCCAGACCTTGGAACAGTAATGTATTGTTATTACTACAGCATTGTTTTTGGAAAACTAGGCCCATGATAAATACATTGTTTTTTACTTCTGATTCTGAACCAGTGACTAACACACACACTGTATCTATGGGATGAATGAGTCTGTGGACAGAACGCAAATGTATTTAGTTTTACTAAGACTGCACCTGTCCCATATCTTCATAAAATGCAGCCTAGATCTCTCTGATGATCTAATTTGTACAGAATGAACACTCTTTGCTTCAGTTTGTGCACCGAAAGTTTTTATGTGGTTTGTAGATGTAATCACAGATTACTTTTTGCCCTTGAAGGAGACCCATGATACAGTACTGTGCGACAATGCTTACATTTATTTAATTTCCAGTCAAAATGGCCATTAAGTAAAACTGACCAATGATCTCAGGTGTCCAGTTTTGGTGCTCTAATGCAAATATTTTTTTGTGTGCTTTTCTCAGTGAGGGCTTCTTGACAGCTACTCATGCTTTCAGACTCATAGCGCTGAGTTGTCTTCTCACAGTGGAAGGATGGACAGAAACACCTGTGGATTTTTTCGCGTCTTTCAACTGACTTTCCCCTTTTTTTATACAAGTGGTTTATGTTATATTTAATCTCCTCAAAAATATCTCTTAAGCCATTTTAGATGCACGTAAGAAATTTCTATGAATTTGGTGCACAAGTTTTCTTTTTTTATTTGGGAAGGTTTTCTGAAATTAACACAGAGTCAAAGTTCTACATACAGGGTCACACATATACATACACCAACTTGGATTACTAATTCAGTGGTGGTGAAAGTTTCAAAATGTCTTAACTTGCCAAGGTCAAGGCCTCTTAACTTACTGTCAGTAATCATGATTGATTACAGCTGGTAGCTTCTCTGTGCCCCAATAAAAAGGGTTTATTTGACAGCACTCATTGGATTGACCAAAACAGAGTAAAATGGATGTCAGTGTTGAGCTTACACAAGTCAGGAATGTCTCTCAGGGCCATTTCTAAACAACTGCAGATTCCAAGACCATCATTTCAAACAATTGTGAGTAAGTACAGGTTATTGGGAGGTGTAGCCACTTTGCCAGTCACCCTCAGCTCAGAGGAAATTGGTTCAGAGGGTCAGGACCCCCCAAAAAACACCAAAGCACAGGCCTGCCATTAACTGGAAGCTGCTGGAATAGCAGTGTCACTGTGTACAGTCAAGCTAGTTTTCTATCGCAATGGACTAAGAGGCTGCCATCCAAGAAAGAAGCCCCTGCTCCAAAATTGACACCTTCAAGCTTGAGTAAAATTTGCAGCTGACCACATGGACAAAGAAAAAGCCTTCTGGAGGAAAGTTTTATGGTCAGATAAGGCAAAGATTGAGTTGTTTGGCCACAGTGAAAAGAGGAAAGTTCAGGCATTCATCCCCAAGAACATTGCACCACTTGTTAAGCATGGTGGCGGTAGCATCATGCTCTGGGGTGTTTTGCTGCCAGTGGAACTGATACACTGCACACAGTGGATGGAATAATGAAGAAGGAGGTCTATCTCAGAATTCTTCAACAGAACCTCAAACCATCAGCTAGATGATTAAAACTTGGGCCCAATTGGTTGTTTCAACAGGACAATGACCCCAAACACACATCAAAGCTGCTTCCAGAAAAGTTCTACTTCCAGAATTCTGCTAGAAGCAGCTTATTGATGGCTACCAAAAGCAGCTGGTTAATGTACATCTTGCTAAGGGACATTTAACCAAATATTAGGTGTGCTGTATGTACATTTTTACCCTGTATGTATAATTTATATATTTTAAACAAATATTAAAACTTGTGCACCAAATTCATGTTTTTTTTTTTTATTAAAGATGTATGTTGTACACTGACTCTGCCCCAGAAAAAGAACAGCTCAAAGAAATCACTGAAAGCCCAATATGGTCATGATATTCACGTCCATGATGAATGTATGTAAATTTCTGACCACAACTGTATTACATTACACTTAGGATTCTGTGTAACGAGCCAAAACATCATGATCACTCACAGATGAAGTGAACAGTGTTAAGGTCTGGGATATAGTAGACCATAAGTGAACAGTCGGTTCTCACAGTTGATATGTTGGATGTGGGAGAAATAGGCAGACGTGAAGACCTGAGCGACTTTGACAAGGGTCAAACTGTCATGGCCAGAGGAGTAGGTCAGAGCATGTCCAAAACGGCAGGGCTTGTGAGGTGCTCGCAGTCAGCAGTGGCGAGTATCTACAGACAGTGATCCGAAGAGGGACGAACCACAAACCAGGGACAAAAGAGCTACTGCAACACAAGTTACAGAAATTTTTACTTATGGTTACGGGAGAAATGCGTCACACCACACAGTTCATCACACTCTGCTGCGTATGGGCCTGCATAGCTTCAGACTGGACAGAGTACACCTGCTAACTTCGAAAGCACCTAAAACAAGAACAAGAGCATCAACACTGGACCTTGGTGCAATGGAAGAAGGTTGCTTGGTCAAATGAGTCCCATTTCCTGGGGACTGTACTGTGATTAGTACACTGTTTATCTAGAGATGTGATGGCACCAGGATGCGCTGTGAGAAGATGATGAGCTCTGCTGGTAAACCCTGGCTCTGGCTATTCATGTGGACATCAATTCGACACAAGCCTTCTACCTCAACATCAATACAGACCAGGTACACCTCTCATGGCAGTGGCCTCTTTCAGCAGGATAGTGCGTTCTGCTATACTGCACACATTGTTTGGGAATGGTTTAAGGAACATGATGAGTTCAAGGTGTTTCCTCGGCCTCCAAATTCCTCAGATTTCAATCTGATCAAGCATCTGTGGGATGTGCTGGAACAAGTTCGATCCCTGGCAGCTCCACCTCGCAACTCACAAGACTTAAAGGATCTGCATCTAATGTCTTGGTGCCAGATATCACAGGGCAACCTTAGAGGTCTTGTAGAGTCCATTTGGCAGGTGGGCATAATGTTTTGGCTAATCTGTGTATGTTTCTGTTTTTTTACACTGAAAAATTAATAACTTGTACTTAATGGCTGTTTTGACTGGAAATGATATTAAACGAAAGGGTGGTCTTTGACTTTTGCACGGTACTGTACATAAAGTGGCATTTCTTATGAGCAAGTGTAGTAAGCACCATGTGTTATTAGGCATGATTTAACATGAACTACTAATACCCTCAACAGTTATCTTTAAAAGCATGTTTAAAGATCTTTAACCTTATGCAAGACTGTAATATGGTAATAGATATACAAGTACTATCATAAAGGTTTTTACAGATGTATACTTGGACTACGTGTTTGAGGATCTTAAGTTCCAATATTAAAATGCAACAAAGCAATAATAACTTTAAATAAAATCATATTGCATATTTTGCTCCTATTAACTATGTTGGCACTGTATTCCAGAATATAAACAGAATATAATGCAATATATCTTCAACATATTAATGTTTTGTAAAAGGGTTCAGAGAGTGTAAAAGCCACACCGTGTAAAAGTCATGAGTGTGCAGGTGCAGTAATACTGAAGATTCCTGAGGTCCCTTTATGCACCACAGCCATTAAGATTAATAACTTGGCAAACTCATAGCTGGCTCCAGTTGATTTAATCTTGGTCCAAATCCCTCAGAGGTACTTCAAAATCACAGCTTTTCCCAAACATTCCATCATATTTTAAACACTCTCTCTAACGGCACTGATGATCCTCACATGTAGCCTTTGGAAGAGCACAGCCTGAATGGTTTTTGCAATTCAACGTTTGCAAAAACAATGATTGACACGCCTCTCAGTCAATTGCAACTCTCTATAAATGTTCCTTCTTCCCTCAAATGAAGGAAAAACGGCAATTTCTTAAAACAAACCTGCAGTGAGAACAGTGGCGGCAGTAAATTAGTCAGAATCCTTAGACTAAGAAAGGAAATGTGAAGAATGTACGATATCGGACACATGCTGTCCCGATCATCTGGATGATGGGGATGCTTTTATTTCATTCCTGAAGCTGAAAAAGTTTTGGATTAAGCTATAAGGAGAACCACACTAACAGATCAGTGTCATAACCAAGCTAAACTTTATCTGTTACTGTTTTTGCATGATGATGTATAAGAAATATTAATGCACTTGTACACGTGCCATTCTTTGTATGTTTGCTGATCTAACATTGCTCTGACTGACTACAGTGTTAGCTTTAGCATTAAGGGGTAGCTTCCACTGATAGCACAACTTCTCCTTATTAGACACGAAAACCTGCAGCCTTGACTTCATTTTTTCTCTGGTTTGATTCAGGTACACATGGCTTCCAGAACCATTTTCGTTTGGTTTAAATTAGACTCACATGCATATTTTCAAACAGGTACACCCTCTGTGCAAAATAGTGATATAAATAAAATATAATGTTTTTTTTACTGATGGTCTGGTCACAGTCTAGATTTACACCTTGTAGAGAATATCTGGTCTTACATTAAACACAAACTAGATCTGCATTGTTTTTCAACTGTTCAAAGCCATCAGTGCTGAGTGGAACAATAGAAACTCTTTCTGTAAAAGACTGTTGATCAGTTTACCCAGAAGACCCCAATATTTAAAGAAATCAAAGGGAACAGCGATCTACACTAATTAAGTTTATCTATTTGCTTAATGATTTGAAGTTGAGACTATTCAAAATCGTAATGTTTTGCCATTTTGGGCTTGGTCTATGTTGTTAAGCCAGTTTATTCTTGAAAAAAATTTGCTTCAAATGTACTCCTGTGTGCTTCTAAATGTTCCTTTTGGCCACTGCTTTAACTTTTTAGTCTGTTAGCACAACTGCTACAGATGCTACAAGGCAGGCTGAACTGAAAGATTGACAGAGCATGTTGCTAACGGTCAACTGGTGGGGAAATTGGTGCAAATGACATAATACTGAGACTGATCTACTACACACCCTGTAACCTTAACACACACCACACCACATACTTGCATCCATATATGCATGCACACACACACACACACACACACACACACACGCACACACACACACACACACGTTCATTTGGTAAGATGTATTGAGAGACATGGATTTTGGGATTATTAGTGTTGTTTGAATGGAAAAGTGAACAGGAACAAATGAGTATTCTGTCTGATTAAGTGAGAACATGGTTAGAAAATTTATTAGTAGCCCTCTATCTGACAGACACAGATACTGAAATTGACAGTGATACAGAAATTGAGAGACTGTGAAAAACTGAAATAAAATAAATGAAAAATGTTTTTTTTTTTCTCTCAATGGTTCTGTCTTCATAAAAAGGTTAGAAATGGCAGAAACATATGTATCTGTGGAAAACATGTTCAATAGTGAAAGCACTGATAAATGTTCATGCAGTAGTCAAATTAGGCATCACAGAGTAGTGGTCTAAGTCGAAACATTTTTATGCAATTGGAGGGCAAGCTGAGCCAAACATCTCCATGTTAGTCCACTCTCTCAGGATTGTCTTCATCTCTGGAAATAAAGTACACAACATACATGTGAGCAGTGCAGCAGTTTCAGTGCAAAGATGGACGGATTCCTCTGAGAATGTTTTTTTTTAGTATGTCTAGAAGACAGATTAATGAATGAAATGACTCAATATTGATAACAGAATGATTAGGCTAAATGCTTTAATAGACTTTCCTTAGCTCAGTTACTGAATGTTAAATACACAGTATGTAGCAGCTGTTCAGAGGTACTGCCTTCATCTACACTAGGTGTGTTCATGTGTTCTTCAGATTAGATGTTGGTGATGTTTCTGTGGTGTTGTGCCAGATATTTGCAGCAGAAAAAGTTTACACAAAAAAGTTAACAAACCTAATAATGAACCTGGACTTGCAGCCATCACATAGCATTACTGTATTGTTTACGTTCACATTAGTAGCATTAGTGCTAAATGATTTAATCAGGGATCAGGATCAGGGATTTAATCATGTATCAATCTTGTGTACACCAGTATGATGTCTAAATCTGCACTGTGTAAATATGTACTATGTTTGAATATGGAGTATATCTAAACCTGGATTATATCTGATCCTGTATTATGTGTAAACCTGTATTATGTCTGAATCTGGATTATGTGTAAACCCGTACTATATATTTGATCCTCTATTATGTGTAAACCCATATTATATCTGTTTCTGTATTATGTGTAAACCTGCATTATATCTGAATCTAGATTATGTGTAAACCTGTACTATGTCTGAATCTGGATTATGTACAAACCTGTACTATGTCTGAATCTGGATAATGTGTAAACCTGTATTATACGTCTGATCCTGTATTATGTGTAAACCTGTATTATGTCTGAGTCTAGATTACATGTTAAACCTGTACTATGTCTGAATCTGGATTACTTTTAAAAATGTATTACGTCTGAATATGAATTATGTGTGAACCTGTATTATAACTGATCCTGTATTCTGTGTTAAGCTGTATTATCTCATCCTGTATTATGTCTAAATCTAGATTACGTGTAAACCTGTATTATGTTTGAATTTGACTAATGTGTAAACCTGTATCATATCTGATTTGTATTCTGTGCAAATCTCTTTTGTATCCAGTCTTGTATTATATTTGAACCCATCTTATATGTAAACCTGTATAAAATCATGATATAATATGTGTCCGTGTAAAGCATAGTTGCCTTTTCTAGAACCCCACAGAGAATGGATTAAAATGGGCAGATGTTTACCTGATTGAGTGTCTGATTGCGGCCGGCCAGCATGTTCTCCGGCGGCCGCGCGGCACTGCACACATCCAGGAGCACGTCTCCATATGGGGTAAATGTACTCAAGTCTTCTGCTTTGTATTCAACATCAGGCCTGCAAAGATACAAATTTCTTTCTTCAATAAAGTATCAATAAGGTTCAATCTAACAGTAACAATAAGAAAGGAAACCACAGCAGTTCAGGACACAAATCATTGAGAATAATCACTGCTGACTGCAGGTAGGCAAGAAAATTCATGTGATTGGTAACCTTCTCATGTAGAGATTGGACAAGCAACCCGTGAAGGTGCCCTTGCCCAAAATGATGTCATTAGATTTGAAGCTGAGTGCAGGGAGTGAGACTGTGGTCTTCTCTCCTTCATCATCTTCATCAACTCGAAACTCGATGCTACAACACAAGAGACAGCAAGATGAATTTGCACTCATCAGATATCAAACTGTGTCCAATGAAGAAAAAAAAAACAGTGTTTTAAAACTGTTAAACAATAAACAGTGTTTATTGATAAAGAACTGAAGGCATGTCATTCCATAACTGGCCTGGGCCTAATCTTATTGCTTCTATATATAGGTACAGGATGTGTTTCCCTACACACTTTCCACATTCCTCACTATTCCCAGTAATTAGAAGAACCTTAACTGAAGCTAACATGGTCAGAACACAGTCTATCAATCAGTAGGTAAATAACCTTTTTAAAGCACAAATTTTTGGTCAATACTTTGAAACATGCATTCACAATTCGTGCAATAACCAGCAGGGGTGATGTTGTTGAACTATTTTTTTTTTTGCTTATGGTTGTACGAGGCCATTATGGACCTGAATATGAATGCACTGTGCATTGGGGAAGACTAAATAGGGTCATTGCACCATGTGTTGTTCAAAAGCACATATTTAAAAAAAACAAAAAAAACACCAATGTCATTACACAGCAATCTGAAAACTATAAAATATGTTTTGAATATTTTGTTCAGTGAGACAGATCACATTTTAGAAATTGGACACTTACTTTTGCCCTTTTTTGACAACAGTCAGATGATGCCATTCTCCATCTTGGTATTGTTTTTTGGATTTCCACACACTGTTTCGGAAAGTCAGCATCACATGACCATCAACCATATCCAGCTGAAGCTCGTTGGCCTACATAAGCGTTTAAAAAGAATGACATTCAGCCTTATAATCACAATAATAACAACGGCATTAATAATAACAATGTATATAATAGTAAAAACTATAATATAAACAAATATTATTGTTCCCAGCAAGTAGTAGTCAGTTGTAGTTGTCATGGGTTTGAGAAGTATTACAACTAGGACAATCATATCTATCAGTAAACCAATGCCTAACTAAAATGAAATTAAAATGTAATTTTTGATTGTATCTGCCAAAATCATGAGTACCTAGAACTGGTATCGGTATCGCCCGCAAAACTATAGTTTGATATGGGTCGTCCTGGATATGTATGCATATGAATATGTATTTGTGTATGAGTTTGTGCATGTGTACTGCAGACAGAGACTGAGAGCTGCTTGAAAAAGAAACTAACATCCTGTTTGTTCTGCAGCAGAAGGCCTTTTTTCTCTGTGCTTCTGAAGCCGATGGACAGGACCACATCGTTAGACAGATCAAAGCCTGCGGGTGGGGTTTCCAAGGAACTGCCCGCACTGAACTCTGCCTTCCGAGTGTTCTGCAAAACACCACCACGGTGAAAACCCAAAAATGCACAGGTTACCTCCACCTGTTCTACCACAACAGTAAAGTTCCTGTTCGTAAGAGCTACACATATATACATGGTCAAAATGTTTTATTTTGGTAAAGACATATCAAAGAATCGGATGCTAGATTCACAAAAAGCTAATATTTTGGCATAAAGAATAAATTATCTTCTATAGACATATTTAAGAAGACTTTTTGTAACTTTCTTCCCCTCACCAGCAATTCTGGGTTACAGCCTCGCCCGACGCCCACTCGCTCAAGAACATTTGGAGTTCTGCCACCGGCACTCAAGCCGTATACACAGCCCTTCAGAGGCAGCACTGTGATGTTGTCTCTGTGAGGGGATTCAAGTATACCAACGCCAAGTTAGTAACACAAAACTGGAATGAGTTTTGCCAGCAAATGGACAAGATACAATTAATCTTAAGCATATTTGAACCTTTTTTATTTCTTCTTTTAGAAAATAGTCTCGCTTTAGGACAGCGGTCAGCAACACTGGTCCTGGAGATCTACCTTTCTACAGAGTCTAGTTCCAAACACAATCTGCCACACCTGCTCCAGCTAATTAACTTCTTCAGAGCTTCCTGATTGGCTGGATTAGAAGCATCAGTGTTATACTCTTAAAAAAAGATGGTTCTTCAAGGGTTCTTTTGGAAAGTAAATGGTTCTACATAGAAGCATATACACTCAAAGAACCCCATTGCATGATTTAAAGGTTCTCTGCATGGTGAAAGCATTCTTCAGATTGATGGAGAACGTACAGTAGATGGTTCTATATAGAACCTTTTTGAAAAGGGTTCTATATAGCACCAAAAAGGGTTCTGCAAGTGTCAAGCATGTTACAATAGAAGAACCCTTTTTGGTGCTATACAGAACCATCTACAGCACATTCTCCATCAGTCTGGAGAACACTTGCACAATGCAAAGAACCCTTTAATCATGCAAAGGGTTCTTTGAGTGTTTCTGAGTGTTCAAAGGAAATGGTTCTATATGGAACCATTTTCTTTGCTAAAGAACCCTTGAAGAACCACCTTTTTTAAGTGTGTAGGTAAGAGTGAGGGTTGCATGTTAGATGCAGGTTGGAACTTAACTCTGCAGGAAAGACGATCTCCAAAGGGGAGCTGGTGACCACTGCTCTAGGGCAAGTACTTTATTATCATATTAAATAAATATCATATATAAATATCTGTCTAAATAAATAATAAGTTCAACAGCATTGTTTATCACAGATTTGTGTTATATGCTTTATCATACATAGACTGTATGTCGGGACACCACTTCTGGTCAATTTACCTATTTTAAGGTGCACTTAATGCAGATGTAGACATTCATTTGTACACACAGCAGTATACTGTCCACAGAAAAGCACTGACCAATAGAATGGGACATTTTGGAGAAGCCAATGACAAGCATTAGTTAAAGGGGTATAAAGCTGGCTAACATTGGGCTGTGGAGCAGTGGAACTGTGTTTGTTTTTGGGGATGAGTTGGAGTGGCGTTTGTGATTCAGAGCTAATCATCATCAGTACCTTACCTCACAAATGCTCTTGTGGCTGAATCTAATCAAATCCTGGAAGAGCAGGAGTCTACAAACCTTTGGACATGTAATGCAGGATAGAAATAATAAAAAAAAATACACACCTCTCTCTTAGATCCTTAGGAAGGCCTCCAATGTAGTAGCTGTCAAATGTTTGTGGAGTGTATGGAAAAACCAAGACCTCCGCTGTATTCATACGGACCCTTATTCTTCCCTCGGAACTTTGGAAAATGACCTTCAGGTCCCCATTCTAAAGAAATGAAAAAAACAAAGAACAACAGTTTACAAACAGCAGATTTGGAACTAAACCCAGAACACTGACTGTACAGAATAACTCAAAAGTTTTAATTGCTTAACACACAACTTCTTTTCCTTTGGTGAGAGAAGAAGTGGAGCTCAGTAAAAGTGTCAGCCTGAGCAACCTGACGATATCAACGCCACAGTGTTTGCAATCTTGACCTCTGATGTTATTTTTCCATCATGACACTGAGTGTGTTTACATGCACTCAATAATCCGATCATAATCGGATTTCTGCAGTTATCCGATTATTCAAAGGGTCTTGTAAACACCATACTCCGATCTAGATATCCAATTAAGAAATCCGATAAAGAGAGCTGGAGTTTAGCTCAGTAATCAGATTTCTCAGTGCATGTAAATTCTTACTCTGATTTCTTTAGAATTTCTCAGCCTGTGAATGTGCAGAACAGACTGCTGTACTGGAAATAAACAGGCAGCGTTACCGCGAGATGCAGCAAAACACTTTTGGAGCGACGCTGAAACCAACTACATGCTTGACGAAATGAAGGATTTGAATATTCTTCATCTTATAGATGATGTATGTTCATATTTTCAGGTAAAGTGGTTCGACGTTTAAAGTCACGGTATGCAGTTTGAGTTTTACATTTTTTTTTTACAGGTTTACGTCGTCTTCTGTGAGTTTATTGGCCGGTTGCAAAGCAGAAATCCGATTACTGATTGACTCAGGTAGACCCGGAATTTTCACAACAGTTAGCAGGCATCAGAGGAATCAATGCCACCATGTGAACAAATCATAAATACAAATTTATAAAGGGGGCAAATAGTTTTTTTGTTTTTGAGCTTGTTTTGGAAATAAACAATAATATTGTGCACCAGGATATTAATACAGAAAACTGAGCACTGCTTTATGACACATTTGATTAATATAATAACTGTCCGTTGACTCTGTAAGCTGATGATCTGTAAAATTCGGGTCAGACTTTTTACATCTCTTTCATGAACACACTGCATTCTAGTGCTGAAAGACTACTTGTTTTTATATTGAAATAGCAAATTAGAAGAGTGCAAATTTGTTCACAAATTGATATTGACATCTTACATTATCCATTGCTGTCTTAAGTTTTAAGAGGAAAAATGTAACCCAATAAAGCAATGCTCATGAATGGTCTGGACCTGCACTGCACTGGCAAAAAAACAGCTGGAGTTCAATTTATAGAAAACACTTACTTTTAAATTGCAATCACAATATTGGTCAGAAAAAATGCTATTAAATGCTATTAAACAGTTTCTCCAAACTGTCCAACCCTACTCTATTGCATCACTTGCTTGCTGGTAGATGGATGAATTTTGGGTAATGTAGCCTTTTAGACCAACACAGAACAATGCTGAGTTTGAAAGGCTCATCCTGTTTACACCACCTGTTAAAATACACTTTAGTCTTGTTTTTTTTTCCTTTCTACTCCACATGTACTGGTCTTAAACCGTTTCAAATGTCTTTCTTTATCCAAAGAAGTGCCCTATACTCTTCAAGACCTAAAGTAGATTTCACAGAATCAGGGATTATAACATGGATTTATCTGGTCTAGATATTTCTTGTTGAGCAATTTTATGACCCATGTTATCTTGCAGTACTGCCAAAGGTTTTTTGTATATGGATTACAGGAAAAACACACCACCCCTTCCATAAGCTTCCACTTTTTTAAGTGAAAAAAAAATCCATTTTTGCATTGAAATGTAGATAAAATCATTAACATTAAGGTAATAATGACTGACAACTCATTAGCTAACCAATGATGCATCTAACATGAAAACGTACCATCATGTGTCTTTAAGACAAATGTCAGCAGTACAAGAGCAGAAAAAGATGCTGAACACAATGTCTCACCAGATCGTGTCTGCTGGTACTTATCACTTCTTTCAGGACCCTAGCACCATCTCTGCCACGCATCACCATATGACCTTTCTCGAGAGTAAGACAGTAAAAGGAGCTCTGCAGGAGAGTAAAATGAGGTGGACTAGTTAGTGAAATGCAGGAAAAAAACGGTGAAATTAAAAGAAAAGTTAATACACTCTTTATAATTGAATACTTATTTAGTCCAGCCCTTAATGACTGCCAGAAAATCCACATTTCTGGTCTATTCAAGTTAAATAAACACCTCAGCTGCTTAAACTGAAACTGGATCAGAACACATTGTTTTTTAGTGAGCAGATCTATCTGATATCTTTCTTATTTCAGAGAGCAAAGGGAAATTTAGCTTTTCATGACATGGCTGCCTTAAAATGGAAATAAATGGAATTACATAAAAAGGACATATGATATAACTGTACGATATATTGAGTAAAAGCAGACCTCGTTTGTAATATACAGCAAGACAGCGTTGTCAGCTTTGGATTCCATCTTCTGAGAGATGATCAGTACTGGGGGCATCTTGTCGAGCTGGACTTTAGCATAACCTGAGCCTTCAAAGTAGTCATTTCTGGGTGGAACGTATCTAGGAAGGTCAAAAACATCGGAAGAGCACATAAATCAATCATACATTTATAAATAAGTGAACCCAGTCACACAAGTAAGGTCCTGCAGTTCTGAATTACCAGTAGGCCACTTACTTGGCTAAAAACAGGGGGCTCTTTTCTAATCCCAAACAAACGGCTATAAACATGAACTATGGATGCAAAACTGCAACGTTTCATGTGATTATTAGAGCATAAACGGCATTGTGGCCTTACCTCTTACACGGCTGTCGATCGCTGATGTTCTGAGGTGTCAGTGACTTAAAGTTGTACAGACTGATGAATTTCTCATTCAATGTAGCAAACTCGATGCAGCCCTGATATTTGGGATAATTAAGAGGAGCTGGAGGCTAAAAATGGGGAAATAAGTGAAAACAATGTCTTGTCATTTGTCCTATTTTAAAAAAACGGCAACATATTTTATCATGAATCCTAATTAAGCCCAAGGCTACATTGAAATTTTGTCCTGGACAGGGTTTAGTCCGTGACTGAGTAACTGGCCCACAGAGAGTAAAGACTTACAGTGAAGTCATCTGGATAACCACCAACATAAAAGACCACTTCGTTGGGGTCGAGGTTCAGCAGGTTTTGAAGGGGGTCTCCTCGGCGGGTATAAGTTACTGGATCGGGAGGATTAGTCGATGTGAACACTTTTGTGAGTTTGACCTCAACATCTTCGTAAATTCTAAAGACATAAAAAGCAGGTACAGTAAGTACTCCAAAATGGTGACTTTACTTTTAATGTAAGTCAATGGAACCAGACTTTTTTCCAAGTAATAGTTTCCAAGTAGTAGTTTCTTTTGGTCCATTCATCATGACATTTACACACAATGTGAAGGCCATCAGGCATTCTCAAATTATGTGATAAAAAAAACTGAAAAACTGACAAAACTTGTCAAAAAACTTCAGACAACAGCCATATATATATATATATATATATATATATATATATATATATATATATATATATATATATATATATATATATATATATATAAACATCTCACCTCTCACTGAGAACATAAAATGGCTTTGTCTGTCTGCGTGCCTGTGTACTGGTACTATCTGTCCGATGGGAAACGGCTGTTTATCGAGCTAAATTCTATCAGAAGGCAGTAGCCTCTCCATAGGTAAGTCTTTCAGTGTGAGATATAAGACTAGCAGTTAAAACAGAAAAAATTCAAGCTATCCCGTTTTAAGAAGTTATTCCAGAATTTTGAAATCGTGGGAGGTAAGTTTGGCACTTTATCTAACCGATATTTGTTTTTGTCATTGGCACATGAAGCTAAACATTCTGTGACTGCTTGCTTCACATGTCAGTCAAAAGGCCTGTTCCTATTAAAGACAGCAGTTCGCAAAACCTACCTGGTCTGGCTTATGAGCCTGAATTTCAGCAGTTTTACACAGCTGGCAGTGGAACTGGCTTCATTCTATGCAATATTACTACACAAATAAAGGACTCTGGGCTTTGTTTTTTTCTGTCCTCCTGTCTATTCACTGCTATATTTCAGGCACTGTCCTGAACTACGTTCCCACAGTGCCAACTTGTGAATTTATTAGTCTAAACTACCCAAACAGTCTATGCAACCATATGCACATATTGACTTGATGTAGCTCACATTTAAAAAAAAAAAAAAAGCACTAGGTAAGCAACTGCTTATCAATATGATTTTCCAAGAAGTCCAATTAGTGTTATTAGTTCTGTCATTATAAACAAAAAACTGATTCTTGCTGCAAAGTTGTGTAGCCCAACCTGTGGATATCCACTCTGTCGAAGTAGGACGGCTCCTTGTCCGACAGTGTGATGGAACCTGTCTCCAGCTCATAAGACCTTCCGTTCAGCTTGTAAATGAAATAGAGGACGTTGTTTCTCAGAGCCATGCCAAGGTAGTTCTTTGATGCCTGGGGGACAATGCAGTAATATCATTTAAAACACTGATCAAGTCATTAGACTCTGTGGTTCTGTATATCACTAAAAGGAGTGATGCATGCTTATAGAAAACTGTTTCTTCATCCACGTTTAGATGAAAAGGTAGAGATCTAGATGTAAATGAAAAAACAAACCATTTTCAATAAACATGCATTTCTCCCTACAGTGATACACAGGACTGCAGTGTATCCAGTTCTCAGAGCATGATTAGAATGCAGTTTACGTTGTCTCATAACTACACACACACGTAATGTAACAATGCCTACATTCATGTTACAGATTTGAAAAGTCACAAACTTGCTTTTTGCCTGAATGTGGCAAAGATTTTTTTTTCAGAGTGATGTAAACACAAAAACATTGACATTTTCCATCATTCAGTGTTACCATGGCAGCAGCGCTGAACAGACAATAAAACCTGTAAACAGTGGAAAAGCAACACATCTCACCTTTTTCACCTTCGTCTCGCTCTAATAATGAACAGCTGAGAGCTGATCAGAGTTAATTATCTAAGCAGCGAAGGCTCGTTCTGACCGTTTGCTGATGATGCTGATGATTCATTCACGTGATGTCACTGAGAAGGATGTGCGCATGTGGGTAATTTCAGGACACCAGTTTGTTCACATTAATGACAGATTTGAATCACTTACCTAAACGGGTGTGAACCATCGTGTCAGAGAGATCGGATTTGAGTAAAAAATCTGATTTCAGCAATAAGGCTTGCAATGTGAACATAGCTAAAATATAGTGTGACCTGTTTTTTTTTAGCTTTAAATCACACTTCACTTTACTGTGCTCACATTGTAGCCATCATTCAGTGTCAGCAGCAGCTTTAACCTATAACAACTTACAATAATAAAATGCCAGTGGTATGTTTGCACTAATGACCGATATAAGTGACTAACAAACACAGCCTATAATGTGAAAATACCAAATTCACGTTATAGCCTGTTCATGTTTGACAACTATCAACTCAGTGCAGCATATGTGCAAAGCACGCCGTGAAAAAGCAAAATCATTATCAGAACAACACTCACATCTTTGTTTCCAAGGTAGAGCACAAACAAATTGCCAGTGTCTGCGGTGACCTGGCGACGTCTGCGTCTGCGTCCTAAATCCCCTCGGGGGTTGTGAAATGGGCCGCTGAAGGAGGAGGCTAAGAGCTGCGTATGCTCGCAGGTCATCAAGGTCCTTCGGGGGACGCAGTTCCACATAACCATCACCATTGAACTTCATGGGCACAGCAATCTGTCAAAAATCCAGCACAGAGTTAGAGCGAGAGCTGGGCAAAGACGGCAAATAAGCACAACAAGTTTCCACGTCTGCACGCACCATATCGTTAAACAATGTAAAAGTATGATAAATCAATAAAAAAATAAAGAATTATAAAAAAGGCATGTAAAGTGCACCTACTGTGCTGCTTGGCTTTGTGAAATGGTCTTACCCTGTTGGCGGCGGCTCGAGCTTGATCAATCAGGTCCTTAATGCGGTTGATGTTGTTGGATATGTTGTTGTTGGGGTCAATCTGAGAACTCAGTCTCTCCACCTGAGCAATTTTATCCAGCAAGGAAGGGATGGAGCTGCTCAGGTTTTTCACTGTGTGTAGGGGGGGGGATAAGGCAGATTTGGTGAGGGGTCAGAGCTAATGACCAAACTTCATTACTTATAGATTTGTTATAGCATACTATAGCTTAATACCAATAGATTTTGTAAAAGCAGACCCATTATTTACCACAGGTGCAAATAAACGTTGCAAAAACTGGTGCACTCACCTGTCATATCGACGTCATTGAGCATATGGTCAATGTTTGAGCTGGACGGGGTGGCATTGATCTTAGCTACCTCTTTGTTGATGGCCTTCAGCTGGTTCAAGGTGTCGGTAGCTGAGGCATTAGCCGCTTCTGCTGTTTTCTTTGCTGCATCAATCATTCTACCAATGTCATCTGCATAGAGAGAGAGGACAAGGATTAAAAGTGGTGCTTGGAAGGAAATCTTACAAAAATGTCTAAATCCCTAACAAACTAATCCAGACCTTTAAGAGCACGAGGAACAAGCACTGCATTTACATGCGCACCAAGTGTTCAATATTAATCTAAGACTGCTAGCCTGACTGAACTACGACCATGTTAACACACTATTTGTTTGTCATAGTCTTAGTCAACCTAAGCTTAACATGATTAAAAAACATGGTCCAGATTGATACTGGTCTGAGTACTTGAGATGGATTCGGACATGCAAACACTTTTTGTGACATTTTGCAGCATGTCTAGAGTACTATGAGCTGTTTTGCCTACCTCTCTGAATACCCTTCAAACCAGAGTTTATAGCTGCCAGCTCCTTCTCCAATGCATTCTTCTTCTTTTCTGCATCATCCAATCGCTGCTGTTGGTCAGTCAGGTCATCCGTGGCCTCTGATAAACAATCATCATATCCACATCAAACAGTGGATTGAGACATGATGTTTATTATGTACATAAAAACAAATGGAAACACCATAAAATAGTACAGCTGCTTTCAACAAGGTTCACATTTTTTAAACATTCATTTAGATGTAAGCACATTACAGCTTTGTACATAGATTTAAGCATGTAACTGCAGTTCTGCTCACGTTTTAGGTCTTTTGCAGCATTCTTGGCGTCTTTGAGGAGCCTGTTTCCTTCGTCTTTCAGATCTTTTGCTCTGTTGGTTACATCTCCCTGAATAACGTCCTGCATATACAAAACAACACAAAAACAGGAACACTGAGTTTCTATCATATTAATACATTTTCCTGATACCATCAAATGGGAGTCTTGTGGGACAGCTATTCAACCCTCTAAGGTCCCCCATGCCATACAGCCTATGAATTATATAATATATAGAACAAAAAGACAATATTTCTTGACATACAAGGGTTAAACAAAACGGCTGTGGCGTAAACACATTCTAAATCTTTCCATGTCTCCACTAGAAAGAAAAAACTTATTTTGGCCAACTTGATGAAACCACCGGTCTTGATATACTGTGATGCTTTTTCAGCATTGCCCTCTTACATTCAGAGCTTTGTCAGCTGCCTCCTTGGCCTTCTTGGCCGCCTCTTCTGCAGCCTTGACTGCATCTGTGATGCTCTTGTAGGCGTCAATGGCGGCGAGGGCGTCTTGCACATCAGCGCGTCCACTCGAGTTCCTCACTGCCCTGTGGGAAGAAGCATATTTCAGGTTGGTCTGTATTATGTCACGGTGAAGGCACAGAATATGACTAATCCTATTTAGTAGGATTGGGATTAGAAGTCTAGGATGTCATTTTGCTGTATTTAAATATAATAACATGATTACATCAATTGCATTCACAAATATGGCTTTCCTTTCCACAGAACAAAACTGTACTTGAAGAAAACACAAGGATGTACAGATAGACCAGCATGCATGTAAACACACGCCTTTAGATTCCTAAGCATTTCCATGAAAGAGGAAAAATATCAACTGCATCATCTTCTGAAGCCAAAGATGAACACAGAACCTAAACAAACCAGCAGGGAAAAGACCTGCAGTGCAGATGCAAAAATATATGGTATGAATATATGTGGTTCCAGTGGCTACCAGTGTGTGACCGAATGGAACATCTTACTCCTGAAGTTCATTGGCCAGTCTGCTCAGGGTAGCAGCGTGATCTTCTGCTTCTTTCACTAGGCCCTCCTTAGCGGCTGCCTGCGAGATGGTGTTTACTTTGTTCATAAGATCCGTCTTTGCACCATCTAGCTGTGCCGCCAGCTGTTCATACTCCTGTCAGAGCAGAAAAATGAGAATTTACAATTCAATTCAATTCCACATTTCCACCAGAGGGGTCTCTAAATCGCCAAAATTTACATAGTGCAGCTTCAAGACCACAGTTAGGACTGTTCAACAGAAATGTTCATTATCTCCTTTCCTATTGGACAGGCCTGACTTTGAATTTGTTATCTGGCTAGATAAAAGGCTTTTTGAAATAGGTCCATATCTTCTTTTTAAAAGACATACAAAAGGTTCATCTGTTTCCACAAGATTTTACCTTTTTGCTGTCACTCAGCATTTTCAGCAGGTTTTCTGTGTCGTTAAGCTGCCGCTTTGCTAAGGCGATGTCATTAAGAACATTGTCTCTCTCTTTCTCCAAATTCTTAATTTTTTCCTAAAGGGGTGAACACAAAAACAAAACAAGCAAACAAATGGCATTAATGAACTTAATTATTTTGCTTATATTTTTCATTCAGCAGTAAAAAGAGTGCTATAATATATGTGCTTGTGTGTATTTGTGGCTACATTTACATATTTTTTTAAATATTTTCCCCTCTTTCTGGACTGAAGCAGAGATGATGCTCTGTATTCTTACCAGCAGATCATTCAGGGTCTTATCGTTTAGGCTGTTCTGGCCTTCGGCTTTTTTCACTGTGTCACTGGCCTGTTTGAGGGCCTCCTCAAGCTCCTTCAGTTTGGCTTCATAGTCACTCAGGAGTCCCTTGAGCCGATTGGCTGTCTCCTGGTTCTGGTCGTACTGTTTAGTGCAGTTGTTCTTAACATACTCTAGAACTGTCTCACACACACACACACACACACACACACACACACACACACACATTCTCAGTAAAAAAAAAATACTGATGACTTTGTTTTCCATCATGTTTTTGCAATGAAAATGCAAAGGTAAAAGCCTACCAAGAAAAAATAAATTGTTCAAGATAAACTATTCCCAAATGGAGCTAATTATATCGGTAATTATTGTTAATTATTGTTAATTATATTGCAAATGCAATGTGTCTTCCAATATACTGAAGTTAGTGCAATTCATCTGTCCGAATGTGGCAGGTTAGTAAGGTGATTCTGAGGTCAAGCATACGTTTCTGTGCTTCATCCAGCTCTTTCACAGCTGCGTCTTTCTGGGGTTTAAGGCTCCGCTCCTGCATCTCCTTCACCATGCGCTCAGCTTCTGCCATGAGTCCAGCCACATCTCCGGAGGGCAGAGTCCCATTTCCCCGTTCTGCATCCTTCAACTGCTGCAGGAGCTCTGACAGACAAAGAAGACATCATTAATACCATGATAGTTTTATACAGTGAATGTCAATATACTGAACAGTGAACATCAATTCATGAAACTTTTTATACACTGAACGTTTACATACTGTCCAACACTGAGTGACATGGTAGTTGAGAATTAAGCAGAGTAAATTCACTGCTTATTTTTTAATATGACATAATTTACGTGTGAATATGAAAAGGAATTATATATCCAGTGACGATAGTTTGAACAAAACGAGGCTCATAAAAACATACATAAAGCACATTCTTACCTAGGATTTTCTTGAGCAGGTCCAGGGTCTGACTTTCGAGATCTTTAGCTCTTTGGTGTGTCTTTTCTATATTAGCAGCAGCAGTCTGGGCATCATCTGACCTCTTCTGAGCCTGGACACGTTCACATATGAACAAACACATATACACACTTAGTTTTAATGATCTCAGCATTTCATTTGAGCTTTTTCAGAGCTTCACTGCTCTATGTTAGTAAAAAGTGTCTTGTGGAGCCAAGCCTACACAGTACCTTCAGTAACAGCAGTTTGATATCTTCACTCAGACTGAGCATGTCCTGCTCCAGTCCAGCCACTTTAGGACTCAGCCTGTCCACTGCAGCACTGTAATCAGTCACCACATTCTGAGAAATAAAAAAATGCAGTTCAGTTGCACAAAGTACATGGATTTTTTTGTTGTTTCTAGTGAATATTCCAAGCAAAAGAATAGTCCAGCATCTTGCCATATCTTTAGCACAGGATCACTGGCCACAGAGAATAATGCTGATACATTGCCCTGCACTAGGTAAACTCCTTAACACGCAACACACTGAAAACAGAAGCCATTTTGCAGGTGATGAAGCCACCTCCCATTAGCTTCTGTTACAAGTGTGTTTTCTGGTTTATGTTTCTTTCCACATACAGAGACACGTGTCAGCATTACTGTCTGTGACTGACTGTATGCTACCAATGTGTTAGAAAGAGATCAGGGACTGCATTACAGCAACACCCTATCTTTTTGTCTTAAGATCTGACAGGTCAAGATGAGATTTTTCACAAATTCATATTACAGAAGCAAATCTGATCTTAATTTCTGAATCTTATCTTACAGCATCTTTTCTTATCTCAAGTTAAGAAATCTTAACTTACTCTATCGAAGTCCACAATCAACTGTCATGTCTGTAACCTAGCAACCGACTATATGCGTACAGAATGTGCGATAAACTGAAAGTAAAGAATATTGTGTCTGCGCTTCGTGCTGTTTATCAGAGCGTCGCCGCTCCAGGTTCAGTTTTATTTCCCAAATGCTTTAGCCGAGCACGCTAACGTTATTCCTCCTAATCAACAGACACACGTTCAGCTCTGTCTCCTCATGTTTCACCATCAGTGTAATATTTTATTTAATATTTTTTAGCCCCGTTTTCAGTGTAGATAAATGTAGCGTCATTATGCTGGTTATAGTGATCTATGCTGCCTGTCACTGCACAAAACAATAGAAACAGACGGTTAAAACAGAAGTTAAGACAGCTCTGGGGTTTATCTTAAAGTTAGGACAGAACTGAGGAAATTTTGTCTAGTTAGGATGTTTCTGTAAAACTGTTTTCTTATCTGGAGTTAGAATAAGATTCTGAACTTAAGAACTGTTGTTCTGTAATAGCTTCTGTCCTAAATTCAGTCCTAACTAAAGTTGTCATGGTGACTAAGCAGATAAGATAAGTTTTCAGACTTAAGAAGTTTCTGTAATATGGCCCCAGCTTGATAAACCCTGGAGTATTCCTTTTACCAAAATGGGCTCAGAAAGCAGCATTAGGTCATTGTCTCATGAAGTCTGAGATTGCCTGAGAAAGGCACCTCAAAAAACATGCCACTAAACACAGAAGAGTGTGTCATTATGAGTGTAAGTGGGTGTGGCAGAATACCTTAGTGTCAGCAATGGCCGCCTCCAGCTTCTTCAGACGATCATAAGCAGAGGAGCTAGAATTTAAGGTATCTAGCTGAGCCTTAATCTGACTCAACTCGTCTTCGAGACGATCCAGATCGTTTAGTAAGGTCTGGGCACAGTTATCACACTCTGGGGGGGAGGCAGACATAAAGATCACGCTCATGGAAAGTGCTGAATTCCTTTGTTAACCATAAAAACTACAGAGCCAAAACATCTACCTCGACATTGCTCATCAGTGTTGGTGTCTTTAGGCTCCTGTCCATTATTACAAACTGCAAAAGGAGAATTACATTCAGTAAAACACAGAAAAACTCAATAATATTAAACAAACCATTTATATCCATCATACAACAACAGTGATAAATATCACAAGGAAGTGTTGTATATACTCTTAAAAATTATGGCTCTTTAAGGGTTCTTTAGTAAAGAAAATGGTTCTATATAGAACCATGAACACTCAAAGCACCCTTTGCATGACTAACGGGTTCACTGCATCGTTAAATGGTCCTTCAGATTGATGTAGAATGTGCTGTAGATGGTTCTATACAAAACATTTTTTAAAAAGGTTCTATATAAAGCACACTTTCAATCTGAAGAACCCTTTCACGATGCAAAGAACCCTTTATTCATGCAAAGGGTTCTTTGAGTGTTCATGGTTCTATATAGAACCATTGTCTTTACTAAAGAATCCCTGAAGAACCATCTTTGTATGAGACATTTTTGGGCCTTGAATGTGGTCTTATACACCTTTCTGTGGACTCTGAATATATTAGAAAAAGACACTGGTACCAATTTTAAGGAGCCAAAAAAATTGATTAAAAATAATATTTGTCAATGTAATTTAATATGGTCAAAAATTAAACAAGCTCCAATAGTTTTAGTTACACAGTGCTTCTATTCACTGATAGGACTGTCAGTTAGCAACTGTGAACTGCAAGTTTCTCAAAGTAGAAAGACAAAATTATTTAATAAATAATCTTAGAACTTTCCCAGAGAAACTTACCTATAAAACAGGAAAAGAACAGGAACTGCTGTAATGTATAACTATCAAATCAGAGCCAATTTCAGCTATATTGTCTGTTCCATTTAACCAACGCACCTCACAAATTTACTGTCTTTACACACAACACAAACAACTGTCTGGCTGTTGTTCAAAACAGCAGCAAGTTCCTGAATTCTGATTTTATTATATATCCTTTAAAGATCCATTATCTGAGCTTTATTAATGACATTACTGCCAATGCTGTGGAAATCCCTGGAACTTTCATATCAGCCAAACTATATATAGGTCTGATCCTTGTAACAAACCACTGATAATCATGTAAAGATAAAACAGCTGAAATGCCATAAGGATATTTACCTCCAGTCTTTGGGGAACAGGGGTTTCCATTGCAGTTGCATGGGCGACATCTGCCCCCTAAAATCTCAGGTTCGCCATAGTAACCAGGGGCACACCTGAGGGGAGAGGAGAACTCATTCCAGTCAATCTCATCATTCTGCTGAATCATAAATGGCATGCTACCTACTGCCAGTACACTGTTTCTCAATCCCAGGTCCTGAAGTCCTTCTGCCCTGATCATTAAAACATTTTCCCTGCCCTAATTTTACTGCTTCAACATTAGCTGTTTAAGTAAGCTTAATTAGATGTGTTAAAGAGGGGATGACAGCAAAAATAAGACTGAACATATACACTGACATTAAAGGCATTCATTAACATTTAGTGCAATTCCAGAGATGTGTGATCATGCCAGGGTCATTGTGACACGACAGTGAAACTCACCTCTCGCATCTTTCTCCAGTGTAGCCTGTTTTACACAGACACTGCAGTCTTCCAGCCACTTCACTGCAGCCCACAGCGAAACTGAAGCATAAAACATCAACCGTATGTTTATCATACTGTTAGTGGAGAGGATGCTACAAAAATCTGGACCTTAAAGTGAGAGTTAAGCTGAAAAGTCAGATTCAGACAGTTTTCCTTTGTCCCAGTTGATCAGCTGCATTTTTTTGTGGGGACATTCATTTCTCTTTTTCACTTCACTATAAATGTCCCAACTCATCGTTTATTATTACTCATACAGATACAAGGTGGTGTGGTACTACAACCACCCAATGCCCCTGCCCACCCATTCCACCCCTTTAAGTGAATGGAAAGACAGAGATAGCTGAGAGACAAGGCAGAAGAAGAAGAAGGAAAAAAAAACAACAACATTTTGACAACAGACAAACTGGACAAGACAGGACAGACAAACAAGAACATTTAACAAAACAATAAACAGAGTACTGGTTCTGTCCTTCCAGTTGACCAGCCAAGACATGTCTGGTAGCTTAAGTTCACTTTTTTAGTTTTGCACTGGAGCTATTTGGGTCTCACCAGTTAGTACTGTGTAAACTGCATGCCTAAACATACCTGCCTTTAAATATCCTCACTGGGATTTCTGACTCTGTGACTGTTTTCTATAAAAACAGACAAATCTAAAGCAGGAGTGTTTGGCTGAATGACTATATCTGGTAAAGGGGAAAATTGTGTGAACTTTTCTTTAAACATCTGTTGACCATAACCTACTGCTAGAACACAGGCCGTATGGTTTATATATATTTAATGCAGGGAGCTAAAAGTGATACAGAGAACATATGTCTGATGTTACTTAGCAACAATGCTTAAGGGATGTCCTAAGTACTAAATGGTGTTTGATCACATCAGCCCCACTCAATGACAGCACTGACTCACTTGTTGCTCTCCAGGCGAAGTGGACAAGGACAAATCTTACAGGTCCTCAGAGCGGCGCTGCCGTAGTAACCGTCCTTACACCGCTCGCAGTGGTCTCCAGCGGTGTTGTCTTGGCAGTTCTGTTGAAGCAGAGGTAACATGCCTTTAAAAGAGCAATATTCACCTTCCTTAACATCAGTCAACACTAATGAGATTCAGCTGGTAAAATCCGAGGATAAAGATCCACCCAGGAATTCATGAACCTGATGGATGTACTGGAGCTATTCCAAACTCTTACATTGCAGCCAATAAGCAGTAATACCATAGAAAAACATGACCAAATGACTACAGAGCAGGATTTTTTTTTACTTTTTATTTTTTGAAAGTAAAAGAGTAAACCGTTTATTTTTGGTTACTGAAGTTAAGGTTAGGAAATGTACATACAGGAACTTAAATATGTATAGTGCAAATGGGAAACATTATACTTACATATAAATAAATATGTAAGTATAGATATTACTACATGTATTATACATATGGCAGTATAATACATATAGATACTACCACATCACTGCTGTCGGAACAAAACCTCATATCTTTATATTCGTTGTTTCTCAGTTTTTCTTTTTTTTCCTAAATGTTCTCCCCAATTTAGTTGTATCCAATTCTACATCCACTAGTTAGGACTCCCCCAATCACACGATACCATCAGGGCTAGGAGGGCGAAGGCTAACAGAGGCTTCCTCCGAGTCCTGAGAAGCGCCACCGCATCTTTTCAAACTGCCGCTAACACAAAGTCATTGGACAGCCGAACGCGCTCGGAGGAAAGCACCAACCTCCAGTTCTGTTACGTCAGCTAACAGACGCCTTTGCTGACTAGCATCACGTTGAGTGATGCGGGGAGAGGGGGGGCCATCCTACCCACCTAGAGAGAGCGAGGCCAATTGTGCTCTCTTGGACTCCCGTGCAATGGATGGGTGTAGCATCACCAGGGATCGAACTCACAACCTTCTGATGACAGGGCCAACGATTAGACCTTTACACTGTGTGTAAATCATAATAAATGGACCAAAAGAAACGGCCCAAAATGACTTGGAAAAAATTCTGGTTCCATTGACTTACATTAGAAGTAAATTAGGCTTTTTCCTTCTCCTGTAAAGTTACCATTTTGGAGATTTGAGGTTTTCTTCCGACAACATAAGGCACATAAGTATGACCCCATGTCCTGATGTTGCCAACAAATCCGAGTGTGTGTGTGTCTACATCAGTCATCTCCTGCCCTTCTTCATTTGAACAAAGATCTAGACCTTAGCTGTTCTTACGTAACAGGACACGATCTTATCTTGCCCAGACTTACAGTGAAATCCTTTGAGCGCACAGCACAGTCACATAAACACAGTGACCTAAAGGGTTCTGTGGATTCAGAACCAGACTGCATGTAACTGTCTGCAGTAATGATGACGGTACTGCCTGTATGAGCTATTTGACAGCTTCAGCTTCTTAGGCAAACCTGCACCCATAATTATGTGGGCATTACAGAAGAAAAATAATCAGCTTCATATGTTACTCACTTGGTGTTACTGAAATGGTGGGGTTACCACAAAGCCGCTTTGTACCTGGCAGCTTCTCATACTCACACAGGCCAAAACTGGCTAGACGCTGACGAAAGTACTGTGGCATAATAATCTACTGGTGAGCAAAAGATTGCATTGTGTGTGTGTGTGTGTGTGTGTGTGTGTGCTGTTCTTACCCGACATCTCCCTGTACTCTCCTCGCAGTCGTCTGAAAGGCCATTACAGGCACAGGGCACACAGCGGCCACTCCGGTCTCTATAGAAACCCCGAGCACATCTCTGTGTGAGAGACAGACAGAGAAAGGTTGTTTTATCAAAGCAGTACTGAGACACATATTTTGAACGCAGCAGATGTGAGAAAAAATATTCAAAATCAAATACTAGTCCTCCTTATGACCCACGGCTGTGATCATTTTGGATAAATTATCAAAGTCGCCATCCTGCTTAAGGGGCCAATCAGAATACACTAGACAGACAATTACACTACTAGCCCATAAAAGAACTTGAACACAGAAGCATCACTTTCATTAACTTAAAAAAAGAGCTAGACTTAATAGAGTTATTTTACATTTTACACAAGAGACCAATCAGAACACATTACACAATTATGCTACTAGTACCTAACACACCTTTAACATACAATCCTAACTTTCACAATAATTCTGTCTAAAACTAGACCGAAATCTATTCATCCTACCACAAGAGACCAATCAGAACACATTACACAATTATGCTACTAGTCCATAACAGGAATTCAACATAAAACCATGACTTTTGTTATAATTTAGATAAAACACAGACTTAATCTAATCACCCGACTGCGAGACACTAAATAGAAAACATTAAACAATAAAGCTACTAATGTGTATTAGACCTTTAACTAAAATCAACCATTTCATTAGAATTCAGTCAAAAATGTGACATAATTCAATAATCCATGACTTGAGCCCTTCTATCTTCACGTTACGCAGACTGAACTTCAAATTCTCCAGCTTTGATTTTACCTGGGTCACCTGTCCAGCATCTACTAAAGGAAACTCAATCCTCTGCGTGTCCTCATCGTTTAGAGATGGAAACTGAATCCTCTGTGTCCCCGCATCGTGTAGCGATGGAAACTGAATCCTCTGTCCCTCCCTGTCATCTACAGAGGGGAATGAAACCCTCTGTACTCCAGGCCAGTTATGTCTCGTTGGGTGCTGTGGAGTCCTGTGAAACGGTCGGGGTCCAGCCACACATAACCCCAACAATGCCCAAATTACCAGGGCTCCACTGCTGAGAACGCCCATCCTTACACACCTCGCTGACATTCCAGCTGAAGCTTGTGAACTAAGTGTGTGAGTGTGAAGACAGACGGCTATTTAAGAGCAGAGTGAGCGAGGACACGCCCTGAACACACGCGTATACCTGAGTCAGCTAGAAGAGCACAGGAAATGCACTCACACTCATTGTGTTATGACAGCACAGTGGAAGCGACGCCACACAAACACACATGTACACAGACACTTTAATGTAAGTTAATGTACGATAACAAGACTTCATTTCAATTAATTGTGGACCATTTCTGTTAGTCCAATAGTCACGATAAGTTCAAAATATATAAAACGCAGCTGGCATTTTCAATAATGCCAGAAAATGAACTAAATAAATAAACAAAAACAATGGAATAACAAGGTTCTGATCTGATACACAGTGCTGTGCAAAAGATTAAGGCCTCATAGAAAAATGATTTTTAAAAAGCTGTTTTTCTGTGTTTTCTGAAAGCATCTTAGCACAAGGATAGTTCTCAAATGGTAGAGTGAGCATCACACTGAACACTATAGGAATGAATATATAATAACGGTCAGTAAGTGTTTATTTGCTCAGAGGAAACCCTAATATTAGAATAATTACAAATAACACTAATACAATAAGTAGCAATTTTTTGTATGTCAATGTGTTTAACAATTTCCAGATCTCTACTTGAGGAAGCCCAGTATTATTTTATAGTTATCATCCAACACATTCTTGTTATTTTTTTCTGTATTTATGTTTCCAATATAAGATATTGTTTTTACAGGCAAAACACACTTTTTATCAGATTAATAGTGTTAAGCAATTTGCTTAGGTCCCTAAGACTGTGGCACTGTACTGTACAGAGCAGGTAGAGCACCAACCGCCTCAATTTTGACTGAAATAAAAAGTGACTTTCTGTGTCGGCACAAATTTATCAAAATTATATTTTTATGTAATTTTAACAAAGCTGTCACTTGAGAATGAAATCAGAGAAGAGGCCTGACTCTTTACTGTGAGATTTACTGAGTGATCACAGTGCTAATCGTCTGCAACAGTGACAGCGCAGATTAGTAGATTTGTGATTTGGAAGAAACGTAGTGGGAATAAAACATAGCCAAAAATAATAATGTGGGTTTTAAAGTTGCCACTGATCTAATACCAGGTATCAGTGGAAAATGTTGGAGTGGATCCCAGAGGAAAAATGAAAGAATCTGATTTTAAAAACTAATTTTTAAAGAAGAAAACTTGGATTGGTATCGACAATACTCAGTGTTTTAATATCGGTACCGGAAAAGAAGAACTGATATTGTGCCATCTCTAGTGGGTTAGATTTAGTACATGTTCCTATATAACCAGCATTGCCTATTTTGCAAAGTGGAGTTATTGTTGAATTAACCAGCTTATTACACTAGCTGGCTATCTGATTAATACAGTGCAGTTTCTAGCTAAAGTTAGTTGGCTAGAATAGTTAGTAGCTATTTTTTTTTTTGCCAGGATATTTTAGGATTATTTCTAAGTTTAAATCTTGAAGAAATCTTTATGCTTGATTAATGAAACATTTGAGATGCTGTACTGTGCCTTATTGTGCAGTGAGAAAGCCCAGCTAACTGCTTGGTCTGAGGTGCTCTTCTATGAAAAATAAAGATGAAGGAAACCAAAAACAAATTCCCTGGGATTTCAGTCGTGGGATGTACAGAATCCACCCTGGAAATGTGCAGGGTGTCAAAAATCTTTGAGTATTTTTACTTCACTTCATGGTAAACTTTTATCACATAGAGCCATTTAAGCAGCAGGCATAGGACATTTACACACTACAGACACATACAGAGTGTGTTTACATGCACTTAGTAATTAGATTGTTATCAGATTTCTGCAGTTATCCGATTATTCAAGTGGTCATGAAAACAACATAATCTGAGTTTAGAAATCAGACTAAGTCCTGGATATCTGAATAAGAAATCCGATACAGACAGCTGGATTTTATCTCAGTAATAATTTTTTCAATGCACACCAGCACAAAAGTGACCTCCCACAAACTCTGAACGAATTCTGCACTAGTGGCAACAAAGATGTCAGCCTGATGGAAGCCATTTAAAGAATGGGTGCAGCACATGACAGGGATCATTCAGAATATCAATCAATTTAACAGTCAGTATAGATCGACCATTTAAAAGTAGATGCAGGTATGAAACATGGTTAAAATCCAGTTAGTGCTTAACACTCTGTATTTACTGTGTGACCAAACACAGTGTAAAATCAGACTCAGACAGTGAGAGCATGAGGTACTCACACCTGAATCACACAATCCAAATATACAAGCATATAAGACATGGAACCTAAAGGGTGTGACCGCCACTCCTCATACACACACACACACACACACACACACACACACACACACACACACACACACACACACACACACACAGACACAGGGCAGTGTACAAACTGTCTGATTTTTCTACCGCAAAGATAACACTCCCTTCCCAAAGGTGTCCCGGCACGCCCTGTATGTGTGTGTCAGAATGCGTCTAGATTTATTCATCCCCGCTGGCTATAGACTTCGCACTTCCTCCCAGCTCTCCTTTTCTGGGCAAGTCCTCACACAGAAGCATGTTCAGATACGTGATGGAGCTGCTATAGAAACCATCCCAGGAAAACAACAGCTAGACTCAGACCACAGAGCCAAACTCACTCTAACCCACCATTACCAGTCAAAACAAGAGCAGTTATGACGTATTACTACACATTCGTTTATTATACTGACATCAGATCAGTTTTGTAGTTTCTGTTACCATAGATAGGGTTTGCAGGTTAGTAAGCACAGCTGGTCCTGGGTCACTGTTAATCTACCAGCAATCTCGTGTTTACAGAAATGCAATCCTGACAGGGGAATTCCACTGATTTTTCAATATTTCTGCATGATTTGATCACTGAGGTGTAAAAAGTAATTCAGAGTGGTTTGATGTGAAATGAGTCACAATTGTTCATAGTGGTAGGAACCAGAAGTCTGAAGTGTCCAGTGCCTCTACAAGCTAATTCACAAAAAGTTATAACATAAGACAGTTATAAATAATTATGATATTGCCTCAGACATTGCTTTATGTTAGTTTTTAGATAAAGTTTTGGCCTAAAACATATTTTTAACCCTTGTGTGGTGATGTGTTTGTTACTCAGTGGTCTGGTGGACCCACCACATTATTGTTTTTTAAATCAATACAGCCAAAACAATTTATGTAAAAATACCAGATGTTCAAAATATCACAAGTGGCCAATGTAGGGTTCTCCTTTAGCAGCTGTAGCCAGTCAGCAGCCTGTCCATGTTGTCCACCCTCACACACACACACACACACCTATACACAAACACATACACACACACTAACAGTAGGCCATGTAGAAGAAGAACAGAATGAAGGGACCCAGCCCCTCCACACTTTTATTCCCCGTGGGTTTACCCCAACACCCCATGTGTAATATAAATGTGTAGGGGGTGTTTACAGTGTGAAGTCACTGAAAATGTGTTATTTTATATGTTCTTCACAGAAAATGAGCAAAGGCCAAGAAATCTGAGGTTGAAATAATAATCAATCACATCATTTTCTCTTTTGGTAAACAGTGAAAATGAGTCATGGTGATGAGGTACATACAGGGCATTGTAAAATGTATTATTTCCAATTTTCCACTATTTAATCATTGTCAACATTATATAAAAAGGTCACGACATGTGTAGGTTCACTGGTCATTTGAGATGTACATTAAATCTGAGTTGAACACATTGTGACCCCCGATTTCTATCACTACCACTGTAAAGAAATCTGAGTCATTAGTTTTTACAATAATCCATTTTACAGCAAACCACTCTAAATAACTTTGTTTACATCTTTGAATTAAACAGACATTTTGAAAAATTGCTAGTGTCCCCTTAATTAGTTTCTCTGTGCACCAAGGAGAAATCACAACCACCCAAACAGCAGCTTAAGGCAATCTGATCTGGCAGTAACACCACAATAAGGTAGTTCTGAATTTACTTACATTAAGCTTGAAAAATTTACATACTGTACATTTTATTAAGGTATTCTTATTTAAAGGCATCTGTTATTTTGAGACTTAGACAGCACTCCAATTTAGCTTTGCTTCTGAACAACTAACTAATCCACTGCAGTCTCACATAAATATTAAAATCAGCAGAAGCCTCACACATACATAAACAGCGCTTTAGGTATTTCAGTATTTTTCTCTATTATCTAGTCAAAAGACAGTTAGGTCAATGCTCTTTCCATTTAAATAGGCTTCTCACTCTTCTTTTACAGTATGTGGTCAATCATCTGTGATCCATTGTTGATGAATTCTCCCGGACTCACCTCAGTGCTTGGGTGTGACTAGGCATGTCTAGACAACAACAGAGCAAGAACTATGGAAAGGCTCCTGAAAAACATGTCACTTTAATGCAAAACCTCCATTTGATCTCATTCGGCATAGCACTTTTCTGCCTCTCCTGTCGGATCACTTTCTCCAACAGTCTTAATGTGCCTTGGGCTGCTAGAGCAACCTTGACATATGAGAAAACAGGAGAATGGTCTGTTTCAAAACCAATAACAGTCAATGAAAAGGAAACACTGCTTTCTGATTCATTTAGAAAGGAAGAATCCCATGATTCCATATTTAAAACCATTTTAATACTTCATACTTGTCTTTAAAGTTCATTTTTAGAGCTTTTCTCCTCGCTCAGAGCAATTCAACCAAGTTTTATTAGTCAGTACTCAACTACTGCATAACACTGTGCTGCCTGCCAACAAAACTTAACCCACGGAAAGTCACCGAGGTCCCAATTAGCATGCAAACTCACTGCTATCAGCCTACTCAGGCTGCATTTATATCTCTAAAACAGGACACAGAAATTCAGGAGATCAACATCAATTCCTGGATAAAATTATATTGACCAAGCTGAAATTCATCTTAAACAAGACAACAACAGAGTCACCATCAGCACAAATTCACTTTTTTAAAACAAATGTCATAATTGGGGTCCAGACACGACAAACTCACAGTGAACATCACCAGTCAGGTAAAATCAGTAGTGACTGAAACTGTCACTTGTACTATAAATAGTTATGAGCCAAGGCCAATGACAGAACAAGAGGAAAGTCTAGAGGGGACGAGGCGGGGTCTTCTTTGTCTTTATATATAAAGGAGAAATTGCTACAATGTCAAGTGCCGGGCTCCACTGCGCCACAGACACATGATGGACATGTCGAGCTTAATATTGTGAGACTATGTGATTTGAGGGATCCCTGCAGCTGAAAGATGGTGTTGTGGAAGGGTATGTGCCAATGTCCAGCACAGTTTGGTCATTTCCACAACCACTAAACTTGGCAACAGAGTTGAATCAGTTGTGTTACAGCAGTAAATCACAAAACTGTGCAGGAATCTGGGCCTCCAGGACCAGGTCCGGACCTCCAGCATTTGGTTGTGTAGTATGCACAGCGCTTTGTCAATGAAGCAACTGGGATTTTGGAAGCCATGCAGTGTGCAGTTGATCCACACAGTGAACTGAACCTTGCAACCCTTCTTACTCTGCCCACCTTCTTATAATTCATTGTCATATTTTCTCTTGAATATTTGTTAAAAAGAAATTATTGTATGTGTGATATACTCTCCAGTCTGTCTATTCTGAAGTGAAGACAGTATCTGCGTTCCAAAGCCTAGGCTGCAGCCGAGGTAGTGCGGGTCGTCGGTAGGACTGTCCTACGAAGCCTCCTAATTAGTAGCCTATTGGTCACACAAATGGAACAGTCCTAACGAGGCTGTGTGGTGATGTGACCAGAAAGGTCCCGCCTCTTCCAACTACAGCAAATGGTCAGAGAAAATGGAGCCTGTTGCATCGTGTTTGTTGCTTTTTCATTTATTCACAGAAATGGAGGAGATATTCTTATTAGTATGATAAACTACATATCGTCGCTGTCCAATGAAAAACAAGTATCTCCAAAATAGTAAGTTTACAGGAGAAGGCAAAATCACTCTTACATTTCAATGTAAGTCAATGTAAAAAGATTTTGTTCCAAGTGATTTTAGAGCATTTCTACTGGTCCATGTATCATGATGCACAACATAAAGGACAGCTGGTGTGTTGAAATGATGTAGAAAACAAAAAATTGCCAAAAATGGAGATACATGGTTTTCTTTGGACAGCGACGATATATACAGATACTTCTAAATAAAAGCAACGTATGGACAAATGCTTTAATTAATCATTTTAAACTTAATGAGGTAACAAATGAATTCATGGATGTGAACAACTTACATTTTAAAACAAACTTTTTTTTCTTTGCGTCGTTCGTGCACAGAGAACAGTGGGTAACCGAGGGCCGGATGGAAGGATACATCTGTTGCGCCCTCGAAATCACTCCAAACGTGGGCTGCATTTCTGGGCTGTACATAAAGGGTCCTTCACTAGCCTTGTATGACGTAGCGGCCGAGAAATGCAGCCTACCTTGGCTGCAGCCTAGGCTTTGGAACACAGCTAGTGAGAAGTGAGAATTAGTTTAGTACCCTCACCTGGCAGGAGTCGCCGATGTACTGTGGTGGGCAGGAACACACTTCCACAGTGCTGGCTGGACCCCCACTGCCTGTAAGACTAGCCTCCTCCATGCCTACGTCCCCGATGCTGAGCCTCTGACTCTGGCTGAAGTGCAGTGCTCGGATCCACACCGCCTCCAGCCTGGACAACACACGCATCAGCTCCTCGCGGGACACAGGTCTGTTGGTGCCACTGTGGCGGAAGTTTCCCTGTAAAAGACATCATCAGGGATTAAACTCAGTACAGTTACACTGCGGAACTAAATGGAAGGTCTATATGTGGAGCATTCTGTACACACTAGCAGTCAAATGAGTTATGCTTGATTTTTTATTATAAATTAAATTAATAAACTAATAATTAATCAAAACACTGCAAAGTATGTGTTAACATGAAGAGCTATTTGTAAACTTTTTGGAAATATTTAGCTTCAACACTCAACTTCAAGTTTATTAAAGTTTCTTTCTTAGTATGAAGAGCAGGTTTTGTCTACATAATAATTTGACAACTTTCTTTTCCAAACTATTGTTAAAAGCACACATTGAAACTGCTTTGGACAAAAAGGTGTTAAAAATACCTGAATCGTTTGAGTGCTGACATTGCAACAAGAATAAAATGTGTGGGAATTTTTCCTATTGTTCCTTCAGCTCTGATGTTTTTTAAAGAAAAATGGCAAAAACTAAACAGATTTCTAATCTCAGACATGTTAAAAAAAAAAAATGTTCCTTTTGTATTCAAAAAGCCTTTATCTGAAAAACTAGGAGCCCTAAACTTTTACAGAGAAGTGTATGATGATAAAGTCAGTAAATATCCTGCCTTATTCTGGTGGTGATAATTTAATTTAAAGGAAGAAAATGTTGACTTGTATTTGCGAGACTGTTCCCCACTTTTCCAGTTCCACTGCCATGGTCATACCAGAACAGGTGATAGAGCTGCTTGGAAACCAAAGCCATACACAGATCAGATTATTTGATGGTGGAAAAAGCTGGACTTCACTGGTTAGATCCTGATCCTGATTAAACACTGGTTCACCATGTGTTGTGAAATTGAAATGACACATGGAAGAAATGCTGTAATGTACCTTGTTAAAACCCATTTGTAATTCAGCACCTCAAGGTTTTTTATTTCAAATCTAGGCTTATTAGTACTTGTTATTAACAGTTTAACATCATGCTTCAAATCACCTATTTAGCAATCAATCTTAAATGAATACTCCAGAGTTTGTGAACCTAATTTCTATCAGAGGCAACAGCCCATTATATTGGCTTATCTTATATGTGTGTCTTGAGTCAACAGGTTTTCTGTTTGTTTACTCAGTAAAACATGAACGAAATATGTAAGTTATGTAGTTATGAGAGTGAGGAATTGAAGTTGGACACACGTTAGGGTCCTTGGAGTTTAAGGGGATAAAGAACTGCTTTTTATACTGTACTGAAATAATGTTTTACCTCCACAAGCTGGACGCGGCCCTGGTAAAGTCTGTCTGGGGAGGGGGACTGAGTGTCCTGGTAAACCAGTGTCATTTTCTGCCCCTGTCAGATGGAAAAAAACAGAGTGCACATCTTTCAACTGAGTGCACCAAACATGACTGAACAGATACATTTAGCAAGACTCAGCACAAAGAAAGCTCAAATGAATCACCACTGAGGATAACTAAAAATGAATCAGCAGTTACCAGGCAATGCGACTGCAGTCTCAATCAGGGTTTGTGGTGTATAAATACCTTTAGAAGAACGTCAGGTTGCTTATCCAGCAAACGCATGCCCTCACGAGGAATGCCAAAAGATTTAATCTGATATGTCAGGTAGCCCCCATAAGACGACACCTGGAGGGCAGACATGAGGAGAGGATTACGTAACACTGTCTGTTATTACATAACAGTGGTGCTTACTGATATATTTATTATTCAGATTTGTTTTATTTATATTAGTCCCTAACTTTAACAGTTCTGCACAGTGACATCTAAAAGTGTCTACGCCAATTTTGAGAATTTTGAAAATTTAAAGCTAAAGCCACTCTGTTTACAACCTGTTTATACATCGCCTTATAGATGTCATTAAAACTCACTAAGATCTTGTAATCTGGAGGATTGACATGATAGTGATGGTTTCTGACAAACTTGCATCCATAAAACTGGACAAATGTACAGGCAAAGTTCCGTCTTCAAAATATAGATATGTGATTTTTATATAGGTGTGATTTTTATAGATAGCTGTGTTTCATGTAGTGTCAGAAACCAAATAAGCAAGACCATCTCAGATTACTTAACAACTCGAAGCAATTTGAAGTAAATGAGTGATCATTTAAGCCCAATCCCATTTCACCTCTTGCCCCTTCCACCTAGCCCTCTAGTTTGCTCGATTTTTGTTGAGATAGAGGGGTAGGGCGAAGTGTTAGGGCTACATGGCCCTCCGAACAGAGGTTTTTCAGAGGCACACTCCAAACAGAGTTATATGTGGAAAAAAAAGAAAAACTGGCAAGATGGCTGCGCAAGCGACCAAAGAAACTCAAAACGTGAGTATTTTTATCTGTTAAAATTACAATAACCATTGCATTATCTTAATATAATTTCATTTCAGTGTATTATGGTCCTTTTCTTTATAACCAGCATAAAAAATTGTTAATAGTATGCTAGTGTCTCGGTAGCTAGCTAGCTAAATTTCCTGTTCCACCTTAAATAGTCCAGCAGTTCTGATGCCTGAAGCGCCAGAATGTAACTGCTGCTCTATTTAAGGTGGAACAGAAAAAATTCTAACAAGAAACTGGCAAATATCTGACTTCAGCTTCATATCACTGACGAATTAGGAGTGGGTGATAATAAATAATTGTCCCTCCTCTTTGAAGGCATATGATACCCTAAATTTAACTAAAGTTCAGCAGTGAGGAGCTGAACTCCTCTGCTATCACTGCAGACTGGCAGGGTCGCCTACAGAGCAGCGCTAGTAGCCTTTTAATGAAGTAATGTTCTTCTTTATTTGAGGGTCCCGTTTCGTAGGGGGAGATTTCAACCACTTCTCCTTGTAATTCAGTTCCAAGGGCAAGGTGACACTCGAAAACAAGGGGTAGGGGTAAAAATAAGAAATGGGATTGGGCCTTAGGCTTGCAGTTAGCAACACACTAACTGACTGATCAAATATGAGATGAAAATTGTGTAACTTTGCTTTTTCACCAAAATACCACTTTCAAGCATCATAAAAAACACTGTTCACTCTTCGGACTCATTTGGAGTTTAAGCGAGGGTCTCACCCTGTCCCCCAGGTAAGACTGAGGGAGAACCCAGTGCAGCTGCATCACAGACACGGGCAGCTCCTGAACATCCGCTACCACCGTGTTACTGAGAGGATTCAGAACAGAGGGAATCTCCTCCAGATCAGACGACATCAAACGCCAGGAGCGCATGTCTACAAACTGAGAGAGCGAGAGAGCGAGAGAGAAAGAGAGAGAGAGAGAGACAGAGAGAGAGAGAGACGTAAAGAGAGAGACAGAGAGACAGAGAGACAGAGAGAGAGAGAGAGAGAGAGAGAGAGAGAGAGAAAGAGAGAGAGAAAGAGAGAGAGAGAGAAAGAGAGACGGAAAGAGAGAGACAGAGAGACAGAGAGAGAGAGAAAAAGAGAGAGACAGAAAGAGAGAGATCATGGCCTCGGTCTTTACGTCTTCTCAAAACCACGAGAATCATCAGGGGCTTTCTTTAAAGCTCTTGTGAGAGCAACAGAAAGGAAGAATGCACTCAAAAGAAACATCATAAACATGATCTTGTTGAAAATGAAAAAAGTATGCTCAACACTGCCATTCAAACGTTTGGAAGCACGTGTTATACTAATCATATCACTCATACAATGTATTAAACAACACCAAAAGGTTTTTTCAGCTTTGACTGCTTAGAGGTTACAACGAGGAACACACATGCACCTTTCCTCTGCGTTTCTCCGAGCTGCGGCACTGATCTGTGGCTCCAAAGCAGAAGCACTTGGTGCATCCTTCCGGGTTGGCTGGGTCAAAATGGAACGAGCCCTTGCGGCACATGTCACAGCGAGAGCCCTCCACATTACTCTGATCAAACCACACACACACACACACACACACACACACACACACACACACACACACACACACACACACACACACGTTAAGAACAACTTGGATCCCAAACATAAAACAGCGCAATTCACAGCTGTGCATGAGTGATCTGCTGGAACTGATTAGCATAATTCACTTCAAGGAATTTGGAAGATCACTGTAACGACTCGGGATTAAAGTCATGCAGCATAATGATCAAAGCTGAATAATGTGCAGAACACTTTGATGTGGATGCAGTAATTTAATGGTTATGAAGATTATGGTAAGAGAGAGAGCTACACCTTGGGAGCCACATTTTATGTCCATTTTACCATCTTAGCTGTAAATATGTCTAAATATGTGCTAATGTACTGGTATAGACTAATAATAACACAGACTTATATTGCTCTGCTTTAAGCTTTAGCTCAGCTATAGCTGCTTTTCTTGCATCTCTAGCAGGATACTTTTCCACAAACGTTTGATTTTTTTTGAGGTTGAAGCCAGCTTCTCATTGTTCAAATTTTAACGGTCCACCTTAAATGGTGCCTAAGGTGACAGAATGTAACTGCTGCACTTTTTAGGGTGGAACAGGAAACTTCAAACAAGAAGCTGGCGAACAAGCCGACTTCAGCTTGTGACTTTTTAGTGTTTGACAGTTTCTCGTTGCAGATTAAACGTATCAGGAAACCAGCTGAGTGCTCATAAATGCAAATAAGTCCATTCGTCTCCAATTTATTGATGTTCGTCTTAAATGTCTTTCTTTGCCGCTTCGTTAGCTACTAGCTAGGAGAGACTGTGGTTGTTGCTATGGTGACCTGCAGTCTGCACTTCAGGGTTAAAGGGTGAATTAGCAGTGATACATTAACTGCTGCAGATGGTTCTATATAGAACCTTTTTGAAAATGGTTCTATAAAGGACCGAAAAGGGTTCTTCTATTGTTACGATGTCAAGCCTGTTACAATAGAAGAATCCATTTTGGTGCTATATAGGACCCTTTTCAAAAAGGTTCTGTATAGAACCACATGAAACACATTCTCCATCAATTTAAAAAACCATTTAACGATGCAAAGAACCTATTAATCATGCAAAGGGTTCTTTGAGTGTTCATGGTTCTTCATTATATTGAATGAGAGTGCAGTGTGTGTGTGTGTGTGTGTGTGTGTGTGTGTGTGTGTCACCTTGCAGAGGCACTGGCCGCTGTTGGGGTCACATATCTGTGGAATCACTCCCCCGACGTTACATGAACACCGTATACACTCAGGGAAGCGGTAGTAACCGGCGACACACTGAGAGCATTGTCGCCCACCTATTCTGGGTTTACAACTGGAACACAGAGGAAAACCACACAATTCACACATACGTACAGTATATACACAGACCTCAAATGGATTAACAAAATAAACAGGCTCTGTACACAGAGACACACTGCTTAATACACAAAGGCAATTTAAAACCTTTAAATTAAAAAGCTCAAAACACTGAGACAACTGACTCAAAGCAACTACCTAGGGTAATGAATTTACTTCACAGCAAAACTGGCTGATGGCTGAATTTCAGTAGCCTTTTTAAACCTTGAAGCTCACACGGTGCGAAATAAATGAACACATGTAACACATTTCTAGCACGTTTCCTGCTTCATAAATAACATTAATCGCAATTTGTTGGGCCTAATTTAAAGTAAGAGGGAACTGTCATGCATATTTATACTACAACAATTTGATATGGAGTACAAGCAGCATTTATACACAGCATTCATGCACTTACCTGCCTCACACTCTTTATGCCATAAAACTGCAATACACACCAGCAGCACAAAAATAGAAATAACAAGCAAAAATCTGATCCATTCTGGTTCTTGGCTGATTCTGGTCATGCATCCTCACTACTAGCAAGTACTATCATAAAGCATCCATTAGTAAAATGTCTGCTTTAGTCAGTTTTCAATGGAATATAGTCAAAAACTGGTGCTAGATCTTGTAGTTGCCTGATATCTACATATAATGTCTATTGCATGCTAAGTTGGCTGCAGCTACTGGAATTTTGTCACTCACATTCTGTGGCCACACTGCCACTTCTATGCACTGGTTTACTATAAAAGAAGACCTGTTATTTATGCTTGTAGTCACTCAAAACAATCTTTGGTTGGTTACGCTGCATGTCAGTCAACTGTCTCTTTCTGGTCAAAGTAAGTGGTTCCTGATTTTGAGTGACAAAACCAACCAGACTCTCAGGGTCCGATCTGCAAGACTGCAGACAGACAAAGTACAGAGATTCCTAATCCTAGTCCAGTGAAACCATTCACAGTTCACTACTTTCAGTGCTTAAACCAAATCTAAATTATCATCTTCCCTTTATCTGAAATGTAGCCAATCACCCAAGATACGTTTTGGTTCTGAAGTTTTGTTCATTTCTCACTGAAGCTACGAGGCTTATGTAGCTAACAAGTAATGAAAGTGTATGTACACCAATTAGCATCATACAGAACTACACACAAAAATCTTCTTTATAGTAAACAAGTTTAAAGAAATATCAAAATCAAACTGGAGCCAGAAAACTCTAGTTTATTTATCAGCTGCGACTCACGTGCACTGGCCGGTGGTGATGTGGCACTGGCCCGTGTCTCCAGGGGCGATTCCGATGGGGGAACAGTCACAGCCCTCACAGCCGAGCAGCGGGTGATAGCTGAACGTGCGGCTCTCACACACTTCACACGCAGGTCTCACGGTCTGCGGAGGGCAAATACACTCCCCCGTCACTTCGTCACACAGCCGCTGGCCACAGTCACATGCTGCAGACAGGCACAGAGATGGAGGACAGGTGATTGGAGAGGCTACGAGGCTTCACATATGGACATTCGCAATGGAAAAGGCCATCAAACAACTCTTAGGAACAAAAAGAAGATCTGAGAAGCTGTTTATTTATATAATAACAATATCAATAGCAACATACTGATGCACGGTAAAATACTGTAAGAGTGCAATCTGTAAAAAAGCAGCTGCAATGCTCAAAAGAACTAAGTGTACATTAAAACATTAGCACATTATTTACTATGACTTTTTAATATATTAACTATAAACTCATTACTTTTAATGAGCATTAAACTAACAGACATCACTGTCTACCAGCAGAGGGCACTCACGTCTGCAGTACGGAAAGCCGTAGAAGCCTGTGGCACAGCGAGTGCACTGTCGGCCAATGACGTGAGCCCTGCAGGAACATTGGCCTCCAAGCGGCTCACAGGTGGGGCTTGTTGAGCCCACTTTGTCACAATCACAGGGCAGAGCACCGTTGTAATAGTGGGCAACCAGGGAGCGGGCTGATGCCTTACAGAACTCTGAGGCACTGCGGGGACTGTGGGAAATTGAAGCTCGGTCAAAAAGAGAAAATCTGACAGTCTGTGGTTTGGGACACTGTATGACATACTGTTATGTAAAAAAAAATGATTTTAAGATGACTGCAATTACTATTTTAGTTATGCAACACATCTTTAGAGAGATACTTCTCAGATAACAGTATATGACAGTATAAGTAATTAGTAAGACAGTATCTTTTAGATAGATAGTTTTTAGATAACAGTATAAGAGATCATTGTTTTACACTGATAAACTGTGTCTGCATATATGATAGTTCTCCTCACACTTACTTGATGTAAAAGCCCTGAGAGCCACACTGGCTGATGAAATCTGAAGCCTTATCCAGTGCTTTAGCCTTAAGCAGCTCGGGGCTGTAATGGTCCTCAGGGACCACCAGGATGTAATCCTTCAAGAAGAAAACAAACAAGGGACAAGCAGAGGAAACCCAGTGAGGCGTGTCATTAAAACTTCCACTTTGGTGATTATACCCTCTGATTAGATAAGCATAAGCCTTGCCCTTTCTATTTTTGTGTATTGTAAAGTCTCCCAGGACCATTTGAATGCTTTTCCATAGGTGTCAACCTATATAATTTACTTAAAATATGGTTTTGTTGCTGTTTTAGAATTACACAGCCATGTTAGGCTGGGATACTAGAAATCTAGTCTAATACAATAAAAGGCGAAATATATATATATATATGTGTTTTTTACACTTTTTACACAATTTTAGACGTAAATATTAAAGTCTCCACTTCTGAAGTATAACATTTAAAAAAGCATTAGCAAAGATACATGTGCCCCTCAATGTCACCTTGCAGATGACATCACTTTTGTTCTGTCAGTTCACTGCAGGACAGAATTTCTCAGCTCTCTCTCTCTCATTGCTTTGAACAGTGTTTGTATGTGTATAAACTGTGCGATTACCAGAGGAATATTTCACAGTGAAGAAAATCTCTGCTGTTGTGCCTCATGATTTTAATGGTAGACATATAAAGATATGGGTATCCATCCAAGTATAAACAGTTTGGAAGCTGTGAGATTAAGATTTACTGTTGGCTGACATCTAAGGTTGATATTTATGCTTTCAATTTCTTAGAAACATTTTGATACATTTGTTTAAAAAATACAAATATACACTTGATGCGTATGTCTGAATTTACTTCCAAAGCAAATATTTCATTTTAAGGGGCAAAATAAAATCTCAGCACATGTGGAGCTTTTTAAAGCCTGGTGGAAAAGCATGATAGGTGATGTCCACATGAAAGTGCTTGTTTTCTTTTGTGTTTTGTTTGTTTTTTTGCAGTTTCTTTGTCACTGTAAAACATGGAAAATAGCAAAAATAAATAAAACTGTTCTGTGAGTGTTAACTATTGATTAATACTGTATATTTACACACAACATTATTTCATATTGTTTATATAAATAATGTCTTATAGTATATTGTTGCTGTTGTACCAAAACCTCATTACTTCAAATTAACATTCAACATGATGAACAACTAGAAATGGTCCAAAGTTGCTTGTAATAAAATCTACATTCATTAATACACATGAATGTTAAGAATGTTCTTTCTTTCTCCTGTAGAGTGACCGATTCATTGGTACAAGGTATCAGCTGTATATACTCTACAATGATATGCAGAGTATATGCAGTGTTTGCATTGTCTGTTCACTGTGTATTGACTGTTACTCAGTGACTCTGTGCCAGAACAAATTCTGCTGTAACTGAACTTGCACTGACAACACATTGCAAACAAACTACTGAATCCTTGAAAGAGCTGAGAGACAGCCAGGGAGAAGAAAAGAAAGAAGCTCTGAGAGACACTCAAATGGTCACATACCAACCACATACCACAGTACCATCCCTCTCTCCATCCTCCACTCCTTTTATGGAAGCAAATCTATACACTGGTAGATCAACTGAAGCATCAAACACACAGCCCTCATGAGGCCATTTGCTCTAATGTCAGCAGACCACATCAGGCTGGATTAAGGACTAGCAGGGCTTACAAACTGGAAAAGGCTAATAAAAGGAGCAGGAACGGGGCAGTAAAGGCATAGCTACTGACCAGAGTTAGAGTTTTTCCTTTCGGGATCCTCAGTGTGATTATCATGGTCTGCTGCATGGCGTCCAGGCTGATGCGTCTCTCTGCTATAACTGCACTCCTGCAGCCAGACATGGCAGGGCAGAAGGAGGCGTTCAGCTGGCCTGGAGAGCAGATAACACAGAAAAGGGAAAAGAAAATCACAGGCAATCCCAATGAGACAAAAAAAAAAAGTATGGGAAAGATTTTAGGGTTGACACTGACGATCATATTCCTGGCTGAGTGGTGAGTAATGTCTGTTTATTTGAGTGTCCCTGATATCGACGAGACCCACAAAGGTTTGAAAACAAGCCTGAGCACTCCGCTATCCACCACCGAAAACCCCTACCCTCAGGAGGCTCAGATCAATCAGAAGAAAACCTGCCCGCCATCTTAGGAATCACTACTGAAGGACTACTCAGATGATTAACAGCTCTCTATCAGTACCTTCAATAATGGGCAGCATGACTGGACCAACCCTCTCAAGTGCACCTGCCGTGATTGTGTTTTTATTGTACTTTTTTGCCAATTTATCTTATTCTTATCTTATTTTTATGGTATTATACTTTTGATTTACATATAGAGTTTGATATAAACTATATGGCCATATGATCATCCAATGTTTCTTCCAAAATCAAGAGAATTAAAAAGGAGTTTGTCCATTTCTGCTGCAGTGACTGTCTCTACTCTTTAGAGAAGGCTTTACACTAAATGTGTGAACATTGCTTTGATGATTTGATTGCATTCAGCAGCTGGAGCACTAGTGAGATCAGGTACTGATGTTGGATAATCAGTTCTGGATCTCTCCAATTCATCCCAAAGGTATTGGATGGAGCTCCATCACTCTAGAGAACGCAGCTCCACTGCTCCACAGCTCAATGCTGGGGGGCTTATACCCCTCTAGCCTATGCTCAGCATTGGACATGGTGACCTTGTGTCATGTGTGGCTGCTCCAGAGCATCCTGTTCTATTATCAACGCTTTTCTATGGAGAATAGAAGTTTTCTAGAAGACTACAAGCTGTGTGAGCATCTGAACTCTTGTGTCAGCAGTGAGCGACCTTAAAGCAGCTGAATTCACTAATAAGAAGGGGTGTCCACAAACTTTTGGAGTGTATTATGATTTTAATGTATTTGCTTTTTATTCTGATTATAAAGTTTTTTTTTTATTTATCTTCTCTGTTGTGTTTTACTGCTAAGATCATGAGACGAACTCCTAACCAGTCACTCAGTATGGTATTAAATATTGGCTCAAAATTCTGATCTGTTTTCATTAATCAAGTAATGGTGACAGACCTAAGAAATTCCAAGTACATTATTAAGTGTAATGATACTCCTATACCATATGTATATATGCGATATGTTTACAAATATAATAACGATACATAGACAAAGATATAAAGAATAATGACTAAAATAAACACAAAGCATTTAAGCATTTTATCCTTATCAAGATAAAACAAAACTTCAAAATAATTGGCCTGTGTGTGATTCAATATTCTGATATTTAGGCTCTGGGAGAAAATACACCAAGAGAACTTCAACTCACTGTTTGGTGGAGCACTTAAAGCTGCAATGTCCAATCTAATCCACAAAGGAGTTGATCCAACCACGCAGGACCACACCTGATCCCACTTGCTTACATTAGTTGGTCTCAGTCTTCAAACAACTGTTAATGTGAGCTCCAGCTTTGTTGAAATGAAAACCTGCAGCCACTCCGGCCCTTTACAGATAACACTGGAGACCCCTGACTTAGAGCATGATGTCATCACCTAATCCTAATGATGGCAACCACAGAATTCATACTCCATTCAAAGCCACTATGAACTCACACCAGTATTCCTGTATCAGCTTTAGCACTTTCAATTCAGAGAGATGGCAGCAAAATGAAACACTGGTGCTTAATCTTATTTATATTTCAGATCTGAAGAGTGCTGAATCATTCTAAAAGAGCCCAAACAAGTTCTCTTTGTCTTAAAGGTCCAAACAATCCCCGAGTGCAGTATGTATGCTCACCTGTCCAGGTGTTTCCCATGTTCAGCAGGACCTCCACAGGGAAGGCAGGGTGCTCAGGCTGACAGTACTGCACTATAAATACATAACGGCCTGGCTGGGGCACCTGCGCACTGAGCTCGACCTCAGTCTGAGTGAAGAAATAGACACACATTCAACTGAAAAAAAAAAGATAGGCCTCTGACAATGTGCCAAAAATAAAAAAACTCAAAAATGATTTTAATGTAACAGTAATGAAAATAAGACATAGTGATTAAAAACGCTGTTTTTTCCCTTTTCTTTCCACAAAGCTGAAGTTAGCTTTCTCTTTGCCAGCTTCAGAAGCCAGAATGTCACACTATTTAAGGTGGAGAGGAAAATATAATTATAAATATAAATATAAATGAATAACAAGAGAGTAAGAAGCTAACTTCAGCCTCATTTGCTCTTCTGTGCCAGTCAGCGCAGCTGCATTCAAATATTTTGAAAGGCAGCAAATCAACACTGAAAATGTCAACTGTGTGGAACTATTTGACAGGTTCTGCGAGGAACATTAGACAAGAGATTTGTTGTTTGTTGTTCATGGTATCAAAAGGAGCAGGAGTACAAAGAAAAGTCCCTGAAAGCATGCCCCAGCCACCTGTAGTCTCAGCTTTTTAACTGGCAAAAAATTCACAACTTTTAAATTAAGTTCACAATTTTATGCAAATTATAAGATAAAAATAAACTGCAAAAATAGCCTAATGTAAATAACCTGTTTTACACCAATTAACCAATGCATTTCCGTGTACCTTCCAATCTAGGCCACAGCAGTTCAGCCAAATCCAGTCCACTGAAGTTACACAAGGAATTATTTAATTAGAACAGAGGTCCATTTTCATAAATCAGTTAAGGGCATGGCAACAAAAACAGCCTGTTTAATTCAATGGGACAAGTGGAGCTTGGAAAGTGGCAATGTAAAAACGAATTACGATTGTTTTGGTATTTAAATACATGCAAACATCATAAGGGACTGAGGGAAAAAACTAAATTCAAGAAAATGAGACCTTTAAGGGCTTGGCAATTGGCTACTGACAATATGGCTACTGACAGAGCTGTGTCCAGGACTAAAAAAACACCATGGAGTACCATAAAGTAACCTAATTGCTGTCTGGTACTGTCAACATTTGAATGTGAGTGGCATGATGGTGCAGTGCAGACAGGAACGTACCTGTGGATATTTGAGCAGAAGCCCATCACATCTTCCTGAAGACTGAGATGAGAACCTGACCGGCCGAGTCACAGATGAGGCGTCAAGAACAACAGCCGTAGAAGGAGTGTGGAACTGGCTTTGAACACAGTGCTTACTGCAACGTAGTACAAAAGGTTTGTTTTTAGTTTATACAAGGTTTAAGAAGTAGTAAACAGGGGATTTTCAGTGAAGCAAGGCAAACTCAGAGTCAGAAGCTTTTTATGGATTCAGAAACAGCACTTTAGAGGAGATTCATACAGACTCAGTAGTGATGCAACCCAGGATAGAGCTGCTGCAACAGGTTACTAATTCCACTTTATCCCTTGTGTCGCTTATAGTCTGCATTCTGACTCTGAAAACAGACATTTTAGCATTTTGATTTTGACTCTTTACTTTGATTTTGCTTTTTGCAATTATTCGTGTAAACAGCATACTATAACTTCTCAAATCAGTCTGAAACTGGTATCAGATATTGAGAAATCTGATAGACACCTGAATTTTAGATTACAAAGTAATTTAAAGCACAGTTTTTCTACATATTTCTACACAGGCGGTGGTTTTGGATAGTGAATAAAATGGTTATACCTGCGCTGCACGGCAGTTGCACCACTATACAGAAATGCTGAGCTACATGTTTCTCTACACCTTTTCACATCAAACCTGAATGACTGTTTCCATCTCAACGAATGATTTGTGCAGAAATTTTGAAAAATCAGTGGAATTCTGCTTTAAATCAGGAAACTGCAAGTGTTGCCTTCGTTGTATATTTTGTGAGAAATCCAATTATGAAGTAACTGCAATACCAATTATCATATTTAAATGCTTGTAAACACGCTGCAGGAATTATTGCCAAAATAGTTATCAGATTATTTATAATGTTAATATAAATATAATCTATGTTTCTGTACTGAATTTTATTACGTCAATGTGTTTTCAGTCACTCTTTGTTCTATGTGTATTTTCCTTGCTGAAGCTTATTCATAACAACCTGTATGTTCATGTAGACATAAAGTATTGAACATGAACTTGGAACATTTGGGTGATTCTACAGAAATGTCCACTTTTTTATCTGTCCATAGGAGTCACTGGTGTTACTGACCGTCATTGGTGTTACACATAAGAAAGGTAACACCAGAGACATTTTTAATGAAAAACGCATTTTACAAAACTGCTACAGAGCATCAAACCACATGTTGTCAATCATGGAACATCCACTAAAATATGTAATTTAATCCATTTGTATTCTATTTTTCCCACAATAACCTAAGAATAAAGTAGGTCACACCAGTGACGTCAACTAAAAGCTTCATATGAAATCATGAGCTAAATGAGAAAATCTCTGATAACTGAAAGACACAGTGGACTTAGCATGCGCTTTTCTTCATAGATCTTCAGAAAATAGGTAAAAGGAAGTCAAGTGATGTCATCGGTGTGACTTTTATTTCAAAATAAGAGATTTTTTGTTACACAGTAACACCAGTGACACGACTCCTGGGGACAACAACTTTCATTATATATTCTATAATATTTACTTGGCATTTGTTTTCTTTATGTCATTTAAATAATATATTTCATAGTCATGTAGATATTATTGCAGTTAAAACTGCAGAAAAACATGTTTTTTACCTCTAAATATGGCCTTTACACCTGACTGTAAGGACGAGCACTTCTGTGGTGCTTGGAATTCTAGATAACTGATTTAAAAACCAATATTACTAAATTGACGGCTCAAGACGGTGTAATTGTTAAAATAATGTATTGTTTTACTTTAAACAAATAAATACACTGTAAGCCTAACATGTTTTTCAAGTGTAAATTATCTTTAAACGCTAGGCACACAAAAATGGACATTTCCATAGAATGACCCATTTATAACTAGTGATAACCGATAAAAGAGAGTGCATCAAATATAGTAAAGACTGGTGTCTCATCAGGCTCACTGGAGGGGGTAAGACACCTAGGAGCTCAACCTGGCAGTGTGGAACGTGATGAAGAAAGTGACCCACTGCAGCTCAGGTCAGAGAGGAGCCCTGGACTTCAACCTACACAGAGCCGCTTAATCCTTCCTTTGAACTCTGAACACTCTAAACCCCTCATGACAGCAGTCACATGATCTTCTGCTCCCTCTTCCTATCTCCTTCATTACACTTGTGAATGGTTGCTGGATTTTATTTGTAAAAATGAAGCAGCTGCTTTACATACATGCATGGCAGACTTTGCGACCTCATCACAAATACAAGCTGTTTCTTTTCCAAGCAACTGCAAGAGAATCACATTTAGCAAAGATGGCCTGATATCCTGAGTTATTTATGTTGTTTTCTATGTACTGACCACACATGAAAGAACAGTATAAATAAAGTCCAAGTAATGGTTTTCTGCATGAAACAGACCATAAAGAGAGGGAATGCACTTACTTGCCTATAGAGGGCAGTCTGCACTGTAAAACATCACAAAAGGTTTCTAGAGGGAAGAGAGCTTGGCTACTGTACCCAGACTGTCTAATGTGCTTGGAGACAGTCATTTAGGGTCAAACTGCATTTAAAACTTTCTCCTCAGAGTCTTTGAAGGTCCTTCTCAGAGGATAAGGATTTACTTTTAGATATGTTTATAATGGTTTACTTCTGTTCAAAGTTGACTCTCTCTCTCTTTTTCTCTCTCTTTTCTGTCCAGTCGCTTTCTCCCACACTGCTCTAATCTCATAAAATCTTGTACTTCATTCTTTTTACTTTTTCCCACAATAAATCACTGTCCTCATCTCTAACAAAGCTCGCTTGACCGCTCTGTTTCTGCTCTTTTTTTTCAGTCGTCTTTTTGGCCTTTTATGTTTTGTTTCAGAGGAATTGATCAGAGATTAGAGACCAATTTTGCATTACTTTAAAAGGTAGTAAGGATGTCTTATCTAACTAGAAGTTAATCGTCTAGTGCAGTGGATTCCCGGACCTTACTGTGTGTTAAAATGGCTATTAGTTATACAGGATAAGAATCAGCAATGAGATGAGAGGAGTATTGGAATAGTGTTCCTTAGTATATAAAGACTTCAACAGGTGTGTTTTTAATCCACATAAAAAAGTTTTACTAGTTTTACTGGATTTTTTCTTATATTGTTTGTAATTGCGCTGAATTTTCACTTGAATGCTTTTTTATTTAATGTTTAGCTTATCTTCACATGTAAAGCACTTTTTCATTTTGATATTAACAAGATATTAATGATGTTATATAATTTAACATCATTAATTTTCATCATTCATTATGAAAATAAAATAAAGTATGCTATTCAGACTTGTAAAATCATATTTAATTCACAACTTTCAACTTTCTGTCCATACAGTCATCCATACTGACAAACAAATAGTCTTCAATGTGGTTTCAATAGCTGTAATTGAAGTGCTGATGAAATCCATACTGAGACGAACTGTTAAAAGAGAGCACTTCACGTAACTCAGTAAGAGAGAATGGAAGGGTCATACAAAGGTCAGAATGACAGGCCAAGTAAAGACATGGAAGGAGGTAAACACCCACTGAAGGGTCAAAACATCCTGCTACCCACTAGAGTGACGTTACTGATGTTCTAAATCTGCATCCTCCCTGCCCACAATCTTCACTCGCTTAAAGTTAAAGTTAAACTGAATTTTCCTCACCTTTAAAAAACAAATAAAGGACATAGTATTTAAACACTGTTAAGGTTCTATTCTATCTATAGTCCCCAAAAATGTTAAGGCTAAGAGATACAACACTGTGAAACAGAATACTGTTCCGCACCAGCAAACCCAACCATACATTAAAAAGGCAACAGCTTGTCATTTATTTACTGTGGAAATCATAAAAAGGTCACATTTTCGTAGGTGTGCGTTTAATATTAAGCTTTCAGACAAAGTTAACAGCCCATAATTACTCATGGCCTGCGGCTCTGAGCTTCAGATCAGAGATATACAGTAAGAGAAAGGCAGAGAAGAAAGGAAAAATGGAGGCTTAGCCAGTCCAGGTGAGCCACCCAGCCTTCTGTGTGGAATGCAAGCAGCCACACCTGCACAACAGATGTGCTCTTTTCAACAAAGCGTGTCCCTACCAAAATATGCAACTGTGCTGAAAAGTAAAAGGTGTAGAGAGACAAAGATAAGAGCCTAGACAGATATGAGTCGGGCTTGGAGCACTTGTGAATTTATCCATAATTACTGATAACAGCCATGAAACTGATGATGAGGGCTCTGATCTGTGATCTCAAACTGCAGCTCAGGTTTTACTTCATTTACACATGGAGCAGGAAGCTGCCCTGTGAGCCCCACTGGGTAACCCCATCAAACTGTATTTTTCATTCGGAATTTTAGTCTCATGATTAGTCATTAGTTGTAGTCATAAGTTTATTTTCTTTTTATTTATTTTACAGTGAGTCAATTTTCGTGGGTGTAAAAAAGCGATTTTTAGTGCTCTGAAACTTTGCATCCGTTATGTGAGAAATGGATCCGTTCAGCAGTAATGGCAAAGTTATCACTTTTCTTTTACCCAGTGAGACTCAAAGAAGCGGTCAGTGGGTAACAGCCTGTTCTGCTAAAAACACTGAACAGCATGGGGAATTCCATCGACACGGCAGCACCGTGTATGAACTGCTACCTATTTCGGCTCAAATCTATGAGAAATTTCATCTCATGAAAGTTGGCATTAGTTTTGATGTACACGTTTTAAGAACGACTTCTTTTGCTCTCTGGCACAAACAGAAACTGTTCTAGACATATGGCATATTAGTGTTGTACCAATACTGATACTGTATTGGTACCAGAATTTAAACGCAGTATCGGTGATGGGGATACCGATACCTTTGACTGACACCACAAAGCAATTTCTGACACGTACATGTGTGCCAGTAGACAGAACTTAACAGGGGTGTGGGATGACAAGCAGCAGTATAAACGCTAATCTTGCTAATGCAAAATCTGTAACAGCAGTTTTTGGTGTGAAGAACACGCTAACGGAGCTGCTTACCTGAGTAATCATTTTTAGTAATCACTGCTACTGTCTGCTGCTGTGTGGTTACTTACAGTCTGAGTTAATGTTACTGAAAGCTGAAGGAACCGCCAGACTCTGAGTAATGATAGCCTTTAGCCTCGATTTAGCCTTTAGCATAGCAGCCCACCAGCCAGGACTGTGCGTCCACTAACTGCAGCTGAGGTGCACCTCCATCGGTCAGCTGTATCACTGAGCAGCGGGGTCTTGCGGCCCGTTGCTTCAACCAAGCCAGAAAAACACAAAGTCGCTGATGCTGACAGTGTGAACGACAGTGATATTTACTGAAGTGACAGTGATGCAGCGCTGAGTGAACCAAACTCACGTATTAAGAGATTTGGATGTGAAACAACATCAGCTCTGTTTCTGAGCAAGAGAAGCTGCTGTGTGCAGCTGTTTTTAAGTGTTTTACACAGTAAAGATATTTTCCATTTCCTTAAGTTGTTAAACATGGTTCTTATTACTTTATTGAATAGTAAATAATAAATATATACAATAAAAGATCAAAAAGTTTTTTAAGCGTCTAATAAATATAACCCAACAAAAACAAATGTAATCTAGCCAAGCTGAGTGTGTTTTATTTGTAACGCATAACATAGATTTTACCAAAATAGAATATTTAAAAAAATGTAATTGTATAAATATCAGGACCTATAGGTGAGTATTGGAAGGGAAAGTGGTATCACTGTATCTCTACGGCATATGTAACTGTAATATACAAACAAAAAAATGAATATTTATCAATAATTCTGTCCTTATATATTAATCTTTATAAATTTCTTATTATCCCAGCCCTAAATCTGAAGACTACATGTGAAGACTACATGTCAACATTGAGAAGAGGACTGTCTTCAAACTTGAATGAAATCACAGTTATCATTGGCAATGCTAAAAACAATTTAAAAAAATATATATATTCATTATTTCTCAGTCATAACTCATTGTAGCAAGAAATATTGTGTGGATTATAAAATACCACATTTATATTTATAAATAGAGGAGGATATATATTTAATTACAATTTGAATTCAATTAAAAGCTGCTGTTGTACATAAAGTCTTGTTTTAAGGGAAAAATGTGTTACGTTTGACATATTTCTGTCACTGTTTGACATCAAAACAGAAGTGTAGACTCAAACCTGTTGATTCAGAACGTACATCAAATGTACATGTAATTAATTTCATAACTAGCCATGTAAGTAATTATGCAATTCTGTAATCAGACAAAAATAAAATAACAAAGCAATAATAATAACTAGACATCTAACAGATAAGAACCACCTAAAATAGTCTAACATGACTATTGTCATTGTGTGTCATAATAGACCTGCGTGGTGCTGAGTGTTTCTAAACTATGCTGAGCTTTTCTACTTTGATGCCAAGTGCACTGTACCACAAAAAGCACTTGCTTTCAAGAGCTCCACGCTTCACAGCATTACACCGTTCTCTTTCATGCTAAATGTCCCATGGTCAGCAACTGATGTATCAGAGAAAAGAGCTTCAAAGAAGCGAAAGAATCTGTTTCCACACAGATATAAAAGGTTTACCTGTCATCTGTGAAGCGCCCGTGGACCGAGACACACAGCTCCTTGGGATTGATGAGCTCCATGGTGAAATTATCAGAAGGAACTGCATACACTCGATTCTGTGGGAAAGCCATGAAAATACAGGAGAGGTGAAACACAGACAACAGCCAAAAGCAACGCAAACGCAAAGGAAAAAACTTCCCATACGAAGCCTACACTGTTAATCTTACTCTTTTTATTAAACCAAATCAGAGTTGTGACTTCAACAAAGTGACAAGAAACATTTACACAAGCATAATGTGTTCTTGATTCCTGTCTAGATGGGAAATCGAACCCCAGTCTCATGCTATCCAACCACTTCTAGTAATGAGAATGGACTAAGAATGGATTCTGGAATCCCATTACACTAGAAATAAAAGTACTGTGCTAGAGATAAAGGTGCTGCGCAGGGACGTTTCTTGTTCATCAAGGTACAAACAGTGTAAATGTTCCCTCAAAGGTACAACAGTGGTTTTATGATCCAATTGTGTAGCTTAAATACATTTTTCCCTGTGGAAAAGTACGTATTTGTATCTTTTCATAACCAAATGTGTTAAAACAGAACAATAAAATAAAAAGCCTGGAGACGAGATGGGGTGTGTGGGGTCAGTACAATTTAGAGAATATAATTTCAGTGGATTATGGAACAATTATGTTCCCTGACTAAAGGTGCTGAGATGTACTCTTGAGGGGATAACCCCAGTGACAAGAGGGAAACAGCCCCAGTGAGAGTTTCATACCTTCATTTCTGAGAGTGTAGGATGGCAGTTTTAACAATTAAACAAAATAGCAATACTACGTATAGAACTTTTCTCCCATCCCATCAGAAATCATTTGCTCCAGCTCAATGAAACTCAATCTCACCAGCAGGAATGAGGCAGCAGATGCCTGCAGAAGAATTTCTGCCTTTGGAGGAAGAAGAAAGTGAGCGATGCGATTCTGTCCATCAACGACTACAGAGCGGCAGAGGAAGCTACAGAGTAGAACACAGTTCGTATCAGTTTATGAGTGACTGGCTAAGAATATGTCCAATGAATAAAGTCATTATGTTCATAACTAATCAACATGAATGGACAGTTCAGTGAAAGATCAAGTTTACACAATTTTCTCCTCCAAATCAGCCATGTTTGGTGTCCAAAGTCCGCTTCTCTAGTAGGCTAATGTAGCTCTGTGTGTTATCCATAAAAATTAACAAAAGATCAGAAAAAAATAGGTTTCAAGATGGCAGCTACTTCTGTCTTTAGCTGTGCAATGTGCTTTTTCTCATTTCATACACAACAGAAGGGCTTAATCTGCAATGTTTATTGAGACATTCACCTTTGCAATGATGATCTCACAGAAGCCAGGAAAATGCAATGATCCTGTACTATAGCAGCCACCAGCCCTCCTCCTAGAGATCTCCCTTCCTGCAGGTTTTACTTCCAACACGTATTTAATCTCACAGATCTGATCCAGCTAATTAAGGAATTCTTAAACCAGTTATCAGATGGATCAGGTATGGTGCTAAAGACTGCAGGAAGGTAGACCTCCAGGTCCAGGGTTGGTGACCACTGCTTTAATCTATCAAGCAAGCATCCTGAACAGACTCACATGTTCCAAATTCTTTGGGTGCAGGTCAGTCGTTAATCACATCACATTAAAATGTTAAAATGTTAATAATAATGTAATCATAGTTATTAGCGATATAATCACATTAACAGTTTGGTATTCTGTCTATATTGCACAGTCCTAAATATAATTATGCCATAAAGCATCAGAAACCACATAAGTTAGACTCAATCCCATTTCTTATTTTTACCCCTACCCCTTGATTTTAAGTGTCATCTTGCCCCTTGGAACTGAGTTACAAGGGGTAGTGGTTCCCTATGAAATGGGACCCTCAAATAAAAAACATTACTTCATTAACAGCTACTAGCGCTGCTCTATAGGCGACGCTGCCAATCTGCAGTTATAGCAGAGGAGGGTAAAGTTCAGCAACCTCACTGCTGGGCTTTAGTAAAATTTAGGCCTTCAAAGAGGGGATACAACAATTATTTATCACCCACTCCTAATTCTTCGGTGGTATGTAGGTGAAGTGAGCTATTTGCAGCTTCTTGTTCAAATTTTCCCATTCCACCTTAAATGGGGCAGCAGTTCTGACACCTGAGCTAGCTAAATTTCCTGTTCCAAGACATCAGCGTACTATTAGAGATTTTTTATGCTTGTTATGAAGAAAAGGACCATAATACATTGAAACAACATTAAACTAAGAAAATACAATGTTTATCGTATTTTTTTAACTGAGAAAATTCTCACATTTGTTGCTTTCTTTGGTTGCTCGCGCAGCCATCTTGCTGTTGTTTTTCTTATAACACTCTGTTTGGAGTGTGTCTCTGAAAAACCTCCATTTGGAGGGCTGTGTAGCCCTAACACTTCGCCCTACCCCTCTATCTCAACAAAAATCGGGACACCCTACCCCTAGACGTGAACACGGAAAACGGAGGGGGTAAGGGCTAAGTGGTAGGGGCGAGGGGTGAAATGGGATTGGACGTAAGACTATTTGAGACTAGAGGAGAAAGTGTTGAGGGCAAGTGGGCTATGATTTGGATGTGCAGTTTGAGCTATGCTAACTGTTGGGGTATAAGCTTTCGTTACATGTTAGCAACATTAGCCTCATAGCTCCAGCACAAAACTAAAGAAGCAAATTCCTGACACCAACGTCTCGTCCTACTGACTACACTTGGGTGATGGGAAAATTGTGTAAATCAGATTTTTCGCTGAAATATTCTTTGCAACAGTTCAAACAGATGTTCAAAAAATATGTTTTATAATAAACCCACCTGTAAGCACAGCTGTAGATGTTAGCCCTGGTTTGAACTTGGTCCAGGGTCTGTCCACCAATGAACACATTTACGTTCTGGGTGTGGTTCATCTCGCTTGCGTACTCTAGAACCAGAACATGGGAGCCAGATTCTGGAACATGCAGCATCAGCCGCAGTTGGGCCTGGACATGAGAGAGTTTATTTGCGAGTGCGTCCATTTCTAGGTTTCTGTATGACCAGCAAATGAGACACCTGCTTCAGTAGCGCAGATAAACAACAGGTTAGTCATCGGGGTGTGTATGTGAGGAAACTGATGACAGAGCCATGGTACTGCGACCAGGAGAGTGAGACGTAGACAGAGTTTGTTCCGCTCAAACATTGCAGAAAGCCGTGAGTTCGGAGGTGTTAAAGTGACTCACTGAGTCATTTCAACTCTCAGGGAAAAAAACAGATAGAGTGCGTGTTTGTTTGTTTGCTGTATTTTCTGAGCATGTGCTTAAAAAACAGAACAGGGTCAGAGGTTGACTTGAAGCATTTGTGAAAAATATTGCACTATTATTTCCTATGTTTCACATTAATCCTTAAAATACATCATAACTGCTAACAATAACAAAAGCATATTTTAATTTTAAATCAGCTATTTCTCACTCGCAGCTCATCAATACAGGAATTCTGCTGAAATAAAGAGTCTAAACTTTAACGGTGAAAATACTTGTTACCACACGTTTTTTAGGTTGAGTTTTTATTCCCCATGTTTGTGTGTGTGTAACTGCATTTTTAATTATCTGATCAGCATGCATGGTTGCACACCTGTCGGCCGCTGACAGAGGCCAGTTGAGGATGGTCAGCGGTGGGCTGCCGAAGCCCCTGAGAGGCCAGCGCAGACGGGAAGCTGTCCATTGGCACGTGCTTGTACAGGAGACAGCTGCAGCCAGGCATACAACAAAAAGAATCAACCCATGCCAACAAAACCCCACAGACACTAAATAGAACATGATAACATACTCTGACAGCCTAGACACAACAAACTTTATAAACGCTCTGATCGTCAAGTGTTCGGACCATTATTAGAACACAAAACCACAATTATTGTCCATCATTAGACTTCTCCCCAGGTCAGATCAGATCCCCGCTTAAATTTAACTAATAGCTTCAGTCTCATGAAAGGTTTAAAGGCAGCATATTTTGGGATGTCTCCACAAGAACTTAATCATAAAAAGTCTGCACACGGGTCTAAAGTGGTCTCCTCACTCTTCACTGAGACTTCTGCTTTGTGACAAAGCCAAAACATCTGCTTTTTGTTCTGTCTGCTATCTGGCCACGACTTTAAAGTATAAGTTTGGCAAAAATCAAACTAGTACAATTCCCCCTTCCAAAAAACCCAAAATGTCAGCTATGATAAGTTTGAAGACTGGAGTTGCACCTTTAGTTTTGCACTGGAGCTTTAAGACTAATATATCTAACAAGTAATGAAAGCTTATACTCCACCAGTTAGCATCAGACAAATCATTGCCTAAATCATCACACGCCTCGCACTGTGTCGAGTTGTTAGGTAATGTCAAATAGATGGGTCATTCTACAGAAATGTCCATTTTTGTGTCCCTAGCGTTTAAAGATATATTACACTTTAAAAACATGTTAGGGCTACAATTTATTTATATTTTAAAATAAAACCTTAAGTTATTTTAACTATTACACCTTCTTAAGCCGTCAGTTTCGCAATATTGGTTGCTCGTCCTCACAGTCGTGTGTAAAGGCTGAGTGCCATATGTAAAAAAAAAAACAAAAAAAAAACAAAACATGTTTTTCTGCAATTTTAACTGCAATAATCTATACATGACTATGAAGTATTTGATTTAAATCACAAAGAAAACAAATGCTAAATAAATATTATAAAATATATAATGAAAGTTGTTGTCCCTCGGAGTCGTGTCACTGGTGTTACTGCATAACAAAAAAATCTCTTATTTTGAAATAAAAGTCACACTGATGACATCATGACTTCCTTTTACCTATTTTCTGAGGATCTATGAAGAAAAGCACATGGTAAATCCTCTGTGTCTTTTCAGTTATCAGACATTTTCTCATTTAGCTCATGATTTCATATGAAGCTTTTAGTTGAAGTCACTGGTGTGACCTACTTTATTCTTAGGTAATTGTTAAAAAATAGAATACAAATGGATAAAATTTTATACAAACATATAACATATTTTAGTGGATATTCCATGATTGACAACATGTGGTTTGATGCTCTATAGCAGCCATTTTGTAAAATGCATTTTTCATTAAAACGTCTCTGGTGTTACCTTTCCTATGTGTAGCGTCAATGACGATCAGTAACACCAGTGACTCTTAAGGATAGATAAAGTGGACGTTTCTGTCTATAAACATGGACAGAAGTATTGAGCATCATATTTTATCCTTACTTTTGTCCATAAGCATGTTTAGGCATGCTAATGCTAACTGGTTGTCTATAAACTTCCATACTTATTAGCTACATTGGCTCCAGTGCAAAACTAAAGAATCAAAGTTCAGACACCTGACATGTATTTGTTGATCGACTACATTTGGGTTAAGGGAGAAATCTGATTTTTTGTTTAAGCTCATGCTTTAACGACAGAACATTAGCGGGATTTTCATTGAATGGAACATTTCCTGAAGCACTGAACCTAAAAATGTCAGCACATAAGTCTAAAGTGGTCTCATTACGCCTTTATACCCCAGATACGGCTTTCTGACAAAGCCAAAACATCTGCTTTTTGTTCCATCAGCTATTCTGCTTAATGTCTTTAATATCTACGGTATTAGAGGATCTTAAATAAGAGAACGTCTTCTAGCTAAGCCTTCAGTAATGATAACCGAGATGGACACAGGCCTTCCAAACCTATTTAGCTTTCATAATCTAAAATAAAGTAGAAGTGATTTCGTAGAGGTGTAGTGCTGCACACTTACTTGCCCCTCTCAGCAGAAGCCAGGTAGGTACAGGGTTCTGTAATCGCGTGCTGTAGAATTGGGGCTTCATAGAAGGCGCTGGGCAGCAGCACTAAGTAGTCCTGGAAGAGGTTATACAGACTTTAGTTACCTTTAGTTATGCATTCATATGGGCCTGAGTGATGATATGATTGCGCTCACTACTACTGTGCTCCCAATTCCATCCAGTACAAATATGGGAGAAAAAAAATCTCCCATAGAAAACAATGAGAAACATATAAAGTCTGTATTTATGTACTAACCAGCAAGACACCCTCAGCTTTTATACAGACAATCCATTTCCCAGGAGTCAGAGTGAAGGGCTGGGCGAAACCATCCCCTGGAACAGTGAGGAAAGCAGGAGAGCGGCTGGGAGGAAACAGCACCTCTTTACCCTCTCCAGACCCTAAAACGCGGAAAAAGGGTTAAGCTACATTACAGTCCAGCCATTAATGATTTAGACATCACCCTGTGAGAGCTCTGGTCCCCCTATGAACTCCACTACATGTAAAAAATGTATAAATAAAAAAAGGAAAAATGAAAATAAAATTTGTGAACAAATAAAACTGGACCCCTATGGTCCTAGTACAAAATGCTACTTTAACACTGTTTAATTTGTGATAGTCAACACTAAGTGTTTAAAACCATGATTAATGGTTTAAGACCACGATTAAAAGTGAAGAAATCCATTAAAACCACTTCAGTTCATTTGAGAGCTTACTTATAATCTACGGGTTACTTTGAGATTATGCTTTTGTTCAAAGGATTATGTCAGTGTATTTAATTCATTAACACAAAATGAGACACAATGTGATGTACTTAAATGTGCATTTCTATCTCCAGCAAAGGACAAAAGAATCAGAGAATAAATCTGTTTTGCAGTAATTTACGCTCCACAAATCTTCGCATGTAAATTGGCAGTGATGCTCTGAGATGTTTCACTAATGCTTCTGGAACCAGCGTAATTACACTCCTTTTCTCCTGAGGCAAATTCACACCCATCTCTGTGCAGATTTTGCTGTCGGCAAATTTTCTTCAATTACTGGAAACCCATTTTGCAGAGACTTCCTTTTAGAAGGCTCTACATAATGCTCACATGCTTAAGCTCATGCAAACACACACATTAAACCAAGTATTGTGTTTTAAGCCCCCTTGTCAGGACAGGGGGAGGCGCCGATCTTTTTAAGTGCTGTGTGTTTAGTGCCATGTTAATAATGAATGAATAATAGGTTTGCATAGGCAACGTGTCTAGACCAGTAAGTACAAAGTTATGGAGAAAAAGAAGAGGAGAGAGACTGAAAAAGACAAAGAGAAAGAAAGACACTCACAGCCATTAAGTACAAGTTGTTAACTTAACAGTGTCAGGGAAAAAAAGTTTTCAGTATTCAGGATGTCCACACTTGGTCTTAATTACAGCATCAAATGTTCTGGGAAACTTGCTTTTAGCTTTTCAGAATCAGATTATTTTTCCCCACCTCCAAAGTTCAGTCTAAGAAGTTAATTTTCTGTCTCTCATGATCCAAATAAATCACAAACACTTCCAGTGACGTTGAGGTCTGGACTCTGGGGTGGTCAGTCCATTATTTTAAGAACACCAGCAGCTTCTTTGTTTGGTTTTGCAAATGTTTACTTTTTCAGTGAGGGCTTCTAGACAGCTACACATCCTTTCATCCTTAGTTGATGGAAGGATGGACAGCTTTTAATCATTAAGTGAATTTACATGCATTTGATTATCCGATAACTGCAGAAAATCAGATTTTGTCAGTAATCTGAACAATACATTTACATGCACTTGAGTAATCAGATAATGGGAAACTCCAGGTCTACAGGAGCCAGGCAGTAATCGGATTTCTGCTTTGCAACCAGCCAATAAACTCACAGAAGAAGACGTGATGTAAACAGAAAACTCAAAGTTCATGCTGCAGCTTTTTTTATTTTTTTTTATTTCAGGCACCACGGTCTGTTTTCTCGCAGACTGAGAAGCCCAAAAGAAATCAGAGTAAGAGTTTACATGCACTGAGAAATCTGATTACTGAGCTAAAATCCATCTCTCTTCATCAGATTTCTTAATCAGATTTCTAGATCTTACTCCGATCCAAGAAATCAGAGTGTGCTGTTCACATGACCATTTGAATAATCAGATAACAGCAGAAATCCAGTTATGATCGGATTATTGAGTACACGTAAACACACTCATTTTCTGAACTACAATTTTGGAAACTCCTGTTTTTTTCCACTAATTTTTCCTTTGACCTTTCTTTTCTCCAAGTGGATTATATCTAATCTGTTCAGAAATATCACCAGAGAAATGAAGAAACTTGTACTTAATACCTGTTTAACTGGAAATTAAATGAAGAGTGGTCTCTGACTCTGACTGTGAGTAGGTGGGTGGGCTTAGGTAAGCAGATATAAAGACAGAGAGACACTAAAAGATATTAAGAGAGAAAACCTGAGACAGGAAGAGTAAGAGAAGTATAGATTGATAGATAGATACTGACAGGTAGACAGATATCAACAGGAGGACAGACAGAAAGATTGGTTGAAAAATAGACAGACACGGACACGAAGAGAGTGTACCTGGTGTGCCCCGTGTGCGGGTCACTGTGACTCGGCCGTTAACGCTGGCTCCAGTGGGGTTAGAGTAGTACAGCACGATGAGGAAGAGAGAGCGCTGGGTCTCATTGGCATGCACGTTTACACACACTTCACTCTGCAGACAGAGAGGGAAGGTGGACACTGCACTCACGAGTGGATGGAAGACAGGTCAGTATAGAGTTTATCAGTGTTATAAGGACAACCCCAGGGCCAGTACTCTGTCTAAAATATCAAGAGGCATGAAAAGAGCTGGATTCATTCACACCAGAGGAGGTTGTGTAATGTAATTTGTGTGATTTCACTGTCTGAGTCATACAGAATAAAGAATCTGTGTAATTTCTATAAATCACAACTGATATTGGATTAAAACGTCATAGCCCAGATGTTCACATGAGTGCTATGTGTCAGAAGCAACGACAATTATTATTGGAAAAACACATTTTTTAAATAATAATAACAACAACAACACAGCACACAGCTGTGTCTAGGAGCAGATTTTATATTACATTAGCATGAAGTGGATTTCAACAGGACTTCTATTACAGAAGGTACTTTATTAAAACAGATCTTGTCAGCAGTCATTTAAATCAATGTATGAACAGAGCTAAAGTCTATTACTTTTCCTGATCGGTAAATTAGAGTTGGCCCCGGGATCCAAGCAGCCAGCACAGGGTGAACATGCTCAAGATGCAAGCAAAGCCAAAGCAACACAAAAAAGCATAGAGGAGAAATCATGCACAGATCATTCTGGTCATAAAGCAGTACTTTAGTGCTATTTTTCATAATAATGAATGACACTGTTAAAAGCTAAATAGGTCCATGTAAACTAGTATCAGCTCACTGTCAGCCAAGCTGGCACCTTTGGTTAGACTATTATCTTACCAACTGATTCAGGATCAGCTCACCTTATCTGTCCCCCAATTTTGTCATTGGAGCAACTGATGACTGCTAAAGGAACAGTGGTGTTTGCAATTACATGAAGACAGTCTGCCCTTGATAGTAGAACTAGAACTAGGCTAGAACTTCGCTCAGGGTCAGCGTGTCCTGAGATTTAACACAATAAATTAATATGATTCTGAATGGTTGAGGCTAATTTTTAAGGGGAATTCTACCTGTTTCTCAAAATTTCTGCATCATTGAATCATTGAGTTGTACACAGTCATTCAGAGTGTTCTGATGTGAAATGGAGTGCTGTATAGAACCCTACTGCCTTCTTTACAGTGGCAGTGATAGGAACCAGGGGGCGTTATGTCTACAGCATAAATATAGCCATTTTATTTACTATCCAAAATGACAAGTGAACCTACACGTCTTTTGAGTGTTTATATGTAAAGATGAAAATGAAAAAAAAAATTGTAGGTGATATTTTACGTTAAGACAGCCTGCAGGTGTCTCTCCAGTATGAATGCATTTCTCCAGAAAGGCACATCAAACCACTCTGACTACTATATATCTTTACATCTTAACTGCAGAAATTTTGGAAATAAATAAATATATTAATGAATAAATAAACAGGGTTTTCAGATGAAACTGATGGGAGATTTAATGGAGCAGTAATAACCTTTTTCCACATAGAGCTATCTGACCAATAATCTAGGCAGTTCTGCTAAGCTTTCCACGGTGACCTAATGTACAGTAGCACAGCAGTCTTATATCCTAATACAGTAGTCTTAATTTCTTGAATAGAAATTAGTGCCTAAGTGGAAAAGACCCTTTAGAAATATAGCTTAGGACACAGTAAAATCCCCAGTGTTGACTGAACTCTTAGGCATCACCTCAGTGGCCATTGTGTAATGGGATTTGTCAGGGATAGATGTTTACATCAGTGGTATAAGATAGAATAAACATTTTCCGTCACTCCACAATTATTATTGTCGAACTGTATAAACTACAGACACAACATGTTGATACTGCATTAAATCACTTAACTCATTGTTTGATACTGCATTAAATCACTTAACTCATTGTTTGATACTGCATTAAATCACTTAACTCATTGCTAATCAATTAAATTACAATTTCGCACACCCTCTTTAATACTAATCCAGCTCAAACAAGGCTTAAGTGTTTGTTTCTGGCTCGACTCAACAGCTTTAAGCGTTACTTCCAAACTGAGGATTTTGCTGCGTTATAAAACACTTACAATCGCAGCGAGAGTAAAAGCCCGCTCCCGCCACCAGCAAGAGTCTCCCACGCACTGCCCTCTGTAGGCCAGCGGTCACATAGCGTAATACAATGTTGAAGGGACCAGGGGAGCCAACAACAAGATACAAGACCACCTCTGGCTGGGAAGAGAGAGAGTGTTAGAGCTCAAAGGACATGATTAGACATATATAAAGAGAACAGTCCACAGCGACATGTCCTTATCACAGGACTAGCTTACATGTGGAGAGAGTGCTTAAAAACTCAACAGCTTCCACAGGAAAAAACAGCGAGGAGATAATAACAGCCCTGAATCAAGTTTTATGGTCGTGTTCTCACTCCACGAATATAAACACATATTAACTCTGGATAAGAACATGTTGCATGGGGAAAAACAGATTTTCTCCAGTGAAGATAACTGCTACATTCATGATTAGTGGAAAATTAGAACACATGAAGATGATTGTCGACATGACAGCCATTGAAATGATCTAACTGATCAAAATAATCAAAACTGAATCCACTAATTATTCAGCAATTGCAATAAAGCAGGCATAGCACAGCAGCAGTTACAGATCCATCCGCTACTTCACATCATTAATCTGTTCCTACAACCATAAACAAATAACAATGCAGTAAAAACAACCATGCTTTAAAACATACCAACAAATTGTTAAATATTTAAACAAAAAGTAATGGATTATGATAATATCTAAAGTAATGCTACTTTTACTATTGTATAAATAATGTAACTCACATTAGGGCTGGACAATATGCCAATATTTTATCGTTATTGTGATACATTGTCACGATATGCTTTTCTCAGCATGCTGTGGATACCATCTGCATGTTTCATTACAAAGAGGACATTACTCAGCCTGTTTAATGTGATTTAGTGCAGTGCAGTATGTGAAATGCTGAATACTCATAACTGTACTTATAATTTTGGATGTTTAAATTTGGCCCTGCTGGGGCTTTTTTGTCAGTTCAAACTCATCAAAGTTCAGAAAAAACTAAACACTGTGATATATTTTTGCTACCCCTACCATACATTAGTCATGACAATTGAACAGTCTAGTGACGAAATAGGTAAACAAAGAAGCTATTGGGAAGTTCAAAATAATAGTTTGTGCTGAATGACTACAGTTTGCATGATTTTGTTGCTCTACTTCCTCTAATTCAAACAGATTGAGGCCAAGGGCTAAAAATAAGCATTCAAGCATATTCCTTAAAGGAGACATGTTTGACTTTTTTTCTCAGTTTATTATAACTTCCCTGTTGTCTCTGAAAGACATTTGTGATGAGTGAAAAAAAAAAACACTTTTAGCTTTTATATAGTGTGTTTTAACCTAGAATTGACTGATGTAATGAAATGAAACTTTCCACATCATGCTTGAAGCCAGTTTACCACTACTTATCAAACTTTTTGAGCTGATACAAAGTGGAAAAAGGTGAGGACCATTCTGTCCGTTTATCTGAAAGTCAGACTGCCTCACACGGTGCAAATTTCAAGCCACATATGATTTACCGTGGATTTCTATGGTTTAATTTAACGTAGTACTGGTAAAATGCTGAGTGGGGCGCTGAGACATTGAACAGAACTCTGAGTTGCAGAGTGCTGGCTCTGGTGCTCAGCATTAGGTTTCAAATTTTTAGATGCTGCTCCGGTTTGTGGTGGCCTTATATGTTCAAAGCGGAGTCAGAGAAAATGAAGAGACTGCTGCGGAGGGTCAAACACCAACCAGGACGTAAGGGTTTTTGTTTACGTTCATTGCCTAATTTTGATTTGTGAGTTTATTTGTATCACTAGTCTGATTAAGTTAAAAGCTCTATGCTCTGAGCTGAAATGCCACCCATGTAGCCTAGTAACTGCAATATTTTTAAGAGCTTAGCTAAGAACTGACGGCTTAAAGGGATTCAAACTTTCATCTAGAGGGCACATCATGTTACCAGTTAAACTGAAATACAGTAACTAACCAGGTGTTTACTTGCCTATACAATCTAGGTCTTGAAAAATGACTCACCGGAAACCTGGCATCCAATGACGGCACATTCATTCTTGTTTATGTCTGAAATGGTGTTCGCTGTGAAATCACAGTGGTGGGGGGTGGGGTATTCTAGTGGAGGGGGAGGCACTACTTTGCTGTGACAGCCTATTGAATCGTACACCTTTTTTATTTTTTAAAGGAAAATACCCAAAAACAGCAGAGACTTCACGTGTCACAAATTCTCGAATGGAACATACAATGACAGGAAATGAATACGTCAACTGGCAAGGAAAATGCAGGTTGGTTTCCTTGGTCCCCTTTAAGGAATAGCGAGTTTTGAGTACTGTTTAACGTATAACAAGCATGTACTGTATTTCTGCTCAAGCATGTAAGCCATTTCCTCACAGACTGTTTGTGCTATTAAAGATATGAGCTCCAGGCCATGCTGGCTCTGCCTATCTAAGCTGCTCTGAAATCACTAGATCTTTGCTGGAGGCTACGCAGCCATAGAACAAGTAAAAGCACATCGCTTTATTTCCAGAACCCATAAATATTTCAGGTGATAAATATCAAAGGTATTTTAAGGTTGGATGACTACAGTAATGTGTTACTGCAATCCCTGTAAATTCTTCAAAAATAAAAATAATAAAATCTTGAACGCAAGTTAGAAATCTAACGCTTCTGTCTGTGAGATAAATGTCCACCTGAAGTACCTTTTCTCTCTACTTCTAGACATTTGAACATCTTAAAAGTAATCTAATGAACTGAAATGACCTCTTTTCAAATATGTACTTTTTTTTTTCAGAGATATTTTCTGGTGTGGTACCAGTCGACTGTAAAAAGTGTATTACCTGTGCTGGTGTGAGCACAGCGTAGCCCCTCCAGCTGAACTGTGGGAACTCCCGCGGGTCATAGCCGAATCGCACTTGCCTGGCATTTGGAGTGATGCCATTCTCAACCTCAAATTTCAGATGATGTAGGGTAGGAAGGTAGAAGTTTGGCTCAGGCCTGTTTCAGACACAGAGTGAAGAAGAAAAAGTTGAAATTCACAGTACATGTCAAAAAATAGTTCTGTGGCAAAGGCTTCATGCATGCACACATAAATCTGTATCATTTATTACTATTTTTGTCACTCATTCCAAAATTACAAAGCTTAAAATAACAATAACTGACAGGCTCCAATAACTTTAGCTAAACAGTGCTTTACTGACTGACATCATTTCAGTTCTTAATGACACATTTCTTAAACTTAAACAGCTTATTGAGTCACAAATAATATATAGAATATATAGAATAAAAATTGGAGAGCTCAGATGGAGCTTCTCAGAATTCTTAATGTTTCTGTTGGTTGAATTAGTTCTTGTTGTCATAATTGATTTTTGCATAAAGACGTTGTGCTACATCATGTGATACTCATGCTTAAGGAAAGTAATTTAACACAAACATCCATTCATCCATCCATCCATCCATCCATCATTTAAACTCAAAGTACATTGAGACAGACCCTCATTTACAATGTAGCTGAGCTAATACAGAAAACAGGGATTGAGAAGTTAAATTGTAAAATCATAACAAATGCTAAAAAGTAATAATAATCATAGTACTATATTTAAAAATATGTAATCAATAAACCATTAAAAAACAACAATACAGTAACATCATAAATAAGATAAAATATGGATAATTAAAAACACGATTCAAGAAAAAAATAAAGAAAACAACAACATGTTTTTGTTATTTTTGCAATGATTGAGTTTTGAGCTTATCAGTTAGTTTGTAAGTGTATCAAGTTTCAGTTTATCAGTCTTTGGCTAGCATGCAAGAAAGAACCTCTAGTCGTTAGAAGTGGGCAATTTACTGGCAGGAGTGTAATGGACACTGATAAATCAGCAAAACCTTAACATTGTCAGATTTTTGTTAGCCATCCAATACACTGCCACATCCATAATCTGTAGTATATGCAAAAATTATATCTAATTTGACAGATGAGTGGAGTTTTCTACTGGACAGACAATGGACAAAACACTCATAAGAGTATAAGTACTATGTGGAGGATATACAGTGAAGCTGTACAAAACACGGTGATACATTTTACGCTAATGTTTGAAAAGAAAGGCAAAGTGTGGTGCAGTTCCTGCTCACTCTGAGCATGTGCGTCCATGCATGTGTTTTCTACACCTGCACTGCCCAGTCGATTCTTCACAGCTACTTGCTGCAGCCCCACCTACATCACACTGACAGCCTATCAAAGAGTGGAAGATGATGTCATTATTAGCTTTTCCTTCAGACAATAAATTTAGTCAGGATGTTGCTCATACAAGAACAGTCAGTCCTCAAGTCCTGAAAAGAAACGGATACATCCAGTGATTATTTCCAGAAACAGCTGGTGAATGTTAGCTCATAGCGTGCAATTCAAATAGATGGAAATAAAGCAATTTTCTTTCACAAAGAATATTTAAAAATAAACTCTCAAATGCCACAGTTGCTCAGGCAGTCATGCTACTAAAAGCAGAAAAAGCTGAGGTTTAATCAGTGATCTCTCCCTCAACAGAATCAGTTTCAGCATTCCAGAAATGTCCCGTGTGCTGGGTATCAGGAAGAAATTGTCAATAATACAATTTTCCCAAAAATATCTTAAATAACTGTGGGCTGCAAACACAGGTTGAAAATGAATGGTATCCCAGAGGAAAGGGTTAAAACAAAGATAACCCTGCTTTATGTCTTGTTCCATTGAACGTAGTTTCTAAAGCATGAAGGGTGTGTTGTTTATATTTTTGTTAATCATTACTGATTAGTGATTTCCAAGGTTACTCACCCTGGCAACCAAAATAGTTCTTCTTCTGGAGCAGGAAGTATCCGTCCTTGCACGTACTGCAGGCGCGGCTGCAAATGTTGGGCTTGCAGATACACTCACCATTTTCCTGAAATAAAGAAGACACTATATGACACCCATAGACTAATAAATCAATCAGTTACAGATTATATATGGAATTATAATCCACCTGAAGATCTGTTTAAAAGCCAACTTGCATAGTAAAAATCATTACTTTCGTGCATTTGACTGAATAAGTTTACTCAGTTCCAGGCACTAAAGCAGGCGTCTCAAACTTAAATCAGCTGGGGGACCACAAGCCAGTGGTGGGGCCAGGTTAAAAAAAAAGGGGGAAAAAAGTGTCTTATTTTTTTCAAATATTAACTTTATTTTTTTTTTATATATTAACGATATTAACGATTTTTACTTTTCTACATCATTTAAGCATGACAGCTGTCCTTTAAATTGTATGAAATTTTCACGGTGAATGGAAAAACAGAAAGGCTCCAAAATTGCTTGAAATGAAATCTCTTTATGTTAATTTACATTGAAAGTAAAGAGTGTTTTTGTTTTTAGATTGTTAAATTTAGTTGCTAATTGGTCTAATTTCATTATATTTTGCTTTATGGTTGCTCACACTTTCATGCTTTTTACTTTTTAGATCAGAGGTGTCAAACTAAACCTGTAAAGGGGCCAAATTAAAAAATCTCATCAAATCGGTGGGATAGAAAAAAATGCTTTTATTAGATTTTTAATTAAAGTTGTGCACTGGCCATTGTTTATTCAAAATATGCTTCAACAGTAAAATACAGACACTTGTTGTAGACCTTGAAATGTTACATGGACACTTTAAATATTCATAATTTAAATGTTCCCAGGAGCTTGGTCTTTTAAACCTACCTATTTGCTTATACTAGACACCAGACTTGGGCTCAATTTTTTTCTGAGCTGCTGAGCTGATGTTAAGCATTTATATAGGTTGAACTGCAGCTGAAATGCATTTTGGTGATATGACTGGTGTGAAACTGTGCAGAATTGTGTAGAATTAAGGTGTAAACACTCTCCCATAGACTGTTTTTGGGGTAGGAAAGTTGGAGCACATTATGCTGCAGTGCATGCTGGGGACTGTAGTGCAGCACATTGTGAAACAGGCTAATATTAATGGAAAATTAAAATAACTTTGCGGGCCGGATAGGATTGTGCGCCAGGCCTGATCTGGCTGGAGGGCCTTGTGTTTGACATGGGTTTTAGATCAAAAGGCTCCCATAAAGAGAATAGTGACTAACAAACATCAGTTTCTATGCTGGTACCTGGTGACTTCTTTAACCTGATTTCCTCCTACTCAAGGTTTTTCTTCGACTTGAGTCATTATTTCTACTTATAAATACTTTTCCTCCTACTTCTGTTATCATTTCACATAACAAGACTTTTGAGGATCTGTGGAAAAGACACTCACCTCCTCACATTCACCCACACCACTCTGAGTCCCCCTTACTTCACACATGCACTCTGAGAAGAAAGAAGAAGCAAGATCATTCTCACCATATCGCAATCATTTTTAGAGCATGACATAGCAGAGCACGCATAAGAGAGACTGAAACTGAAACATTAGAATTCAAGGCAATCCCTGAATCATTAGGCAGCTCAACTGAAAACAGGGAAAACAATGACATAGTCTCTGGTCTGCTGCAAAACCACACGAAGAGTAAAGCACAAAAGACATAAAAGTGTGAGGAAGAGTAAAAAAAAAAGGGGGGGAATGTGGAGAACATCTGCCATTATGCACAAAAGCAGCAGAAGGACGAGGTAAAAAAACGAGGGAGGCAGTAAAGGTGGGGTTCGATGAATAGGCTCTGATTACCTGGGCTGCCTGTCTTTTCAAAGCTTAAAAAAAAAAAGACACACAGCACAAAGGAACTAACCCGCGGGCTCCACATCAAAGGAGAGAGCGAGTCATGGTTTGCAGTCAGGTAAGGCTAAACCTCTATAGACACTTCTACACACCTTCACCAGGCACTGCGAGCTACAGTAGATAACATTCTTGCTGTAACTCTATATAACTGGACAAAGGATGCTCCCTTGGCCCCAGCTTAAGAAGGACCAATGTGTCTGGTGTTGTATGGAGAGCAATACAGATGGAGATTCTACTGTATTAATCCACAGAGCTTTAAGTCGGCGTTATAAGAACGTTCAGTCCAGTGATTGTAATAATGAAATATGCTGTTTTTGGGGCCATTGTTGTCATTTACAAATAAATTGTGGCTCTGATCAAGCTGGACAGCAGACGCTCCTATTAGTGCTCTATGTCGTGGAAGGGTTATATGGTATAAATCTGATTTATTCTTGACAAAATGTTTAAATAAGAGTATATTGTACTTTGCAAACACTGTTAAAATTTCACGTCCATACAGCTCGTATTTCGAATCTAAGCTGCAGAACCAACTTCACGACCATGAACACATTTACATATGACCATTCAGCCTACAGCACTTTAGCTCGCCCACATCACAATGAACTGGTAGGGAGTGTTGTTACTCGACTCAGTCTGTAGCAGTTATTGGAGTGGAAAATGTGGGAAAACAATTAAATGCTGTGCTGTTCCTGATTGTCAGGAAGCAAATGTATTAATACAGCCTTCCAAAGCATCCAAAAATCTGAGTGGTGTGGCTGAAGTTTAATTTTCCCAACGTTCCTGAGGATTTTAATGGAACTTTAACCTTTTTTTTCTTTCATTTATTTCGGCCTGGACTACTCTTCAAATGTGCCACTACACAGTCAGCCAATCAGAGCAGTTCATTTACACAGTTCAGTCTAAAAGACACAGTAACAAAAACAGCCTATTTAATTCTAACCCTGCGTTCACACAACTTTTCATCTCTTGTCATCCAAATCGCTGGTCACTTGTTGGCTGTGGACTTTTCTGAACTCAAGCTGACCACTGGTTGCCACTGACGCCAAGCACAAATCAGATGCATTCCCGCTAAAAATAAAAATCTTGGAGAGAACAGCTTGTTAGTAAATTTGATAAGAAGGTAAATCTCTGCGTAGCGCATCACTGAGTGTGTTTACATACACTTAATAATTCGATAGCTGCAGAAAATCAGGTTTTGTCAGTAATCCGATCAACGCGTTTACATGCGTTTGAGTAATCAGATAATGGAAACTCCAGGTTTACATGAGTCAGGCAGTAATCGGATTTCTGCAGCGCAACCAGCCAATAAACTCACAGAAGAAGACGTGACGCAAACATAACGTAAAACTCAAACTTCATACCGCAGCTTTTTTATTTTCAACATCGCGCCACTTTACCTGAAAATCTGAACATACATCATCTAGAAGATGAAGAATATTTAAATCCTTCATTTTGTTGAGATTGTAGTTGGTTTCACTGTCACTCAAAAAGTGTTGTGCTGCGTCTCGCAGCAATGCTGCTTGTTTTTTTTTCTAGTACCGCCATCTGTTTCACACACACACAGACTGAAAAATCCGAAAGAAATCAGAGTAAGAGTTTACATGCACTGAGAAATCTGATTACAGAACTTCAATCCAGCTCTCTTTATCAGATTTCTAAATCAGATTTCTAGACCTTACTCCAATCTAAGAAATCAGAGTATGACATTTATGTGACCATTTGAATATCAGGCAACGGCAGAAATCCGATTATGATCAGACTATTGAGTGCATGTAAACGCACTCACTGTCTGTGCAGTCAGTATGAGAAGAAAACAGGGTTTGGTCTTTGCAATTGCTGTTCATCTGTGGCAAAAATGCAGCCGCCAGACAGAAAGCTAACCGAAAGAGTAACCTGCTCCTCGACTGCAGTCTGGTTCAGCAGTTGCAACTGCAAACCAAGAGGTCATGGGTTTGATCCCAGCTGTTGTCTACTGACACTGTGCCTTTGACCAGGGCACTTAGCCTAAAATTCTTTGAGAGGGATTATTCTTGCAGTTGGTGGATGCAAGTTGCTTTGACTACAACAAAAACAAGCGCCATGTACTGACATGTACTACTGAACTGACAAAACACTGTAATAAACAAAATACTGTATTTACAGTACGCAGTTAGCCGAGCCGCTGGAAACCAGGGCTGTATTATATGTTACAAACCTGGCATTTCAGTCCTGACTTTTTTTCCGAGACAGGTTGTTGTTTACCTTCTTATCAACATTTTCCAAGCAAGGTTGACCACACCTAGAGAGAGCGTGCTAACTAAAAGGGTCGTGGATTTGCAGGGTATTTGCTAAAATGCTTCGAATCGAATTCAGACCTGCATGCCGCACCTCAAACGTTGAGAAAGACTGGAATCCCTCCACATATTTCTCATCTCCATTTTTATCATGTCGTCTGGGTGCCAGAGGATTATGAAAAGCTGCTGAAAGTCTGAGTTATGATGACGGATGGGCGACTCTTGCAGCACTTTCAAAATCAGTTACAGGCTAGCTGGGAGCAGACAGTCAGTCAGGGAAACGTGAGCTGTATAAATCATCTTCATACACTGTTCCTCTCCCTGTGTCTTTCACTCACTCACTCTCTCACCTCTGACTATAGATTCAGAAACATGATGTCACAACAGTTCCCAGTTGATTATGATGTTAAATTCACAATGGAAGCCACGCAAAATAAGACAGAAGTTAAGGGGCGGAGGCAAAAATGACTAAATAAACAAAAGTGCCAGTTGAGAGTGATTTTACTGCTTTTCTTTTTACTAGATTCAACTGCATAACCAACTGAACAAGAACTGCTGAACGAAAAGCACTGCAGTCTTTGTTCACATGTGCAAGGTTGCTCACAGATGACTTTATAGAGATGGAAAATGGTTAATTCTGCCTTTTAATCCACTTTTCTTATTAAGTAATAGCATATCTAAACGCTGTCATCATAATAATCTAACAAAGGGGAAAATTCAGATTTTTGCGATGACGTTACCATTTTGAGCAAGGAAAGGAATACATAGGAATACAATTTAGGCTTCTTCTCTTCTAGTTTCTCAGAAAAAAAAACATTTCCGATATCTAAGCTAAGCTGTGAATTATTTTAATTTTGATCTCAATGGCTGTGTTTACACACAATCCGACATGACATTGCCAATCCGATTGAATACATTCCAATTACAGATTAAGACTGAGGTGTTTATAAGCTCACTCTACTCAACAACCTGATGGAAAATCTCAGTTTACATGCTGACGCACATGCATAGAGTACCACTTACTGTGGATGTTACCATGACAACGAGCATCACGTGAGTCCAGTCAGAGTGAGACGAGCAGCAGTGAGCAGTGTTTGTGTTTTTTATGACTTTAAAATGAAGTCAGACTCAGGAAAACGTACCTCACATGTCCTTATTAAAGAAGGGCGAGAGGAAGACGTCACATTCTGAGACACATAAACTGGACGTCCGTCCCACCGCTGTCTTTTAAAGATCAGAGCATAAACTTCGTCTCCTCTGAAGACCAGTTTCTGCTCCGCCATGTTGAATGTTACGAAATTTCCTACTTAAACTTTCCGATTGGGAAACATAATCAGATACACGTGTTTGCATTTAATGGATTATTTACAGGATTACCCACCTCGTTCAATCAGATAGAAATTGTATTCCGAATTGCCTCACTCAGACTAGTCTAGTCCGACTGAGGTGTATACATGGACGTATTCTATTCCAATTGAGCTATTTGCTGGATTATTAACAGATTATTAGGCTGCATGTAAATGTGGCTAATGCACACTAGAGGTGGGCGATATGGCAAAAATATTATATCACAATACTTCAAGACATTTTCATGATAAACAATATGCATCACAATATTTAATTCTTCTGAGATTTAACAATTTGGAACAGACAAAATAGAACCTGTAGTGCCACATTTAAAAATACTATAATAGTAATAATAAACTACAATATGTATTACAAACTGCACTGCATTAAATCTAATTAAACAGGCCTAATTATGCTCACTTTGTAATGAAATATGTAGATAATGTTCTTTGAGAACTGACAATATCCATGATATGCTGAGAAAAGAGTATTGTGACATTTATCACGATAATGATAAACTAGCATCATATGGCCCATCTCTAATGTACACTCAAAGTTGTACAGAAACCGGTAAGCTGCATCTGACAACGTCGGCGGAGGCTAAGGCTGCACTGTGGATTATCAAACATTTGATATGCTTCTTTAACCAATGTAAGGTCCTAGCATGTGTGGTTTAATGAGTTAAAGACTGTGTTTTAAAGTGTAGTTGCTGGCCTGAGGCCTCTACATTTAAACAAAATGATGCTGTCAGTACTGATTTAATCACTGAAAATAGGAGACAACATACAGGTTTGATTCAATATCATCAAATGAATCCCTTGCTGCTGCTAAGAGTCTCTTTCCTAGCAGCATTCCTTTGATGGTGCTGTTGGCTTCATTGTCTCTAGTCTGGCCAGAAAACACACCAGGTAAGGATGAAATGACTTGAGAAGCACTGAGACGTACCAACACAACCACTCGGATTTTCTTGGGCCAGGTTCCAGTAAAGCGGTTTGCAGTGCTCACACTCTTCTCCCTCCACATATGGCAGGCAGATACAGGAATCCTATAACAGACATAACCCACATCATTTACAGAATGATATCACATTTCAGCTTTTTATGTCGGCTACCATATCTTTATATATAATATTCACATAAATATCTTTGTCATCCTGGCATGAACATTTCTGTTCAACAGGAACATTTTATGACTTTAAGATAATATTCAAACATCAGTATTTTTTTTTTGTTAAATGTGAATTTAAATTGTAACACTTTAGGTAACATCACAGATTTCAATAAGACAAAAAATATCATGCTGTCAGGCAAATGAAACATTCCAGAGATATTCTAGTGGTTTTATAATCAATTACAGTTTCAGTAATCTTTCCCGATGCCACCTCGATGCTCTGCATGATGAAATCCAAATGCTTTGATAAATTGGATAATTTATTCCTTGCACCTCAATACTCAAAAATTCAGAACAAAAAACATTTTTCTGGCTTTCTGACAGACATTCAAACACTCAAAGCCATTATAAGCATAGCGTGACGGCTGGTATTTGCACTATGGCTCTGTTTATAACTGGTATTAACATCTGTCTCGAGTGATCTGGTCAGAAGTGGACAGAGAAACACACAGCTGTGTACACCTTGCATTTCTATAGCCCTTGAAACCATCTCCAGTGATGACTTATGATGGGATTTTGTGAATGGAGGAAGGGTACCACGAACGTTACTACGTCATTCTCTCACTCTTTGTTGTCAGACAAAAATGCATTGTGTGTACATGTACAGGCTGATACAAAGGTTAAGACTACATGGATTGCTAATGGAATTTATAAACAAACTGCAGAGGAATAAAACTGCACAGCTCCTTTCATTTGCCTTCGATGTTGTCAGGGATGCATTAAAAGGATCACGCTACAACTCCTCGCCTCATCTATTTTTTCTTTTTTTATATTTTCTACATTATTTGAGCACAGCAGCTGTCCTTTACACTGTGTGAGAATGATTAACAGACCAACGGAAATGCTTTAAAATGACTTGGGTTAAATCTCTTTGTAAATTAAGATACATTAAAAGCTAAGAATACTTTTGCCCTCTCCTGAGATAAATGTTTTGGGTGTTTTTTTTGATGGTATTGAAATGTTATATGGTCATATGCGCCCCCGATCACCTCCTGGTTTGAGTGATCTCTACGCATCACCAAGACCAGAGCATGAGAGTAGCGTGGAGCAACAGACATTGTCGCTCCTTACTCAAAGAGTTCTGTAATCACTCCGCTCCAGCACCAGGTTTTCTATTTCCCACTCCTCGCTCACTCGTCAGAGAAAACCTGCTTCATGTCCACTCAACATGATCCATTCTTATGATATTTACTTTATGTCCTAAACATATGGTCAAGGCACTGTGCACTAAATTTCATGAATTATATCATTTATGGTCCATATTAAATGAAAACCTATTTAAACCTTCTGTGCTACACAGGCGTTTTTCAGCAGGTATAGATGTATGTGGTTCTGTAAATGTGTGTATGTCGCACCGAGGCCCTAGAGGAATGCTGCTTCATTCCACTGTACTTCTACACAGTTGGGATGACCAGAAAGCTGTTTTGGACCTTGATTTTCTTCTTGACTATAAGAAAACATGTCTCAGCAGGCTGCATACATGTTTTCAAATAAGCTGATGACAAGTAGTTTGGGTGTGACATACCGTTATTGGATCTTTAACGCTGACCTCTGATCCTGCTGAATTGCACTGGTCGCTGGGAGCTGAGAAATATAAACAAACGAACATACAAACCCAGTTTTAATGTACACTCGGACACTGACTGAGGAAAAACTCACAAAAGGTAGGTATTCAGTGTTTGTTCAGTGAAGCTGAGCTCCCTGAAGACAGACAAACAAAGAAAACTTCAACATTCTAACAATCCACACTTCATTCCTCTCAGCCGAAAGTATGCAGACTGTACTCACATGTGAGTGGAACATGGTACATGTGGAAACAGGACAGCATGAAAAGAAACTATGTGGGGATACAATAACAGGAGAGGAGTACTGCAGGTACACTACCATTACCAACGCAATAGGGAAAGCTTCGGTCGCCTTCAATGCAGCGGTCACACCTCTGTCCAGTCACTCCAGACCTACACACACACTGACCGGTCGTCGGGTCACACGCCTCTTCACGTGAGCCTTCATGAGAACACTGGCATGCTGGAGCAAAATGCAGTAACATCGTCATCCTCACTAACAGGCTTTCTATAAATGTGCTTTTAAACAACTATAGTTATTGAGTCAAAAACCTACAGTATATTCATGCAGCATAAGTGTGTTGTGTCTAAATATTAGATAGGCAAGACATACGTCTGCAGGCCGGGTATCCATAGTATCCTGTGGCACACTGCTCACACTGCATTCCAGCAAAGTTGGTACGACAACGACACTGACCCTTAGGGCCACATGACCGGTCAGCCACCCCTGGCCCATCACAGCGACAAGCTGAGGAGAGAAAGAAAGTTAATTACTTATTAATTATGAATTAGTTCCATTTATTTAATGTGTAATGCTACAAAGTAGCTTTGTGAAACTTCAAGCCTGATACCCAGGACTCAAATCCTGAGCAAATCCTAAACGTATGTATAAGTAGCATAAAATCAAGGTTAATTATAGGGCTGGGCAATATGACAATATATATCATTATCGCGATAAATTATGTCACAATACAACAAAATATTCTTTTCTGAACATATCGCGGATATCGCCATACTTGTAGAGCACTGACCAACCGCATGTTTCATTATAAAGAGAGCAAAATTAGTCCAGTTTAACAGGATTTAGTGAAACACAGTATAAAAAATACTGAATAGAAATCAGTATATTTACACTTTTTATTTTTATTTTTTTATATATATATTTTTTAAATGTAGCCCTACTCGCTCTTTTTTCTCTCTTCTATTTGATCAGATGTCCAAAAAAATAAATAACATGACATATCTTGTGGGTGGAAACTACATGAATTGATAATAGTTGGTGCTGTACAGGTGTGATGTCACACAGCCATTACCAAAGCAATAAGGGAACCTCTGGTCTCCTGAAATGCAGCGGTCACACCTCTGTCCAGCCACTCCAGACCTGCAGACACACTGCCCTGTCTGTTGGTCACACATCTCTCCACGTGAGCCTTCACGAGAGCACTGACATGCTGGAAAAAAGCACTGACGTCATCATTCAGACACTGATGCTCTAATCGGTTTCAAACTCTACTTTTGACCAACTGGTCCATGTAACGCTACAGATAAAACAACTATATTCATGCAGTGTAAGTTTCTGTATTGTGTCTAAACATGAAAAATATCAACACGTACGTCTGCAGGTTGGATATGAGTAGTATCCTGTGGCACACTGCTCACACTGCGGTCCAACAAAGTTGGAACGACAGCGACACTGACCATTTGGGCCACAAGAACGGTCAGCCACCCCCGGGCCATCACAGCGGCACTCTGAGCGGAGAAAGAAATGTTATTGATTAAACCTGGTATATAATTCAGTTTATATTCACACACATACTCTGCCATTTGTATGTGAAATTTCAATAGTAGGAGCAGTGCTGCAGTAAAATTACACTACCTTTACCAAAACAATTGGGGAAGCGCTGATCTCTTGCAATGCAGTTGTCACACCTCAGTCCGGTTACTCCAGGCCTACAGACACACTGACCTGTCTGTTGGTCACATGTCTCTTCACGTGAGCCTTCACGTGAACACTGGCATGCTGGAAAACAGACATGTAAATTCATGCGGAGTGAAAAATGCAGAAAGAGTCTGGAGACAATGTGTTAAAAGAAGACATTATGAATTATCTTAAAATGAAAACTAAGCATTGTTACAGGAAGATACAGGAAAACACAATTCAGAAAATGCTACTATAGCGATTATCTGACGTTTACCACATCAAAGTCAAAGGGTCAGTATGTACACAATTTGGCAGATATCTTCTTTAAAAACAACTGGAGATTAGAAACTGACTGTCCATCATTTGTGTTCTATCTACAAAAAAGCCTGTTCTGTCTTATAAGTCTGCATATTGCCACATCTTGTTTGGACCAAACTGAATCAGCTTGTCTGGCTTGCAAGCAAAGATGAATTACACACAATAAACTTTCTGCATCCTCTGTTTGAAAACTAGTGAAGAAAGAAACTTGAATATGAAAATATAAAACTAAATTTACTTCTCACTTTCAGCTGTACAAACGGTCACATTATGTTAATGATAGCTTGTTTTACCATTATGTTGATCTGGCAAGTTAACAGTCCTGTAGTTAGTTATATAGTTAAAAAGTGTATTCTATATCTTAATTTAGGAATTACATACTATCTTACTGCATCTTATCTCAACTTATGGAATCCTTAAGAACTTAATCAAGGTCAATAAACAACTGTCATCCCTGTCACCAAGCAAATGACCTAATATAAATATGAAAAAAAAAACTAAAATGTAAGTTACAGTTAGCTATACAGCTACCATGGTAAAAATAAATAAAAACAAGAAAAAAGCACTGAGATTAACTATATGCTTTAGTAACCTCAAGGAAAAAATTGCTCTGGCCCGGCTGTCTAACAGGATGTTTTCATTTCCACTCACTTTTCAATTCTGGCCTGATTTGTCTGTGTGCTGCACTGTTTCTCCTAATAAACAGTGACATATTCAACTTGGTCTCCTCATTACTGACCGCAATGTTTCATTAAGCAAGTTTTCATTGGCACGAACACATGCAGGTAATGAGAAGTTATGGCAGAGAATGTGCCTGCAGTGTATTTTATGTACTGCAGAGCTATAAAAAAATGTCTCACAAGCAAAAACACTTACAATATGAACAAATATAATGGCATTACGCTCAATAATGCTAATGAATTTCTTAGGTAACACCTGAAAACGAACACATTCCATCTTCAACAGATGGCAAAATGGAAATGGAAGTGAAAATGGTGAAAATGCAAGCTTTGAACTGAAGTTAGGACAGTATTTAGGAAATGTTGTATATGTTAGAATGAGTCTGATCTGACAACAAAAAACTCTGAATGGTGTGTTTATCACTCAAAACAGAAATCCGCTGAAAGGCAACAGGTCAGCATGTATGAGTAAAAAAAAAAGCAGTGACATCACTCAAACAGTCTAACAGGTTTTCAAGAACTCTGTTTTTAGCCATACATTACAGGTTGATGAGGATAAATGTCACAGATGTCCATGAAACACCTACAGATGAAATGGCTACATATATGCAATGCCTGGGCAGTAAAACCACAAGTACATACGTCTGCAGGTTGGGTATGCGTAGTATCCTCTGGCACACTGCTCACACCGCGGCCCGGCAAAATTGAAACGACAACGACACTGACCATTTGGGCCACATGACTGGTCAGCCACCCCCGGCCTGTCACAGCGACACTCTGAGGAGAGAAACAAATCTGACTGATTTGGTCTGTTTTATTTCAGTTTAATTTGACATATTTACTCTGTTTTTTGTATTCAGGTCAATTCAGTGAAGTCCCACTTTACTAATAAAATAAAACAGCTTTGAGACTGTTTGTGCCTTTGTCCACTATACGTTATCTATCTACTTCGATCTATTTGTAATACATCTATTATATATCTATATATCTATTTACACACATTTACATCTATCAAAGGTTTACATAGAATATTCCAAGTGTTTGAAAAATGGAGCATGTGGTAATAACACTATGTGCAAAACTGTGACATTACTCTGCAATTACCAAAACAATAGGGGAAGCTCTGGCTTTCCGCAATGCAGCGGTCACACCTCTGTCCATTGACTCCAGGCCTACAGACACACTGACCAGTTCTCGGGTCACATGTCATTTGACGTGAGCCTTCACGTGAACACTGGCATGCTGAAAAAAAAAATAGTGATATGTTATCCTTTATACAGTACAGGTGTCATCATAGCACGTTAATATCAGCATTAATATTAAAAATAAATAAAACAAACGCATTTTGTATCATGATGCAAAAATGGTAATGTACTAACAGGTTTTCAAACTACATTCATGCAGGATACGTCTGTATCTATGGATTCTACAGATTTATGACTTACATTTTTTAATGTAAGTCTGAATATTGTGCAGTAAAAATACAAGCACGTACGTCTACAGGTTGGGTATGCGTAGTATTCTGCGGCACACTGCTCACACTGCTGTCCAGCAAAGTTGGAACGGCAGCGACACTGACCCTTCGGACCACACGACCGGTCAGCCACTCCTGGTCCAACACAGCGGCACTCTGAACAGAGAAAATGTTCCACATTCACAGCAATATTTGACCTTGACCTTATTTTTTCAGTCAGTTCAAATTTATTATGTTCAGTTTTATTTTAAAAAAACCTGATGTTTATCATAAAAACAGCTTTTTGGTACTTTGGGCTGGATCCCCACACTTCTGATCCCAGACAAGTACTTATAAATCAATAGCAGGAATACTATAATCTAGTCCTGATGGGCTACTACTTAGCATTTTTAGAAGCACCTCATACATCTAACTCCAAACTGACTAACTACCAATCAAACGACCAAACAATAAAATAATAAACTAACAAATAACAAACAAACAAGAAAATAACAAACATGAATCAACAAACAATAAACTACCTATCAAACTCTCCAGTTCACAAACTCACAAACTAACTAAAAATCAAACTAGTTAAAACAAAAAAGGAACTGACATAAGCAAACAAGCAAGTTATCAAACAAACTCACAGAAAAAGTAAATTAACCAAAGTTACATTAAAATTAACTAAATAACCAAATAATAAACATACTAATTTACTAATAGACTGAAAAGAAACTAACTACAAACAACCAACAACAAACTAGGTAATGAACCAAAAACAATCAAAATTAGTTAACTAATTAAAAAAAAAACAATTAAGTTAAAAAAATTTAAATACAACTCACCACAACTAACAATCTAATCTAACTCGCTCATGTTTAGCAAGCTAAAAAATCCCCAGAAAGGGGAGCTATTTACACTCACACAGCTTTTGTATGCATTAGTGAAAGAGAAGAAACTGGCAGAATATCATGAATGCCAAAAGTTAGTAGTGACTAAGGAGAAAAACAACACTAGTGTCATATTTTGTTTGTCCACTTTGAAAACAAATGGCACATATTCAGCCTAAACCAGTGTCTGTTCAGTGAAGCTGAGGCCCCTGAAGGTGGACAAACAGCTACAACGCAAAGAAAACTTCCACATTCTAACGGAACATTCAGACCTTCATATTTCATCCAAGTGTATGGAACACAGTACGTGGCGACACGACAGTGTGTGATGAAACTATTTGAGACTACAACAGCAAGAGATGCAGTGATATCAATATTACCAAAGCAATAGGGGAACCTCTGGTCTCCTGAAATGCAGCGGTCACACCTCTGTCCAGTCACTCCGGACCTGCAGACACACTGACCTGTCTGTTGGTCACACGTCTCTTCACGTGAGCCTTCACGTGAACACTGGCATGCTGAGGAAAAAAGCAGGGATGACATCATCCAGACATTAAATGTTAGAGATGATAGCTCATATTTAATATATCCATGTTCATGCAGCGTAAGCCCATTTAGTGTTTCTACATGTTTAAAATGTCAACACGTACGTCTACAGGTTGGGTAAGCGTAGTATCCTCTGGCACATTGCTCACACCGCATCCCAGCAAAGTCTGAACGACAACGACACTGACCCTCTGGACCACATGATCGGTCAGCCACCCCTGGCCCATCGCAGCGGCACTCTGAAGAAAGAAAAGGTCCTCACACTTACAACAAATCAAAGTGATTCAGTTTAGTATCTCTGTATTCCATTCAGCTCAAATCAATTAACAAGTCTCCCGTCTGCCTTCTTATTGTTATTGTTGCTACAGTCATGCTGATACATGACTGGGTTTGGGACAGTTCAATTGTTGTTTAGCAAATGATCAATTAAGCATAATTTATCGATATAACTGTATATCATTACAAAGTTATTTTATGGTGCTTTGAGAAAGATGCTCAGACTTGCTTCACTCTTTAGTTTTAGTATTTTCCTTTTTCTAACACAGCTGGACAGGTTCACATCTTACTTAACTGGCAGGACGCAGTTCATTACTCTCTGTGGCTATAGTTCCTTCTCCTCTGCTGGTACTAAAGGGGTTCCACAAGGTTCAATGCTTGGACTTCTCTTGTTCATTATTTATATATTCCCTCTCAAACATATCATTAGCCACTTCAAATGGACCCCTTAGTCAATTGGAAACAGAAACTCTTATTCAAGCCTTCGTCTCCAGCCGTCTGGACTACTGGGACTCTCTTCTTGCTGGCATTGGCTCTTCTTCTCTTCACAAGATCCAGATGGTTCAAAACTCGATCATACCATCAAATTACATCGATTCATCAAAATCTCCACTGGTTTTCCATAACTGGTATAGACCAATACACTCTGAATACAACAGATGTACAAAGCCCACCAACCTACACATACACACAAACATGCACATATGTTTTCAATGACGAGCCCAGGCACAGGTCTGAAATGAACCTTGGCGAGCACTGAACCACAAAAATGTTGAAATATCAGCTGACATTGTGCCTCATGTTACGCAAAGTATGCTCTTGTTTATTCAAACCAATAAATGATATTTTGGAAACATAAAATATGACAAAAACATACTTGGCCAGCTCTCAATACACTTGGAGGGGGCCTATGTGTAGGAAACACTGACAGCCAGACAATGACTTAAGAACTACAGTGCTTTCTCAGTGAGGCACAGGCTCCTTTAAAAGAGGACAAGCAGCAATCATTAGGGGTGAGAGTCACTAGACACTTCATGATTCAGTTCAATTCCAGCTCATTGTTTCTCATATTTGTCCATCCACATCAATGAATTTTATTGTAGTTCATTTGTTCTATAGGCCTACATCTTTAGGTTAAGTATGCAAAGAAATCACTTAAAGTGTATGGAACTTGCAACTCGTGGCAATGAACCTATGGCAATGAAGCACAGCACTGCAGTGATATGACTCTGCCCTTACCGAAGCAATAGGGGAAGTTCTGGCCTTTTGCAATGCAGCGGTCACACCTCTGTCCAGCCACTCCAGGCCTACAGACACACCGACCTGTCTGTTGGTCACACGTCTCATCACGCGAGCCTTCACGTGAACACTGGCATGCTGGGAAAAAACATCATCATCGAGATAGTGACGGTAACAGGCTTTATAGAAATGTGTTTTTCTACAGCTGATGTGGGCGACTGTCAGAAATGATATGAAGTATCCATATTCATGCTCTAAGTCTATGTATCGTGTCTAAACAGTAAAAATACCAGCACGTACGTCTGCAGGTTGGGTATGCGTAGTATCCTCTGGCACACTGCTCACACTGCGGTCCAGCAAAGTTGGAATGACAGCGACACTGACCATTTGGACCACATGACTGGTCAGCCACTCCTGGTCCATCACAGCGGCACTCTGAGGAGAGAAAGCATCCTTACACTCAGAACAAATGAAACTGGTTGTATCTGGTTTATTTCAGGCCAATTCACACATTTTATCTATCTATAAAACGATGATTATAATATAATGCAGATTTTTGATGCTACCCAATGTACTTGGCTCGTAACTAAATGACTCACTAAAAAAAGTAAGAAAAGAAAAAATGAACTAACAACATACCTAACCAACTTTTATCAAGGAAATTTTGTGTATATCATTACAAAGCAGATTGACTGTACTTTCAGGCTGATACTCAGATGTCTGATCTGATCATAACTCGCAGAAAGTACTTATATATAAATTAGGCGTGAAAAAGGCTGTTGGTTCAATTTTGGAAAATTAGAATTGATTATAATCTGTAAGACTAACATTAAATAAAATATAAATTCTTATTTATGTGAAATAAAATATTTTCAAACATTAAATGTTTGTTTGTTTTTAAAAATAAACTTTACAATATTACTACTGTAAAGTTCAGTTTATCAGCTGTATTCAACTACTGTGTAAACGGATCCTTCAGTCACATTTGTGTATTCAATATATTCTTAAAACTCTAAAATAAATAAATAAATAAATAAATAAATAAATAAACAAAAAGATTATTAATAATAATAATAATAATAATAATAATATATTATTATTATTATTATTAATAATAATAATAATAATAATAATAATAATAATAATAATATTTTTTTCCAAATTTCCCAAATACTAAATTGTAACGACTAAGCAACAACCTAAGTAACAAGTTAACTAACCAAACAGGCTAAATAACTATTAACTAAAAAAACTAATAATAAACAAACTATTAAACTAAATAACTAACAAACACACACAGCAACAACCCGACAATAAAACCTAACTAACAAAATAACTGATTACCAAAATCACATGAATTGCTTCAATACAGGGTACAACACTGCAGCCCAATAATACAGACTTATTATTATTATAGACTTACTTAGTAAAATCTACAAATCATTTGACAAATACTATAAAACATGAAAGCTACACAGTTTTGAGAAAACAAAACTAAAGTGTCTGCACCACATACAGGCCTTCAGGGCTTAATAGCCTAAAGAAATAGGAAGTTTGAAATCACTGAACTACAAGCTAACAATACATGTTCAAATACAGGTTTATGTATTTTGGTGTGGTTTGTTTTTTAATGCTCAGCCTGTTCTGAAGAAAATCAACGTGATTCATTCTCACAAATGGCAAGAACTCCACCTCTACCACTCTCTACCTCTCTAGCAGTACTGCAGTAATGTTACACTGCCATTACCAAAGCAATAGGGGAACCTCTGGTCTCCTGAAATGCAGCGGTCGCACCTCTGTCCAGTTACACCGGCTCTACAGACACACTGACCTGTGTTTTGGTCACACGCCTCTTCACGTGAGCCTTCACGTGAACACTGGCATGCTGAAAAAAGCAGTGATGCCATCATTCAGACAGTGACAGTGAACAGTCCAAGCAATGCCAACAGCAGATCTTTGTATTGTGTATTGTATTGTGTATCAACACGTACGCCTGCAGGTTGGATATGCGTAGTATCCTCTGGCACATTGATCACACTGTAGTCCTGCAAAGTTGGAATGACAGCGACACTGACCATTTGGGCCACAGGAGCGGTCAGCCACCCCTGGTCCATCACAGCGGCACTCTGAGGAGAGGAACAAATCTAATCAATTTCACATAATTACTCTGTCTTTTCTATTCATCTTAATAATAAGTTGAATTTTATTTTATTATTATTATTACTCACCACTAACAAGCATGCATATCATAGAGGGCCATAAATATCTTTAGTTTACTATGTTTGTAATACACAGCTTATTCAGCTCATAAAGGGCATAAACAGCTGACTGAATTCAATTAGTTGAGTTAAAGTTAAGAAAATGTGCAAACGTCATGTTGCATTTGCAGTTTGACACCACTAAAGTACAAAACACAACAATAAAAAACAAACAAAAAACTACAAAAATGCCAATAATGCATATTTAGGTTTAAATACAAGTTTATATGGACCACTCAACCAATTTACTTCAAACAGTAAAAAAAAATAATAATAAAAAATTAAAATAAACAAATAAAGAAAGTATTCAGATCTTAGATGTTTATAAAGAAAATGTTGTGATCTATTTAAACCGAAGGCATTAATTGTGATAGTAATATGCTAAATTACAGTGTACTTTCTATTATGAGGAGGCAGTCCCAAACCCTAATACCTAAACTTACACTTGTAAAAATGACACTTAAATGTTTTTTTAGTATTTTTAAATATTTTTTAAGGATTTTTTTTCATTTTTTTTTAAAGTGAAGTTGAAAAATTTGGATTTATGATGAGTTCAATTTTTTAAATAAAAAGATTTGTATTCAAAAAATGCCGTTCCACATTTTCATGTCACTACTGAAACACAAAGAGTTTAGTCCATGGGTGGAGTCTTATTTTAGCCACGCCCCTGCATTTCAGAGCAGGAAGAGAGACTGCATCCCTGTCCCTCATGGTCGCATGTTGAGCAGTTAGATCCCATTGTTTTGAAGCAAATGTGCCCCAAAAGTCTAAAAATCAGTCTGTAACATTAAGAATTGTCACTACGGAAACAAATATTTTCTTCAATTAAGCAAACCTTTTTCTGTTTTAATGAAAATTATTATGATTTTATGTATGTATAACTGTTCAAAGCTGTGTTTGCTAGTCAGGTACTTGTTAGTGTTTTTGAGTTCTGCTCAAAATTAGCTAAAATCATCACTACTGAAACAGTCGCTACTGAAACGTTCGGTGAAGTTTCAGTGGTGTTTTGATTATTTTGTTAGTAACAAAATAAAATTTTTAATTATTTGTTTGAATAAACATAATTAAGATATAGTGTCAAAATGATTTCAGTCTAAAGTCCAAGCTGTTAAAAGTATAAAAGTGTTAATGTGCTTTGAACTCTGACTTTGACCCAATTTGGTAGAATGATCCATATACATTCCATCAAAACAGTAAATACACTATTTGGTGTGGTTGGTTCGCTCACCCTGGCAGTAAGGGAAGTAGTGGTATCCAGGACGACAGTGGTCACACCGCTCGCCTGTAACCTCAGGACGGCATAAACAGCGTCCAGACGCACTGCAGACTTCTGGAACCGTACCCCTCCGCTCACAATCACATTCTGCACAACAACATTCGGGATTATTATTATTATAAACTCTTCACAAAGAATATTTCTTTGTTTCTTTCTTTCGCAATTTCTTTCTTTCTTTTGCCCTTTATTTCATCTTCATTATCATCATCATCAGATTATCTAGCGTAATCTAAGTTATATATAACACTAGTCTGGAACACCTCATCACACTAAGCTCACGTGTCAGGGTGATCTGACTGTATCGAGGGCCAGACATACTGAGGCCTTTTGTGTTGAGTTCCAGAAGCAAATAGAAAATCATGCAGATACAAAACTGGCATACAAGCCCAAATGCACAGTTTTTCCACTATGTACATACGTTTCTCTCTCTCTCGCACATATACATTCGAGACAGGATTGTGCAAAATGTGGGAGGATAACACAAGCATGAGTCAAAATATTTGAAGTGCCACTGCTTACACATTCCGTTTGGTTTACTGAAACTTTGGCAGGCTGTTACTCATGATTTTTTTCTGCCAAACATAAATTAGTGGTAATATTTCAAAACCACATTCTTGGTGGAACGTCTTCAAATACTAGGGCAATCCTCTCCTGATTACTTGTCAAAAGGTAAGAGGGACTTCTGAATAACTGCTTTGGGGTGGATTTTCGGTGGCCCTACACAAAGTGTGTGGAGTGCCACTTGTGTTGTCTACACAATACAAATGTTACTACATAATGGTAAGGCTAGTTTCAGTGGCGCTCTATGACGATATTCCATTGTTATCGTAGTATGATAAATGTCACAAAACGTTTTTCTAAGGATATGATAGACATCGTAAGTACTTAAAGACAAATTAGGCCTGTTTAATCAGATTTAGTGCAGTGCCATTTGTAAAACATTGAATAAATGTCACCACAGTTGTAGGTTTGTTATTATTATAATAGCGTTTTTATATACGGCAGTACAGAAAAGGAAAAAGAGTGAGAAAGATAGAAAGTAAAAGAAAAAAGAGATAGAGCAAAAGAGAGTAAGAGAGCAGGAAAGAGAGACAAAAAGGAGAAAAAGAGAAAGAAAGAAAGAAAGAAAGAAAGAACGAAAGAGAAAGTACAAGAGAGATAAAAGGTAAAATTAAGAAAGAAAGACAGAATGAAAGAGTGAGAGAGACAGACAGAAATGAAAGCGATAGAAAGAAAAAGAAAGAAAGAGAGAGATTTCATTGTTATCGTAGTATGATAAATGTCACAAAACGTTTTTCTAAGGATATGATAGACATCGTAAGTACTTAAAGACAAATTAGGCCTGTTTAATCAGATTTAGTGCAGTGCAATTTGTAAAACATTGAATAAATGTCACCACAGTTGTAGGTTTGTTATTATTATAATAGCATTTTTGGGTTCTATTTCCTCTGTTCCAACTTATTTAACCTCAGAAAAATGAAATATCGCGATGCACATTGTGAAAATGTCTTGAAGTATTGTGATGTATTGTTTACCAAATCACCCACCCCAGTTACACAGTGACTAGGCCTTCTCCAACCAAGTGACCAGCTTGAGACTTAAAGCACTGTAACTTGTTCAACAAGTACTACTAAACTATTATTGGTTTCTAGCTACAAGAGTGAGGAATTGAAATGTGGGTTTATATACAGATGGTTCACGATTAATGTATATATCAATATAACTTCTTAAGCTCAGCTAAATACAAAAGAGAGTCTGAGCTTTTGCCTTTACTGCACTACACAGGAAGCAGCCTTAGCTGAGCCAGCAGCATGTAATGGGCAGCACGCTAGCCAAGGAGCCGTCAACAAATCCTCCAAACAGTCACAGTTTGTGATGAGAACAATAGGTAGAAAAAAGCTCTTAATACTCCAGCCTCTGGCTCTCCAGGAGCTAAAATTCCCACCCCCAAAGCTTCTCATTTGGCAGACTGAGGCCAGTGGGGAACACAGGACCTGACCAGGCCAAGAATAGGTGTGACAGAGGATTTGTGCCCACAGACTCTGACACACTGAGTAAAAACAAAAATGTTCCATTACACGCAAAACAGCTCCATTATTCCCCTTATTCATCATTATAGTGTTCAAGTCAGAATATGAACATTTAAGCTGAAATAAATGAACCAAGACAAAGATGATAAAAGCAAAAGAGATTCAAAGACAGAGAAAAGGCAAAGAGAAAAGGAGAAGAAGAGAAAAAAAGCAGACAGAGACAGACTGAGATAAGGAGAGTAGCTGCTGTACTGAACATGAAGCTGAGGAACAAATTACTAATATACAGAGTAATTTAATGATTACGTCATTAGTAACATTCACCTTCACATCTCGGTGCGCCGAAATACCCCACAGGACAATTTGGATCTGAGAGAGAGAGAGAGAGAGAGAGAGAGAGAGAGAGAGAGAGAGAGAGAGAGAGAGAGAGAGAGAGAAAGAAAGAAAGAAAGAAAGAAAGAAAGAAAGAAAGAGAGAGAGAAAGAAAGAAAGAAAGAAAGAAAGAAAGAAAGAAAGAAAGAAAGAGAGGGTGTGTGATAGAAAAAAAAGGAAAAAGAGTGAGAAAGATAGAAAGTAAAAGAAAAAAGAGATAGAGCAAAAGAGAGTAAGAGAGCAAGAAAGAGAGACAAAAAGGAGAAAAAGAGAAAGAAAGAAAGTATAAGAGAGATAAAAGGTAAAATTAAGAAAGAAAGACAGAAAGAAAGAGTGAGAGAGAGACAGAAATGAAAGCAATAGAAAGAAAGAAAGAAAGAAAGAAAGAAAGAGAGAGAGAGAGAGAGAGAGAGAGAGAGAGAGAAAGAAAGAAAGAAAGAAAGAAGAGAGAGAGAAAGAAAGAAAGAAAGAAAGAAAGAGAGAGAGAGAGAGAGAGAGAGAAAGAAAGAAAGAAAGAGAGAGAGAAAGAAAGAAAAAGAAAGAGAGAGAGAAAGAAAGAAAGAAAGAGAGAGAGAGAGAGAGAGAGAGAGAGAGAGAGAGAGAGAAAGAAAGAAAGAAAGAAAGAAAGAAAGAAAGAAAGAAAGAAAGAGAGAGAGAGAGAAAGAAAGAAAGAAAGAAAGAAAGAAAGAAAGAGAGAGCGAGAGAGAGAGAGAGAGATTTGCATAGCAACACTGTTATTTAATCATCTTACATCCAATTAATCTTTTTCCTAGATTTAATAACCTAAAGCTTTTTTTCTTTTTTGTTTTTCTGTAAAATATGGGAAATACTTACCAACAATACTGCCTGCTGGGGACTTAGTTGTGGTTATGAGGATTGGATATGCTAAAAAATAAAACGAAAAGTGTTTCAGCGGCTGCACAAAAAGCAATAACGAGCGACACTGCAGCAGTACGAACTGATAGCAGATGACCATTTCATCACAGATCTCTCCAGGACACACAGTGAATTGTCCCTAATTGCAAATGAATCGATCAAATCAATCACCTTTAAGACACTGCCCTATTATCATCATCACTACCTTCATACTGAGCTTTATGCTAACCGTTAGCTAAACAGTCAAACTGTGGTTGAAGAACTCACAGCAGCCTTACATGACTCATCTAGGTGTCTCCAAGTCGACTTTGACTGGCCATTTAAAAATACCACTTTTGGCCTGAAGGTGCCATAAATGAAAATGTTTATTACTGCTTCCACTAATGCATAATTAATGAACACATTAATAAGAGCTCAGCAGGCAGAGAGAGCAACAGGCAGGTGGAAATTAAGGTTGAACAGCTGGCCTGAGTTTGTAACTTCCTGCTACAGAAGGTGGCCCAGTGCCAGTGAACTGCTCCATTTTATATCCAGGATATCCTCAATCAAGGCGTTTGGTTTGTTTCCTTTCCTGGACGTCCGAGGAAAGCTTGAGTGAAGCCAAAGTCGAGATTTTAATCGATGCAAGAAAACTTACAATCCGCCCCGTCACTCAGCAGCAGCCTCAGTGATTAGGAAGTTTCATTAGTAAGGGAGGGCATGTGTGGAAGTACATACGGATGCATCGTGGGTAGCCGTAGTATCCTCTGGCGCAGCGTTCACAGTTGTCTCCGCTGAACTGAGGCTTGCACAGACAACGTCCTGAACCCACCTCACAGCCCACCGTGGTCCTGCTGTCACATCTGCAAGCTGCAATCCACACAGGTGTACAGACATTTTCACAATTTCCCATCAATTGCTTTGATATACAGTGCTGTGTAGAAGTCTTCAGCAGTCATGTAAACTATTTAAAATACTATTTATTATATATTATATACATATATTGGATGGTAACTGTAAATACTGGACCTTCTTGAGGGCAGCTTTAGAAACAGTTACACCAGCATGCTCACACAAATGTATGTAATGCAATGTAATGTTTATTTGTATTTATTGTAAACTTTGAGTTTAAAGAGTTGCACATATAGTGTGATATATGTGGTTGGTATAGTGTAGTGAGTAACACCTCTGCCTTCTATGCTGTAGACTGGAGTTCAATCCCCCACCTGAGTAAACACCCTACACTATACCAATAAGAGTCCTTGGGCAAGACACCTAACACTACCTTCACCTACCTGTGTAAAATCATTCTGTAAGTCGCTCTGGATAAGAACATCTGCCAAATGCTGTAAATGTAAATACACAGCATTTTTTCAGATGTCCTACGACAGTGGTCAACAACCCTGGCCATGGAGATCAAACTCCCTGCAGAGTGAAGTTCCAACTGCAACTGGCTACACCTGCTCCAGCTAATTAACTTCTTCAGATGTCCTTGGTTGGCTGGATCAGATGCAGTAGCGGGCAACATGTTACATGCGGATTGGCGCTGCGTTCGGGTGCTCACCAGAAGACTAACTTGTAAATACGACTTCACTCCATTCAGGTGCTTATTCGTAGATGCACCCAACACACAGACTACACTTTGCATTCTATTAGCAAGCACATAGATATAACAGAAGTGCGTCAGTTCTCTATTTTTTTTTTACACTTACTGCAAGTTGAGCGTTTCTCACTCGTGTAAAAAGGTTAAACGGCATGTTATATTCCACATCTTTTAAACTCGTCTATCAACTAAAATTCCGACATTACCAATTGTACAACTTTGTTGGCCATTTGAGGGCAATTTACAAGTAGGAAAATCGTTATTTCTCAGTTTTCAGCACCACTCGAACGCAGCATCAGCTCTGCAGGAAAGCAGATCTCCAGGAGGAGTGTTGGTGACCACCGGCCTTAGACATTTGTGCAGTACTGTATCCACTGCCCGTCAAACGTTTGAGGATGCAGCTTTTTAAAATGTTTTTAATAAACAGTATGTTTAAGTTGTCTGTTTGCAATATCATAATACATTAAATATAAAGCTCCTGGTACAACTGGTAAAAGCCCAACCTTGGGAACAAAGTCAAAGCCCACACTTTTTAATCCCATCTTGTGATGTAAGCACTCAACAGCACTGTAATTTCCAGACTTTTGATGGGCAGCGTAGTATTATATGCCACTCTGTGCTAAAAAGAAAAGTCATCATCCATAGTCATGTTTTTGAGACATTTACATATCTATTTTCAGTCAGTGCTTAGGCCGTAGACTGAAAACAAACTGAGACCGACTGCTGATAAGACAAGACAGGAAACACTAATACTAAAATATAAGGTTGTATAACTATTACATAAATATATGAAGTGCACCTTCCAGTATAAACTGTGACAGTTCACTGATTAATAAACAAAAGGCAAAAGATACCAAACAGCAAGCAAATGTTTAAAAAAACTGAATTTCTAAGAAACTGTAGTTTCACACTTCTGATGAGAGCATTCCTCTCAGCCAGCACCACCCCTGACAGGCCATGGTGGTATGAAAGCTAAACATGACAGGTAGCTATTTACAGCAGCAGTGCAGTCTGTTACTAATGTAAACAATGTCATGCCCACTTTAGCGAGATATTATATTGATGTGTTTTCCTCTGACTCCTTAACATACCGCAGAATACAATGAGCTATTAGACAAAAGTTGTTTATGGAACAGCTGTAAACCAGCCAATGTTTGTGATACCAGACTGTGTGAAAAATGTCAGCAAGAGTCAGAATTTACTGGGCATCAGGTATGTGGCATCATGTTAGCCCTTATAAGTCTAGCATGGTTGTCATTTTGCTATATATAATGCAATTACACACTTACACAATCAGTTACACAGTTAAAATTATGCATAACATTAACATGTAATGTATATTATGTATCGACAGGTTTGATTCGGCACTTCTGGCTTTTCAATTTTGGGTCAGTGTCACCAAATGACAAAAACATGGCAAAAATGTACACCATAGTTGTTCTGACTGCTGATAAGTGTGAATTCTAATGGTTAAGATGTGCCCTAAAATATAATATAATCATATTTGAGAATATTCCTGGAAAGACAGATGCAATTAGGAGAAACACGGCACTGTTTGACAAATTAATGTCCATTTTTATAATGTTACATTTGGTCCATGGGCTCTCTAAGTTTGCTTGAGCCCAAACCTGAAGAACTCTTTAAACTGATTAAACCATATAGCTAACATGTTTTTTATTATGAGTTTTATAACAAGTTTTATTACTTAATTCCTCAAAATAAATCTCATCTTTGGTGAAACTACTGTTTATCACAAAAACAACAGAGAATCCATACGATTTTGAGTAAAAAATATGAAAATTACTTTATCCATTTAACCAATCAGGACAAGTTCAGTGGCAGTTTTAGTTGTTGGGCATGAACAGGTCAAACTCCGAGTGAATGAACAAACACAGCCTTTACTCAAAGTGTTGCTGAAAGTGAAATGGAAAGCACAGTGAAATACGTACGGATGCAGCCTGTGGGCGACTCTCGGGGAATCCCATAAGGCCTGTAGTAGCCCACAGCACACCCTTCACAGTTCACACCAGCCGTGTTATGCTGAACACAAACAGTATAGTTTTAACAAGTGAGGAGATGCATAAAAAGGTCACTGATGTTTGGTCTGCTGATAAAGGATTGCAGGCAGTTACCTGGCAGTTAATGCACACTCCTCCACCATCATACCGGCCATATATGTTCAAACTTGCTTTTCTGCGCTCCACCTCAAGATCGTAATAACAGTCAGTGGCATGAGAATGACACTGGCATGCTGCAAAAAAAATCCCCACACAAACACACACACACACACACACACACATACACATATATATATATATAAATATATAAATATATATACATATACACACATACATTCATAGGCAGGCATGCCCACACAAACACATGCCAGACTCAAATTTTCAGTCCATTAGTATTACAATCTTGTCATAGAGTTAAACTTCCAATACACTCAAAATTTCTTTCTACTTTTACTGTGCTGCACTCCATATCAAGCTGTGGATGAGTTTTAAAGGGCCCATATCATGGAACATGTAATTCCTCAGTTTTTTTTATAAAAAATTCGATGCAGTATGTAAACGTCAAACTTTTTCTCATTTTGAATCTCAGTGTTTTTGTGATGTCACAAAAGCTAATGCACTTACACATATCCACCTATTCAGCCTACAGCAAGCTAGCCCCTCCAGTTTATACTGAAGTTACAGGAGGGTTTCAGCCTTGACTGCTTTTTGAAGGAAGCACAATACAGAGCAGTCAGAACAGCAACTCTTGAAGACACAATAACAGTAGCTACTCATGCACTGGATTAACCCATTTAAGCCCATTGACAAATAAATATATAACATAACATATAAATGACATTGACATAATACATAAATGACCTTTGTTCTGATTGGCTGCCCTGTATTACACTTTTTATGACTGTAATGATTTGTGTCTAACAGAGCATTATTGCAAGTTTTCAAAATAAACAGGCATCAGGGCAAACAGAGCTGCATAATACGGACAAAACATCTGCAACCGCATACTGGACAGTGCGATTATATTGCCACATGTTCCGAAACGCCTTTCAATACATTAAAAAGACAATGGAGAGCTCCTGATGGGACACAGTTCAGGGGTAAAAATTTTACTTAGCCTTGCTAAATAAATGTACATTATTTGTTTAAATAATCATTAGTTTTCCTTGCTCATTTTTATTTAACCATGCCATTGTGTCTGCAAATTCAAAATATCTGCATATAGCAGGGCACTAGGACCTGGAGGGGGCTGCTACTGTTCTAATCCAGTGCTGCCTTGGCTGCTCGTTCGCATATTACATCAAATTAGTATTGTAAAGGCCAGTATTTCAATAATGATAAAGAAATAATATACTGCTCAGCCTTAAAAGAAACCTATTTGATTTGTTGAAACTCGTCCAATATAATTTTCCCTTTATTCAAATTGAAATAACCTTTCCATGCCTGGATCCTTCTTACCTGACCAGTCCCCTCTAGCCTCAATAAAAGGGGCAGGTCACGGCATATCTGGCTAATCTACACACTGGAGGAAAACACAGCCTCAAGTTCCCGCCTTTATATAAAGATATAAAGTGAATAATGATAAACGCATGTAGCAGGCACGAACACGTTTACTTATTGTACTGAAGCAACATTTGTATTTTATTAGCTCTTTATTTATCAGTTAATTTCCCTTTTAATTGTTGTTGTTTTTTTATTTCGGTTGTTTTGTCCTTTGCATTTGTTTGCCAGTAAACTTGTTTAATTGTTTAAATTCTTAGGCTTATTACATCCCCACACACAGGAGCACTGTGTAGAGTCATGTAAGAGTACAAAGTTCAGCTGTATCATATAAAATGCTCCAGAGTGAGAGCGCTGATAACATTATTACTCCTCATATGAGTAAAACTTTCAACATCAACACCAAACCAGGGCCACAGTGGGACTTGCTTTCAGACTGGAGGTTACATGCAGACCAGCCCACCCAGAACTCAAACTCTCCACTTTCTTCATTTCTTGCTCTTATTTATTATTTATATGCTACACTGACAATTGGCAAAAGCTTTAATCTTAAATGTGACAAACATGACAGTCAACACTGTACAAATTAATTCTAGCTAAGTTCTTCTGGGTGCTCCTTGTTTTTTTGCCATCACTGCTGTCCATTTTCATGTTATTCACGTACAAAAACTGCTACATTGCTAATGCAAAAAACAAGTAATGAACTCTGTAGAGCACTGCCTGTTGAGTCAGCCAGTACCAGACTCACACTGACTTTGATATATTTCTCAAGGCTTATTCGAACTTCCATTCCACCTCCTATCGACACTGAATGTCTGCGGTGATGTGGTCGTCTACATTAACAGCAAAGGCTTTGAATTTTGTGTGGTGGCCTTGAGGCTTATTATTCAGTAACTACGTGGAAAGCAATGCAAACTGGCTGAGTTATTCTTATTTTTTTTATTATTAGTAGTAGAAGTAGAACTAAACGCACTCAAGTTTGAGTAAGTCTAACATTTATGTGCTTAGAGGGAGCAGCTACAAGGGCAAGCACTGCATACTGTCTGAAATGAGCCCGTCAGTGATCGCCAGTGTGTTTTAAAAGCAGTTTGCTGTCGTTCAGTAAGAAGGGCAGACAGGTCCCACAATCCGAATGTTCCTGAAAGCAGCACAGCGTGTTCTTCGCCTGCTTGTTGAAGCAAATACCTGTCAACAAAGCATGGCTAATAGAGCACAGGCTGCAGAGGGAAGACTGAAGCCAGGTTGTTAAGACACACAGCCAGAAGAGCAGTGTTTGAAAGTGCCAAAGTGGGCCTGTATATTCTTGCATGAGCCTGGCTTAACAATGCAACTGATGCACTCTGCTTAGGGCAAAAGACAGCAGGGTAATTCCATTGCTCATCATTCAGACAGCAGGGCCCCAAACTTCATGTTTAACACTGGGTGTACAACCCATGCATTAAAGTCACACGCACTAAAGACTAAAGACTATTAAACCATTCCGTTCTGCTACAGCAGCAGACGCGAGGCACACGTATAGTCACTACGAAGATGTCAGAGACTGAGATATGGGGGAAGGCCTGCAGTCTAGGGGCATTTTTAAAAGAATAATTGAGCACAATATCTAATTTACACATTTTTTCCTTTAACCTAAATGTAGTCAGTCAGACACGCTCAGTGTTCAAAGTTTGATTCTTTAGTTTTGCAGCCAGCAAGTCATGGAGACTTATATACACCAATTACCATGCAAAACCGCATGCTACATCACAGATTTGCCTCAAGTTGTATCGTGCTGTTAAAAGGCCCATATCCGAAAACAGTAATTATTGTCGAGACAACCATTTTCCTACCTCTCTTTATCCCTCAAGATTAAACAGGCTGTTTTTGTTACTGTGTCTTTAAGACTGATATGTGTAAATGAACTCTTTTCTGATTGACAGACCTGTACTGTGACTGTTTTGTGCCTCATTCAGAAAGGCTGAAACACTCCCTGTAACTTCAATATGAGTATGCAGATATAAACCGCTGTAGGCGAGATAGGTGGATATAAGTAAATGGGTTATTTTTTGTGACATCACAACAACTATTAATTCTTTTTGCAGCTTAGTTTCCACATGTCCGTATGCATGGGCGACTGAAAAGTTTTAAAATTTTTTCGATGATATGGGCTCTTTATGTAATCTTCTACAGAGTTGTTTCTATGAAACATTCTCTCTATAAAAATAGACTTTTTGTTTAACTCATCTTTACCAGGGGTGCGAATAATTATGGAGCTCACTGTATGTCCATGTGCAACTCTACATAACAGCATCACTGATAATAGAGCTTCATGAAATATCCTCATGGACAGGGAGGACCTGCTCTGAAACTTACGCTCACACTCGTTGGGACTGTTAGCAGTCGCCGGTCTCCACGGCTTCTGGTGGAACCCTGGACAACAGCGGTCACATGACTCTCCACAGGTGTTGTGCTCACATTCGCAGAGGAGTCTGGAGAGCAGGAGGACATTTTTCATTTAGAGTGGACCTTCTCATTTTAGAGAAAGCTTTACCTACGCCATGAGGCACTTAAAAAGCAGGCTTCCAAAAAATGTGTGCCTAAAAAGCAGGCTTTCAAGTGTTTATCAGGCTGGACTTTGGCTCCTGGATTGGCTTAAACAGCCAACTGATGCAGCTACCACTGACATTTTAATATCCAACAGGCAAACCTCAGAATTAACTGTAAAGATGTGAGATTACAGTTTATATTTTGAACATCAGTCATTAACACTAAACCTCACTGTTGACATCAATAAGGAAGCAGTAGTCTGGTTGCATAACTATACACTCCCCATTTGCATTTATTCCAGCAGTGTAGTGTGTGGTGCAAGTCCGTGCGAAATACAGATACTCACTGGCTGGCCCTGCCTGGGACACGTGCCCCACAAACCTGGGCGTGGCCGTGGCACACACAGCGTCCACCCACACTGATGTCTTTGATGCTGTAGTAGTACTGTAAATAGAGAAGACAGATTTTCACCCTTAGGTTAAGAAGCTACTGGTCTTGGGTCAGTATTTAGTGTGGCTAGGCGGTAATATGATTTGTGGTTTGTGTTTAAAGACATATGGGAGACATATATGGTGTGTGTGTGTGTGTGTGTGTGTGTGTGTTTCTACTTTACTGTCTTTGTGGGGACTAAATAACAGGAAAACATCATAATTCAGACATGATCATTTTGCTGTTAAACAAAAAGAAACAGCTATTTTGCCTAAAATGCAGGTATTGATGGAAGTAAAAGATCATTTTGCTGTTAAACAAAAAGAAACAGCTATTTTGCCTAAAATGCAGGTATTGATGGAAGTAAAAGATTTTCTGGATTAAGTTTTGATAATATATATTTCTCATATACAGACAGAAAAACAATCCTCTATATGTTTGTGTGCGTGTATGGGTTTCCTGATCTTCCTCTGGGTAAAGGAGCGTGTTTTTTTAATTGATTACAGGAACCCGCAGTTCTGCAGAAATAAGCAGCCTCTGGACATTCCTGAAACACACTCCACCCATGTATTTCATTCTACAGTAGCTGAGTAATCTCAAATCCAACACGTGAATCCAATAAATCTTTCATTAGTAGGTGCACTAGGACAGAACCTATTCTTCAACAGACAGTCTGCTGAAGCCTTCAGGCAGTTTAAGATGGAACAGCTTGGTACTAACAGTGCAGATAAACATTGCAATGTCCTTCTTATACCACCAAACAACTTGTGCAGCATAATGCAATGCCAATGTGTTAAAACTAAGCACAATTATCTTTTCTTTTGACTGCTAAGACAATCTTGGCAAATACAGGTCACATGAATGCCTCAGGAACTCCATAGATGAGCATGAAACAGACAAACTGTGTTAAACTTCTGTAAACTAGATTATTCATTTTGTGAAAAAACTGCATTTGATTCAATATGTCATTTGAGCTAAAGACAGTCCAATACTAACCAACAGACCGGCCACAACTGTATTAGCAAAGCTCAGAGGTGATTTTACTAAGTAACTGCTCACTAAAAACGTGCCATGCCTGTCACGCTTTCTCTTCTGTGCATAAGCTGATCCTTGATAGCCTCAAGCAATTGCTCAACCATGTAATACTCTTACCAGTGAAGCCTTATCCTTTTCAAAAAAAACCTTCAACAGATTCAAAATAAATGGGACAGAACCATTTGTGTTAACTCCTCGAAGGCACAGCTGTGTGGAGTGACAGTAAAACAGTGTTGTAACTTTATATTCATTATTTCTCACATGTAGCCCATTTAAATAGGCAGAGAATTCAGAAACACTTTATTTGGATGGTGGACTGATGATGGCTTGTAGATGCTCAGTATACCTTCAAGTAACATTCAACTAAAAATCTACTAAATGCAACTGAACTTGATCGATTCTATTAAATCTATCCTTAACACTAAATCTAACCCTAACCCCAACCTCAAGGCAAAACCTACACCTACTTCTGAACCTAACTCTAACCATAATGTTGTTGATATTCAAATGAGGGTTTTATGTGGATTATTAGAAGAGACCTGCAGTGCAGGACAGGGCAGGAGCGAGATATGTGCCCTGCGTTTTTCTTCCCACTGCGAATAAGCTGCATGTCCGTCTCCGCAGGCTGGTGATGAAGGCTCTTAGGGGCTGACTGTGTTTGGCTCTGAACATTCTCCTCCAACTGTGGGCATTAGCCTGCCGGCAGAGCCGGGCGGCTTGGCAGGCGGCGCTGGGCTGGCACACAGCCCAACACAGAGGAATGTGTGTGAGGAGGGGGGTGAAAGTGGAGGTAAGATGATGTGGTGTCAGCAAACACAGAACTAGCACCTGAGAGAGGAGCCTTCAAACATCAGCCACATACAGAGACTCACATTCAGATTTAGGAGAACTAGTTAACCTGTGAGATCCTGGATGAGGACGGAAACAGTATGGATACAAATTTAATTGGCATGAATTATAGGCAGTGCCAAATGTGCTTGGCTAATGTGGATCATGTCATTATCCAAAAGACCCACATGCGGAATCTGTTTCAGATTGGCGGTCACAGTTGCAAAATTACATGTGATTTACTTGGAAAAGTTGCTGCTCAGCCTCCTTCTACCCATCCATCAATGGAATGTGACCACCAAGGAACCATCTTTGAGCTGATATTATTTGGGTGATGGATAATTCTAAGCACAATGACAACACTGACATGGTAGTTGCACAGATGATGAATTTTTAAGGCCAACGCAGATGGCTTTGCGGCCAAACTAGCAGTATTTTGGCTGTTTTTATTAACCTTTTTAACCCAAAGCATAACCTGAAATACACTAGCACAGGGAAAATGAGGCAACATCCGGCTCTTTCACTGCCCTGTTGCGGCTCCACAGCAGAATTAGATTTTAGGTAAAAATAAAATAATCCTCATTTGCAGTAAAATAAAGCTCTGGAGTTATCATTGGCCAGCTTCTTGTTCGAAATGTCCCATTCCACCTTTAATGGTGCAGCAGTTACATTCTGGCACCTCAGACACCATTTAAGGTAGAACGGAAAAATGTGAACATGAAGCTGGTGAATGAGAAGCGACTTCAGCCTTGTAAAAGGTCAAATGTTTAGAGACATTTTACAAGAAACTATTCTACTTTCGAGGAAAAGTTTCCTGCTGGAGATGTGAGAAGAGTGGCAGTAGCTGAGCTAAAACTTAAAGGAAAACAAAGTAGGTCTGCGTTTTCGTTTATATAATGTACTTAGTCTATACTAATACATTAGCACATACTGGGACATACTTACAGCAAAGATAGTAAAACGGACATTAAACGTTGTGGCTCTCAAGGTGGTTTGATTTCTGTTGAAAGGACAAAATGGCTCCTCTTAACATTCGGGTTGCGACCCCTGCACTACCACATTTCCATAGTGACATTTTAAATTCTTAATAAGGATGTGCATCCTGGCTAATTTTGATATGTAATTATTTGTAATAGACAATGAACAGATTACAGGTTAACTGTAGGGAGTGGGGGAAAAAAGGGTAAAAACTGGCATAGGGCTGGAAGCTTACTCTTTACATATAAGCACTGTTGGTAAAACACTGAAAACATGTTTTTTTACTCAAAAATAGCTGAGGGGACCTGGCAGATTTTCATAGCAGATGGGTAATAAAGGCTGCCTCTTCAAATGAGCCAACAGAGCTAACCAATAGACATTCAGACGCTGATGAGAACCTTTCTCCGGAGTGGACCACATGCCAACATGTTAGTTTTCCAAAAAAAATATTTTCATTGTCTCTAGAGCTGGCTAAAATCAGCTACAGTATTTAGCCTAATTAGGAAAAACAGCCAAGTCAGAGCTGGCTTCCATATTGCCGCCTTCTCAGTCACACCCTTAACAACGCGTCCACTCCTGTCAAAACAAAATTGTCAGTCTGTATATTTTCTCCATCTTCCTGTAATGAAACACGCAGAATAAATGAATACTGATTTCGGGATTTGACTTTTCGCACATCTGTGATGCTTAAATGAAAAAACAAGTTGCATAATTAAACCACATGAAATCAATTAAGTTAGAGACATCGGGCTATTTAGCACAATAGATCATGCATAACTATGCTACAACAGTTTTGCACAGGTGTAACAGCAGCATTCAAATACAGCAACAGTGCAATAACCTGCCTCATTATTTACATTTTAAAATTACAACACAGATCAAGTCAAAACAATAAACTGTCTGAATGTGTTTGCAATTTTGGAGCAAAAGTCTGCTGATTCTGACCATGCACCCCTAGTTTTCACACACTGTGTACATGCCACTTTCTCAAGGTGTTTTTGTTAGTCATCCTCTAGCCATTCATCTGTGGTCATTATTTGAGGTCAGTTTCTGGCTGTAGGACAGTGCTAGCTGGACATTTTTTGATTATTCTCAACAAAACAGTGACCCTGTGTAAATGTGTGTAAATCGACAGCAACACTGCTCAGCCTGATACACTCTTACCAGCACTGTACACACTACCACACCACTATCATGTCAGTGCAGTGTGTCTGTCCATCAGTAGAGTGTCTGACATGTTTTGCCTCTTAAACGTATCCAAGAATCAATAAGTTTGAAAGGAAAGGGCTGCTTGACTGATATGAAAATAATCAAACACAGACCGTTGTTTTAGTGTGACAATTTTCAAAACAGGGCTACAAGAAAAGCAAACCCACAAGAAACACGTCAGTATGTTTGGGCAAACACGCAAAGATATCTCACTTGAAAGCTACTAAATGCTTCAAAGAAAACTACTGAATTAGTTTTACAGGAGTTTTAAAGGTGTTTTGTTTCCCTTCAGACAGTTAAAACTCACTGCACTGGAAGTGCAAGTAGCCAGTAAGAATGGCTTTGACAAAATCCTGATAGTTATGGCCTTGGAAAGGGACCATAAAAGGACAATAGCTGTGATCCAAAAGCCAGGCTGCAGCAGAGAAATTGTGGGTCCTTGGTAGGGCTCCTTATTCGTATTACGTAACTGAACGGTCTACCAAGGCTGCTTTGTTACAGTTGGTGCATAAAAATTAATGGAGAAAATAGTGTTGATGTAAATGATAAGCTGGCAATCAAAACTTTCATTTGAATGATGTAATATGTGGCAGACAAAACAAGTTTGCAATTAAATGCTGTCCTGCAAGCTACTGTTCAACTCACTGAAAGCAGGTGCATTTCACGCCACCTTAAAAAATACACAGCTAAATAAAGAGTGTACTGTACATGTTACTGTATATTTTCCTGGCTTTTTAAAATTATGGTCAACAGAAGACTGTAAAGAATACTTGGGTTGCGTCCTTGAAAACTGTCATATCGTAGCCTGTGTTTCTCAGCTGTATTCAAAGGATCCTTCTGATTGGATCAGAATTGGATGATGTAGTGCTCTAGAAATCCAGCCCAGCTTTTGGAACGCAGCTCGTAAAACATATCAGATACTCTGTTTATGTGTGGGCAGAGCATCCGATGCTGAGACTACGGCAGTGTTGAGACCGTTCTACCAACCAGATAGTACCTGGTCAGTGGTGGTCCTACTGTGGCCCCTTTCCAAGGTGCTTATACCCATTAAATTGGCCACTACATATGTACTAAGATAGCTTTAGCACTTTCAATATGTAGCCTTCGTATGGTGACATCACACACTTCCCACAAAAGGAAGGATCAACTAGAGATTCGGCTTAATCACTGCTGCAGGGCCAGAGATGTGAACATCCTGGGACAGGGCTTTGGTCAGGACAGCAGGGATAACATTCACGGTTTGTGTAAAGGGAAACCTGGAATGTTTAATTAAGTCTGAGCTAATTGCAGTACAGTGTTCCCTGCAGTTGGGAATTAGTCCTCAGAACCGGATGTGGCTCTTCTTGCCCTCCTGAATCACTGTTCAGTAAAAGCATAATTAAGATATGCAGGTAAGATTCCTGATTCATTCACTCTACGTTCATTTAAAAACACAAACAGAATTGGCACAGTTGAATTTGAAACAAACTATATGTCTTAAATAAATATATAAATATCACATACACTGTAAATTAAACCTCTATCACAGGCATTCCAAAAAGATTCACTGACGTTTCGTGCAGCGTGGCCGAGAAACACAATAGATGTTCAAACTTTCAATTGTGTGCATGATGAGTGAAGAAAAACCTGTTTATATGAGTACTAAGCTTCATGGTTATGCCATTTAAACTGCGGTTTTAACAAAATAGACAATAAAGCAGAGAACTGCACCTTAAATCTACTAAAGGCACATCTGCTTTCAGGGAGGTTTATGATTTTGAACCATCAGGTTCCTGATTTGATCTTCATTAAATACAGAAACCTACCTTACATTTTCACTCGGTGCTAATATCATAGATGCTCATCTTTATTGCTGAACATCACCACTGTGAATGCCTCGTTTGCACTAATGAACATCTCCTGCTGCAGCCACGGCGGTAGGTCTAGTACTCACAGTAGTTTCTGAATAGCTGCTCTGAGACATTTTCTCATTGCGCTGGCATTTTTCATTTCACACAGGCTGGGTCCTGCTGGCACTCACCCGGCGTGTTACAGTGGGATCGCGCTGAGCTTTGGAGATTAGATGCCCGAGGAGGGTGTTTGTCCGTAAAAAGCGCAGGCGAATATTGGTTGCCTTTGTGAAGTCCTGAAGGACTGGGGAGTAGGTGAAGTTCTTTGATCCTGGACGACCGTTCACAAGCGACACGACGATCTACAAAATGTCAAAAGGACAATGTCATTAAGGGAAAACTCATCTCAGTTACATCTGTACACTGTAAAAATGCTGTAAATTTGAAGTGAAAACACTGCAGCAATCTACTGTATTCCTTGCTGTAAAGAATGACTCATTCTGGGTGATACAGGTCAAGCTTCATGTCAAAGATGTTAAAATGTCAGATTTCACAGTAGTTAGCTGTTACCTGAAGAAAAGTGAATGTGTAGTTTTGAGCAGCCTGTCTCTGAATATTATAGTAAGGGAGTGGAGCTTCCCAGCATTCCTTGCTATTTTGTTGTCTACAGTCTACTGTTACTCTAACCATGATCGTGTTTTGAGTTTTAGTCAACTAGCTCATCCTTAAAAGAGACACTGGGTTACTGTCAGCTCTGTGATCTTAAAGAGTGGCATATGTGCATCTAATTGCTATATGTTTTGTGTATAATATGTATTTGCTAAACAGTTTAGTGCTTTAATTAAGTGTATGATCATACAATAGGAAACATTTATATTTTTATTTAATTATTTCAGATAATTTATAATGGCCAAAAGTATGTGGACACCTCTCCTAATTATTGAGATCAGGTGTTTCAACCACACCCATTACTAACAGCAGTATAAAATCAAGCACATAGCCTAACAATCTCTTTAAAACACACACTGGCAGTAGAATGGGTCCTACTAAAGAGCTCAGGGACTTTAAATGGGGCAATGTCATAAGATGTCACCTTTGCCAAGCCATTTCTGCCCTGCTAGATCTGCCTAGATCAACTGTGTTATTTTTATAAAATGGAAACTTCTAGGAGCAACAAGAGCTTAACCACAAAGCAGTAGACCATGCAAACTTCCGTAGTAGAACGAACTTCCAAACTGCCTCTGAAAGCAACGTTAACACAAGATCTGTGCTAATGTTGAGCTTCATGAAATGGGTCGGGCCGATCAGCTGCACACAAGCCTAAGATCACCATGCGCAATGCAAGGCGTCGGTTGGAGTGGTGTAAGGCACGCCGCTACTGGTCTCTGAAGAAACATGTTCTCTGAAGTGATGAATCACGCTTGAATATCTGGCAGTCTGATGGACCAATCTGGGTTTGACGGTTGCCAGAAGAACTCTACCTCCCGGAGCACACAGTGTCAATAGCAAAGTTTGGTGGAGGAGGGATAATGGGCTGGGGCTGGCTTTCAGGTTTTGAGCTCTGCCTCTTAGTTCCAGTGAAGGGTAATGTTAATAATACAGCACATAAAGACATTTTAGACAATTATGCTTCCAACTTTGTGGCAACTTTAAGTTGGGAAAGGCCCTTTCCTGTTCCTGCATGACTGTGCCCCAGTGCACAAAGCGAACTTTATAAAGACATGGTCTGAAGAGTTGCAGGAACTGACCTCAACCCCACTGAACACCTTTGAGATGACCTGGATCATCAATTTCAAGCCAGTAAACTACTGTATTATCTAACAGTATCATTACAGTATTATTACAGTATTATTCTGAAAACAGGAATTACAGTACAGTGGTGCTGTATTTAAAGAATATCTTATTGAAAAAAATAAACAGTATACAATACTGGAGAAACTGCTGCTGATTACTGTTAGCTAACTTTTTAATAATGTAGCATTTGGTTGATTAACACAGACAATCATTTTGTATTTTTCTGCAATCAGTAAAAGAACTGAAGACCCATTCTGTTCATTAGCTCATGGGCTTGTATTGTAAATGCACTGAGACACTGGGTTTCTGTTCTTTTCTAATCATACGGAAACTATTATCCATGGTAATTGGACAATATTCTACAGATGCATCAGATATATATTAGGTTGAAAAAGGAGTGAAAGTGTATTTCTTAAAGTTTAACATGGAAAATTCTAAATGTATTCTTCCTCTGACTCTTCCTGAATAACCGGAGCCACTCTGAAAAGTTAGACACAGTGAAGCACAACATGCAGTTAATAACCTACCTCTCCATTTTCCAATGGAACAATCCGGGAGTACTCCGTCGTACAGATCTGATCATCATCTCGATGGATTCGAGCATCAGGCTGCTTACCAAACCCTTCAATACAATCCCGTTTTGAATCTGCAGTAAATTCAGTGAATATGTTTTAGTTATACTACAAATGTAGACAAACGTTAATCTATCATGTACCACATCAAACATCAACATACATAAACATTTTTTTTCATCTTGATGGCTTGAAACATTAGAGTAAAAGTTTGTAAAGCAGCAAACACAACCACAATTCACTCAGTCATCTTGAAGTTTATGACTAATATGAAATTGATCAGGTAGATAATGTTAAAGACAGCTTAGAAATATTGTAAGTATACAGTATAATGGACACTTTAAATCATAAGGAAGAAAATGGCGCAAGCATAATGTCTAATATAAAAACTTTCTCTGATACACTGTAAACATGAACTGGGACTCAAATTTAAAGAAGCAGGTAATCTTGCTGCTATACTTCAAATAGTAACATGGATAGAATGTAACACATTATTGTTCTGTGAAGTCACTATTAGATGCTCTATTAACTCAAAATGTCAAGGCAGCCAATTAATTATATTAAGTTAAAACTCCAAATTCCTTTACAGTTTAATCAATATAACAGTCAGGTTTGAAAGTCAATAATCCAAACCAAACTGATCATATATAAGAAGACTCTGACATCCTGTGCTGCCTTTTTATGTTACATGGAGTCAAAATTTTGTTTCTTCAGTTACAACTCGCACAGCAAGGCTAACGCTGCTAACAAACACTAGAGTGCAATAGTCACCCAAATAGCCCAAATGGTTTCTCTAAAAACTGACCACCAAAACTTCTTTCAACCCACTCAAACCACATCCTAGTCTTTATTAGGGTCACACAGACTTGTCAGTGTGTCAGTATGACTGAACTATAGAATGAACAAATCTTCACTGTGTAGCTGAACGCTGCAGGCAGCCACTTTAGACAATAGAGTCTGCATTCACAAACCACCTCAGCAGTCGGAGTGCTGATCTAGAATCAGTGTTTGTGAAAATGACTGTAATACTGTAATGGCTGTAATAAATAGAGACAAATCTGATCCAAGATCAGTAGTGCTTTGTGAATATCAGCCCTGGTGTCGTCTGAAATGTCTGCCTTTTACAGCTTACTGTAATTCATATTGTGCTCTAAACCACATCGGCAAGTCTGTGTGGCCTTAACAAAGACTGGTTTGAGCTGGGTGAGAGAGGTTTTGGGGGTGTATTTTTACAGAAACAATTTGGACTATTTGGGTGACTGTTGAGTTCTAGTTGTTAGCAACGTTAGTCTCACAGCTCCAGTTCTAAACTAAAGAAGCAAATTTGGCCTCCAAACATGTCTTGGCTCATCAACAACATCTGGGGTAAGTGGAAAATTGGGTAAATTTTGATTTGATTTGATATCAGAATGCCCACATCTATAGGTGAATATCAACTCACGTGCGAAATACTGCCAGGGCATGAAGGTCCTGCCATGATCAACAGAGCGCTCCAGAACCCACAGATCAGGGCGAGGAGAGTTGGCAAATTTGACAATGACATAAGCCACATGGAAAAGCTGGAAAGTAAACAAAAGGCACGTCAGTAAGTTGCAACGTTATGAACTCACTAATCAATCACCCTTTATTTTCTACAGCTGTTGAAGGAAACCTAACGTTGCGTCAGAGCACACCCAGCAACACAAAGCACTGCAGTGTTTAGCTGATAGAATCTTAAGCAGCATCGCTTTCAATACACAAAGCAAACACTGACTGCACTGCTGGGGGTTGATGTGGGGCAAGGTTTGGTACACCTGACTTCCTCTACAACCACAAACGTGCATCTGTCTACTGATAGCCACGTGAACCTTGGCTTCTCATTACTGTTAAATACAATGATGTAATTTTTAAGGGTAAATTCTAGTTATGACTATCAGTTATGGCTTCCAAAATTTGGCTTGTGATTTAGAAATCACAGTTTTCTCAGGCCAGAAGATACAGTTATTGATAATAATAGCAAAAGCATGTAATAATTTATAATCAATTGTATTTTTCTTTCTCATTGCTCATTCATTCTGTCTAAAAAATGCTTTCAATTATGACCACATGTGTGTTTGTAGACAGAAAAGGAGATATTTTATCATGATTTGAACTTGAAAAGTTATTTATGAAAAAGTATTATTTAACTCTATTCTTATTCTTACTAGTCAGACTATTATGAATTGGTTTGTAACTACTAGGAATCTGTTCATGGTTTCCTGGTGTTAAAGTGTTTTGGCATGGTCTTTTCTGACATTCAAACACACAGAAAACGTCAGAAGCACACTCTCAACTCGCACAGCATTATTCAAATGTAAAAGGAATTAATTATATACCAAAATGTGTAATTACTAAATTACATTTAACACAGCACAGTAACACAACAATGTCTCTCTAAGAGCTAAATATCAAGCTTTCCTACGGAGATTCATGCCATTAGAAATTAGAATTTACTGCAGAAATCAGAATCTCTGAAACTAAATTCTGAACTGGACTCACTGGCCATTTTATCAGAAACTTCAACCATACAGTTACAAATGCAGTTACTGACTTTAGGCCATCTGCAGTTCATGAATCCCCCCTTCTCCCATTCCTCAGTAGAAACAGACCACCACAGGACCACTGAGCAGATATTTTTGGGGTAATTTACAGCTATCACTGCAGCACTGGCACAGTGAAATAGTAGTGCTATGAGTGTATTAGGCACGTCAGTGTTGCTGAAGTTGACAAGCTAATAGAAGCATCTACAAATTATATTCATGCTACAATTTAGTCTCTACTTTACCTGCAAGACATCTGGATGTTATTTTCATTTTTTATGTACATCAACCTAAAATTCAGTTTCAGATTGTTTGTTACAGCCTCAAAATAATAACATTCAAATTCAGATTTCTGCATTTAAATTAAAATGTCTAATGGCATGAATCAAATTCCATACTCTCGTTTCTGTGAACGTCTGATTATCATTCAGTCCCAGGAGAAATCAGTTCATTTCTCGTATGTGTGTTGTTCACACCTGTGTGTTAAGAATGGCGGTATGTGTGGCACCGCACATTCGTGTCACTGAGTGCATGCGTGCAGTCACACTCTCTTGTGTTGACGAAGTGTTCGAACCTGAGGTGTGCGAGCAGACTTGTTGACTACACTCAGATTCCTGGCATGGCGTCACATACCAACCCATCCCAGTCCCACCCAACCCATTATCCACCAGCAGCCAGCAGCCCCCTAACTGAAAAAACAGCCACTGACAGTGAGATTGTGCCAACAATCTTTTTAAATCTTAATACTTCTGATATTGTTATGATGTCAAGCTTGCAAGGTGCTATATATAAACCCTTCTATAAAGAATATACGACACATTCTCCATCAATCTGAAGAACCATTTTCCATTTCACCATGCAAAGAATCCTTTAATCCTGCAAAGGGTTCTTTAAGTGTTCATGGTTCTATATAGAACCACTGTCTTGAAGAACCATCTTTTTGAAGAGTGTATTATAATGAGATACAATATACCAGGTACAAGTAAAAACATGGTCATTTCTGTGTGTGACAGACAAGCAATTTTAACTATCTGATCACTTTAACTCATATCTCGCATATGAGTTATAGGATGGATATTTTAACCATTTCTGCTAATCAAATGTCCACTTTTTAAAAAAAACAGTCTTCAAATATTCTTTAGTCTAACAGTCTATAATAGCAAAATATTGTGGACTGCTCAGGAAAAATTCATTTATTTTAATCTCAATTTCATTTTAGGCGTTATTTCTGTTCTTTATTGTATTTCTGTTATTTTAGTGTGTTCTCTGTAGAGATGTGTTAACTTATTATTTTATTTTATAACCTATCTTGTTCGTCTTGTAGAAAATCAACATGCAATTTGACCAGGGGTGCCCAAACTTTTGCATACAACTATAGCTCCTCGAAGCTTTGGCCAATTCACTTCAAACAAGATACAAAGTGGGAGTACTGGGAGTATTATAGTATTATTATTATTATATTATTTAGAACAAATGGCTTACAAATTTGTATATCAAATTCGATTAAAATGCCCATTCTTACTAAGAAGAAAACGAACCACTGAGAGGATAACCATGCCCATCCTTAATCTCTTGAAATTAGTAAAAATAATAAAAATAATAATAATACTAACAAATAATAATAACGGCACATATCTTCATTGCTTTTTGACTGAAGCTTAGTTCGAAGTGTGGTTGTATTTCAGCATATTTCGTAGTTATTCTTATTTTATAGTCTCTGTGGAATTATATAAAAAATATAACTGTGTAATTTTGTACAAACTGCTAAAATGTCCATGGTTTGAACACAGCTGTACGGTACTGCAAGATGCATAAATTTAGTTTCAGAGAATCTAAGAGTTCCAGTAGTTCAGATTTGTATTGAAAAAAGAACACTGTGGAAACCGAAAACATCCAGAAAGTACATATAAACAAACAAACAAACAAACAAAGCTGCAGTGTGCACACACACTGAAAGGACCAGGTTAATCTGTCAACCCCAAACAGCCTTAAATCAATCAGCTCCTTTTGTTCCTCACGGCTTCAGCTGCTGTGGTGACATAATGCATGTGAGGGTATAGTGGTCCAGTACTGCAGAGGGTTAAGAGACAAACCGTCCTCCATCATGTCCCGAGAACATGAGCAGCCGCACTCCAGGCCTGTAAATACCACTCATTTCAACTCCTTCTGAGACAGCTACCCTGCAGGCCTCAGTTAATATTCAGAATAAGCAAAAACACCATGTAGTCCAAAACATCAGAGCCCAAAGATCACTATCAGTCAGCATCAGGTATACCAGCATAAAAGAGAGTACCAGTATGCCACTGTACGCTGATTTTACCACTCTTGCAGATACAATGATAAGCCCCGCCCCCATGTTGCATTACACATAAACAATGTTATATCAAACATTGATTTTAATTCTTATTGAATGTACCAATTAGGGCTCGCCTGACTAATCAAGTATCTGTTATTTTGTTATTTGTTTCACTAATCAGGATTCAAAATCTTTGTCCTGTTTTAAGCCACAAAACTGGTACCTAAACAATATTTCATTAATGAGGGGTTAAAACGAAACAGTTATTGTTGATACAATTGGAAATAATGAAAACAAACAACTTATAGCTGGTTTAATTATCATCATTACATTATGAATTCTTGCCAGGCATTCACATAACCTTGGCTCACACTATTACAGTATTGTCAGCTCTTACAGGAATTCTCTGAGTTTCTGTCAAGTCTAATAACACTTGGTCCAAAAGCAGCTAGAAAGAAACTGTCTAATTGTACACTTAAACTTAACAATTTCTCAGCTGCATCAAGCTCACCTGTAAAAAATCTTGGTGTCATGATAGATCCTGATCTGTCCTTCACCGCACATATAACTAATATTACTAGATCAGCCTTCCTGCATCTCTGCAATATTGCTAAATTGAGAAATGCATTATCTCTACAGAATGAGTGAGTTAACCATTAGGCTAAACAACCAATTACAAGACACACATACACAACCTTAAAAAGTAGGTCATCCACTAAACCACTAGCCTGTAAAAACACATCAAACATTAGGATTGTTCTCACACCTAGTACTGTATGAGACATCTCAAATATGAAAGCATGTGTAACACATAACTGCTGCTCCATTTAAAGTGGAGTGGAAAATTCAAATATGAAGCATCAGCTTTGTGTTTTCCCTTTGCTCTGGTAACTGAGGCATTTGGGTGAGGTATTTGCAGGTATGTGATCCTCATGCTAAGCAATGTCAGCACTCTGTCACTGTTCGATTCATCACTCTTTGCCCATTATTATTGTTCTCAACTGAGAAATCTCGCCATTTTAAACAGCTTGGCTATCAACCATCCAAGGTAGGCTAAGCAAACCAGTTTTTTCTTGTTCCAAGAGCTGCACAGTGGAGTGTTCTTTTTTTTTGGTTATCACTTTCAGGGATATAATAGATTGTGTTAAACAGAACTATAGAAACCATTCTTGTTATCACACATATTATAGAATGAAACCTAACTATAAAACGGACTGCATACTTGTTGGTACTGTATCTTTAAGACTGATATATGCAATGAAATCTGTTCTGATTGGCTGCCCTTTACAGTGTCCCACTTAAAAAAAAACAGTCTGAAATGTGTAACAAGTTGTTAAGTTCAGACTAAAATCCTCAGGGATGTGGAAGGAAAAAAAATAAACTTCAGGCACTCTTTTCAGACGTGTAAAGGCCTTTGAAGGCTGCAATGACTCATTTGCTTCCTGACAGTCAGGAAGAGCACAACACTTAATCGTTTTCCCCACATCTTCCACCTCAATGGGCAGCTTCAATGGTGAACGGGCAGCTATAGGTTGCAGTCTGAATGGACAGTCATATATATCACATCCATGATGAATTCAAACTGGGCCATTTTTACAGTTCAGTTTCCATATATGGGCAGTATGATTAAGCAGCGAATCGTAGGTTTTGATATTTTAATAATGTTTACAGAATACATCAAACTATTTTGAAAAAGGCAAATTCA